ACGTTCAGCGTCGAAATTCTGAAATTATTCGCAGTCCTTTTTAATTTACCTAAACCTTTTCATTCGTGTCGTCGTAATTTCTTTCCTCGTCTATGTCTGTTAGGTGACACTTTGAGTACTTTACTCACTCAGTACCGCTTGTTTCGCGTGATTTGTTGAGTACCGTCCTTGTCAGTTACTACCGACTAATCACGGATACAATTTTGCATGCAAGGCCCCTAGTAATCACTCGTTACTTAGTCAGTGATTTCACCTATCCTTTGCGCGGAGTATTCCAACCTTATCCTGCAAGGTCGGAAAGGTGCAACCTGCTCGAGTGCACCTTGCAACACGTTTTGCGAACTCCTTGCATCAGGTGGTGCCCGTAGATGAGCCCTTCACGTATCTTCGCCAAATTGAATTCGGCAGGTGAAGATGTCCCCGATCTTGCCCAAGGATTCTGAATAGGGCTCGGAATTGCAGTTGATTTGGCATTAACTTAGGCAAAAGCTCGTTCGGAGAACAGAATCCTTCGACAAATTGCGAGATTTACATCGCCCTATATGCATAGTCCAAATGAAATAGTCAGACTCCAACGGATAACCAATCATATTTTTTCACAATTATTTTTTATCCCGTTTTAAGGTGTAAAAGGAAGCCAAGTGCAGCCGATCATTCCGGGGAAAGAGGATATTGACTATTTCTGGAAAACGAACATTAGGGACGATTATGGGCCGTGTTTCACTCGGGGCCGAAATTGACACGTCCAACGTACAAAATGGCGGAATGTGCAATATCAAGGGGTATACGTATATATACGCTCGTCCTTCTAAATTTAGCGTCGTTTTCACGATGCCATGAAAACGAGACGACTGCTCACACCGTAAAGTGCTTTCAGTCTGTGAATGTTCTTCTGTATTCCAGACTGATACGAGAATAATACCGGAAACGGCGACATAATTTCAGGTTTGGATCTTAAATCTGCGGAGATAGGGTTTCGCTGCACTGTTTGTACGCGTTTAATATTTCGTTACTACCATGTTGATAAAGAAAGAGAATTAAAAGTTGAAGGAGAAGTTACGTCCAAATACTGAGTGTTATGACGCCACATTTTACAGCGACCAAAAGTGCTCTACATTTCGTACTCTACTCGGGGTAATTTCCATCTTCCTGCATATTGTGCACCAGAGAATGCACCCAGGATGAATGACAGCTCCGCAGGGTTCTAACATCCAGGAAGCTGCTGAATCCTGCGGTACTGTTTCAGGAGTTCACTCCTGACGGACAGGGCGCTGCAGCCTTGGCATCTCGATTCGAAACGGCAAATTGAAATCTGAATTTGAAACGCCTGCACAAAGGCATAACCTGATGTAGTACGGCATCATACCTAAGATAATTGAATAGCGGTGCTACAACTTGCCCAGAACCCATCAGGAACCATACAGAACATCCACGAAATGTTCTCACATTTTCGCAAACTCGATAATAGCTTCATATACTACTACAACTTGAATCTAAAATCAGAAAAGATGGATCCCGCAATTCAATATATATTAACTGAAAATAAAAAACTTACCCTAAGAGAAAACATCACTTTCTATAAAAAAGAAAAGAACATTAATTCTTGTGACAATTAATGAACGAATAAGCTGTAGGGCGGACTAAATGAAATTAATATCATTTTAATACTATATTCAATTTTCTTCAGTTAACCTTCACCAAGCTTTTATTATTCATGATCCGTAATTAATTTCGACCAGAAAGAAAACTTTTTATTTGGCGCGACTCCACCACGTCCAAAACGTCTAAATTCTCTCACCTCTTCGCCCGAATGACCTAACTCCCCCCAATTTCGAAACAGTTCTCCACTCCGCGGCCCGTAATTCCAATTCAAATCGAGCCTATTATATTCCTAACAATTTATTTCGAATGCCCATCACTTCGGGCCGTGATTGTCATGCCGAATTGTCACTTTTGTCCGACATTGAATATTAATGCCGGACCTCGGACAATAGAGCATTAACGTGGCCATTTTCCGCGCTCCCTTCATCAGCCTTCCAGGAAGGGCTGACCATCTCTAAAAAGAATTCGTGAATCGCAGGGTATTGGCTCGCAGGGAGGTTTTTTTATTGCATCGGATGACAGAGGAAGGACTCGTCTCTGTGTTTGATCGACAAAGCCCAGCTTCGTCGAAACGATTCTCGGCCGTTATTCCTGTTAAAGCTGGCGAGCACAATTTGGTGAAGCGGTACGTGCGGTAACTTGGACAATGGGTCCTATCCGTGTGCGTACTTGTAGGTGTATGCAGGCCAACAAGGGTGCCTTTACACCCTTTGTTGTTCGCAAACTTGCGAACGTTTATTACGGCCGATGAGCGGGGGTTATCTTATAATGGGCGATGTAACATCGTGTAACGCAGGCCGGAGGTACCAGTCCAGGTTGGATATGCATTACCCTATTCATAAGGCACCTTGTAATCCCCTGATTTGGGTAGAGTATAATTCTCGAGAGACAGAGGCCTGCTAAATGCATGATCTTACTTTCACATCTGACAATGGATCTTTAAACATTTTAATTATAATATTGTCAAGCGATTGCAAGATTCTCATTGATTCCGTAACACGGAGTATCATGGTACCGACAGGTACCAATCCGAATGAAGGCCTTAATTCGACTCTCGGTATTTTGACGTAAAATAATTAAATGTTAAAATTATTTAGCAACTAAAGGGTTCCGATCGATCGAGCCGTGATTACCGTTACCGCTCTTTGAACCGATAGGACGTAATTTCCAGCTCACGGACTATTGTGGTCTCTGACAAACTGTACCCGCCAATTCACGTATCAACCACGACAAAGCGCCTCTGAGCAGTTGATTTCACAATACCTCGAAAGTCAAGTCAGGTCGCCGTTCCAAGCCCTTCAACTCCCCGGGGAGCGACCCTGATGGACCATGATCGATCGGCAAAAGGTTAACCATCGCACCTGGCATTTCAATTTTGCACCATAATCCGAACAATGCGGTTGACTGACAGCTAAAAGCGTTTAGGCGGTTCTGGGTGGCATGTAATTTGCATAAATTAGCCTGTTCAATCGGAACTTCGAGGAGCTTCAGCGACAACCAATCGATCGTTTAACGATCCAAATTATTTCTAGCCAGTTTCCGATATTTTTTCCCCATTTTTCCATTTTTCAACGCACTCAATCGATCGACAAAATATGGCGCCTCCACCGGGACGAGGTATCGCGCTCCCGGCTATTAATTTGCGAACGATCCTGCCGATTTCACGGGAATTCCTTGTAAAAGGATTCCCGTTTTTTTTTTTTTTTTTTTTCCGGAGTCAGCCTCGTCGCTCTCGTCGAAACGACCGTCGGCCGAAACGACGTTATCGTCGACGAGCCAACGCGTCGATCGATGGGAAACGCGAATCTGCACGAGGCGACGACCGTTTTATGCCTGACGGCTTCCGTAATCGTTAACGTTGGCATAAATAAAAACGGAATTCCAAATCCAGCAATCGTTTCTGTCGCGGTTCTCCTTCGCGTTCGTATTAAGGCGAAGTAATACCCGTCTGAAAACTTAAACTTGCGTAGGAGAAAATTTTTCTAACTGATATACCGTCTGAAATAGCGCGGCATGTTATCGACGTTTTTATTTATATTGGCAAATCCTTCGTACTCGATTTAGTATTGTACGAAATGGTGCACTCAAGGTACACCCCTCCCTCGATTTCGAGACGTCATTATTCTTTTTGTTAAGCTACTTGAAATAAATTATATGTGAGAAACATATGTACAAGCTTTTATTTCGAATACTTTTTTCTTTTGTACTGACAGACTTTATTTCCGCGATTGTCATTCGCGTAAAACGAATTCACGTGGAACGGATACTCCGCGTAAATTGAGGGACAACTGTACGTTACATTTAGAACCGACTAAATTTTCTCTCCGAGACCTCGTGCCCTATACGTGTTACCCTTTATCTTAGTACAGAAGTTCCCAAGAAACTTCTTTTGCCTCTGCCACCTACAAATGCATGTCCCATTTACTAGAGTGTTCTGAACTGTTATGCGACAGCTTTAACGCTTTCGTTTCTCACATCGGAGTCTACAGGAATTATACCCTGATCAAAATACGAGAGTACGTCATTTCAGTTCTGATCAAGACTATGATACATCCTCTTACCAGACTTTTAGGGTTATGAAACGTCTTTTATATGTAGTCTTTAAATGTTAAAAGATATCATTTAACGCTAAAACAGATATATAAATTCTAGTCTCGGCCGACATTTAAAAGAAATAAAAATGTTGAAAGTATCAAAACTTTCGTTAGATACTTACGAGTTAAGTGCTAAAATGTCAGTGAGCAAGTTTCAGGAATATCATTTTAAAAAGAGTGCGATATTCGAATCGATTCGTTTGCGGAGATTTCACTTCACCTCAATCCCGTAAATAATCCCGGCAAAGTGCAGCGAGCTCGAATCGGTTTTTGAGCGCAGCTTCGGCAAACGTCGCGCCGTTTCCTAATTACGAGTATTATCGTGCAGGTGTAAATGGACGTCGGCGTCGCCTTTTATTCCGACCTCCATCGCGGATCGATACCTATTATTAAAACGGGCGAAACGAGGCGATTGTTTTAACGCTCGCGCTAATTATCCACCTCATTCTCCGCGGCTCCGCCGATGACGACAATAACCCCCGTAATGGCGGTAATAAATAAAACGATACGCGCAGAGGGTGCAGCCGCTCGTTCGGTAATTGTCGCGTATCGGCGAGACTAGCGCGGTGTCCAACCCCAGGGATGAAAGTGCTCGATTAAAAATTGGAACCTGGCCGGGAAAGATTCCAAAAGTTTCCCGGAATTTCGGAAAACGCTCCCCACCTTTCTCCTGGAATGACTCGAGATAGAAATCGCGCTCCTTGGGGATGAAAAATGCTAAAGAAAAATTCCTTCTCGAGCCTCGCCGGGCGCAATTCGACGGAGGGGCTAGAATTTGATTAAACGTGATCGCCGTTCTTTCAGAGAACACGTTCCGGGTCGTCCTGCAGAAGAGTAGCCGAGGACTGGGATTAAGCGTCTCCGGGGGTGGCACCGCTGGACCAGTCAGGGTGAAAAGGCTCTTCCCGCAGCAGCCGGCGGCCCTCTCGAACAAACTTCAACCCGGCGACATCCTCCTGGCTGCGAATGGAATCCCGCTAACTGGACTCACCAATTATGTGAGTAACTTCGACGCCCCCGAACAATGCGGAACTCCGGATGCCTCCGATCGGCGTCGCGTTCCACCCCCGGACTGATTTTAGAGCAGATCGCGCCCTATCAGAGAAGCCACCAGGGGCGAAACTTTTGCCGGCTCCATTGTCGTTTGTCCCGGCTTTTAATTCCCATAGTCCCCGGCCCCTTGGATTCTTTGACGGGATGTCAAAGGGAGGGAATCAACTTTTTCGCGAGTTCCAGGAATTATGGATTATTCGAGTGAAAATGATCATACCCCCGCGATAAGTGTAAGTTCGCGTGTCACGAAAGGGGCCCTTTTCGGAAAGCGAAATGTCTTTTTTTTTTACTATTAAATTACCATTTATGTTGACCTTCGCGTTCTGGTCTATTAATTGGTAGTAATTTAGTATCAACGGAATTTGCATAAACGTTGATGTTATTATATTTTATTTCAATTTTGACGACTAAAGTCAATCAGCTGCTGGCTTCTGGTTTAGCAACGTTGACGTTAAAATCGCCGCTCGTTATTATTGACATGTTATCTCAATTTCCTTGTCACCGTTAATTACTGTTTACCCTCATCTCCGAATTTTAGTATTGACACAATTTTCGTAAATTTTAGCTTTACAGTTCATTACTACCTACGTTCATTTTTACGCATTAGTATTAACCCAAGTTGCGTAAGCACTTTCGTTTGTGTTAGCGAGTTCGTTTGTGTTCTCTCGATTAATTATCGACTTTTCGAGCGAAATATGCATAAAAAGAAGTTTCCCTTCCAACGCGCGTACTAGCCACGTACCCATATTTTTTTTCCTTCCTTTACAATTTCCGTAATTATTTTCATTCTATATCGTTTTATTTTCTATTTCGCGGGGATTACTTCTCCGCGGGGCCGAAATTAGTTTTGACGTCGAGGGAGACATATTTCGAGAAGGTTCGTAAAGTGACTGACTTTGCATTCAGTGCAGGGGATCATCCCCTGCTTATGGCAGCTTTATTTGATTCGGGAATTTTTCGCTTATCTCGTGATATATGCCCTTTAGGGTGTCAAAAACCGGCCAGTTCGGACTATATGGGGCAACGCACATTGCACCGGCGAGAAAACGGATTGTGGTTCTGAGCCAGCCCTTCAATTTGAATTGGATTGGATCCAAACTGCGAATTTCGTCCGACCGATACGCTATATATCCGCTCGCGTTCGAACGAACCTCTTTTCAGAGCATATTCCATTCAGCGTCGGAAAAACTCCGGCTGTTTTTCCGCCGGTCCTTCAACGTTCGACGGTTGACCTTAAAAAATACTTTCCCCTGCGTCAATCGTACTTTTTCCCCAAAAAAAGAAATAAGGCCCTTCATTAACTAACGACTATTAAGGTGAAGTGAAACACGTCGAAGAACTTGGTCGACGTCGATAAAGAAGATTCTTCTAAATGCCTACGTTGCTGACGTTCGTTTTTATATCGACAGCTGTGTCGAATTATATTGGGTATTATACCAAATGGCATACTCCACCTGTCGTTTTCGTACAATAATTATAAAGAAATCGAAGTAAAACTCCAGAAATCCTCTGGATTCGTGCTTTCTGAGGCCCTAATTGACTGCAGGGGGACCCCCTGCGCCGTCTGTGATTTTCAAGTCAATTAAATTTTCACTCCGAGACCTCGTATTTCCATCGTTTTAGTATAGAAGCGTATACAACACTTTTTTGCCTTTATCCCGTTCAAATGCGAGTTTATCGATTACCAGAGTGTTCTAAATTGTCGTAAAATTGTCCTGATCCTTTCGATTCTCATATCAGAGCCTTCGATAATTGTATATTGATCGAAATATGAGAGCTCGACGCCATTTTGGTTCTGGTCTGGGCCGAGTTAAAAAAACTTGTTTGAAAAATCCAAATTTTGAATGTGTCAGGACAATTCGTAGATGATCAGAAGTGACGCGTCAAAGTTTCAGACAGTTTGGTCTAATACCCTTAAAAAAAAGTGTTGTATTCAAATCGACTGATTTGAAGGGTGTTTTACTTCACCTTAAGCCATAACCTCTTCTTAAGGATTCTAGAAATTCCCTTGAAATTTTGTTTTAAGATCACCCCTTTCGATTTTCCCAAGGATTTGCAGAAGTTGAAGATCTTGAGGCCGAACACCCGTTGAAAAAGAGAAAAGGAAAATGAAAGGACATAAAAGAAAATTAGAACGCACCCAACCCCAGCCCTTAGGAAAACGTACCATCCCCTTGGGAGACCAAAGATTTGCATCTCATTAGCGTAATGCGATTCGAGCGGCGATCGCATCTTCGAGGGGACGTTTCCCCGCGAAAACTACGCGGGGGGTGTAAGCCCCATTGACAGGAGCAACACCTCCCTAATCTTATTTCTCCGCTACTTGTTGCAGGGGGCCCTCGAAGTGCTGCGAACCACCTCGAACACGGTCGAGTTGGTGGTGTGCCGACTTCCAGGGGAGACCAGTGTGACACCCCCGGGGGTGCCTCCACCCCCACCTGTGAGGAGCGAGCCCCCGCCACCCCTGAGGATCCTCAACCCCCTGCCGCCTCTGCAGATCGAACCCTGTGGGGTAAGCGATGGATAACTGATGATAACTCCAAAAAGGGAACTTCGATTTCCAGAGGGTCATCGGGATAATATGAGCAAGAGGGATTCCGCAAGGGTGGATTAAAGGAGAGTGGGTCAAGAGAGGGTATAGCCGTCGACGTTGTAAAAGGACGAAAAAGATACAGAGATCAACGTTGAAAAAGGACGAAAAAGGATCCTTGACGAGGTACTGTTAAGGTGATATAAAAGTCAATCGTTTATGAAACGTTTCTCTGGATGTATCGAATTGTTTGAAAATTTATCTCCCACGATATTTCCATTTCTGTGCATAATTTAATAAGTGTTTACAAACGAATGCGAATGTTGAAAAAGAAAGTGAAGTTCCATGGGCGTCAGGACCTTCCTCAAAGCCTCGGCATTAGTATGATAAAATTTCAAACGATTCGGTACTCCCAATTAGGGGAGAAGTTTCATAAACGAGCCCTCTCGGACGCCACTTCCTTGTCACCTGAACAGTGGAAGAAGGAAACGTAATTCCTAAAAATGATCTGCAAAACTTGGGATGCTAAGGAGGATTCAAAGGGTAAAGGGACGTTGGTCGGCAAGGGGTCGGTTCTTTCGAGAGGAACTGCGGAGTAATTTTCCGAGGAATGTTGGAAAACCTCCCCTGTTCGTGATAAGATTAAGGAATTCCACCGACGCCGCGGGGCGTGATTCGCCTTGATGAGACGTAACCCTTCAAGGGATGAGGCAGTCCGGGGCACGGGATGAATTTTTACCCCTTTCTGGGAGACCCGGTATCGATATGCATTAACGTTCTTCCGAGCCCTAATGAGACCAAACGCCAAATGCAATCGTGGTACATCTTAAGAATGACATCGGTACGGTATTTTGCGAATTTATCTCGATATACGGTCCAGATCGAGCCGGATGTTGAATCTCCATAGATCACCGTTTCCGTTCGTCCCGAGGCTTTCGGCACGTCCTCCGAGCGGAGTCAGTTCTTCGACATTAGAGACGGCTTCCCAGGGATTTAAACTCCGAGCAGAAAGCTCGAGCAATCCCTGGCCGATTTATCCGAACGATCCTGATCTCGGCGCAGGGTCCAGATCGGGCCGGAAGATGTAGCTCCCTCCAGGCATGTTTACGAGGGCCCGCGAGCGAGGGGGTCATCCCGCGTTTTACGACGGCCCAAATCCTCCGCAGCCATTTCCGCAGCGGCCGTGGCGCCGCTCGCCTAGCGAGACCCTGGAATTGCTCCAGGCAGTAAAGCGCCGTATACACGGGGTCGTTTATTAACGCGGGGGTCGGCCACGCGCTTTTCGCGTGTGATTAAGCCAACGAGCTGCCTCGCGCCAGCTTCTGTGGCTCCTCAGACGTTGCGGGCCATAAGACGCCGTAAAACGCGGATCGTGATTTACATCCCTCTTGGTCTCGACCTGTAATGGGCGCAATTTTGCCCGGTTGCGTACACGCGAAACCAGGAGACAGGGGCACCACAACGGTGTGCTTCCAGCAGTTAGGGAGCTGGTCGAATAAGGCTAGAGACAGACTGGTCGCTATAAATGGCGCCTTACTAGGTTACGTTGTTTCGTGTACACGTAGAAAAATATTTCTTTGAATCGAAACAATTTTTTCTAGTTTAGTTACATAAGATGGTTATCGTATGAACCACCAAATAAAGGCGGCGGTACCACAACGGTCTGCTTCCAGCAGTTAGGGAGCTGGTCGAATGAGGCTAGAGACAGACTGGTCGCTGCAAGTGACATCTTACTAAGTTACGTTGTTTCGTGTACACGAAGAAAAATATTTCCTTGAATCGATACAATTTTTTCTAGTTCAATCACATAACATGGTTATCATATGAACCACCAAATAGAGGCGGCGGTACCACAATGGTGTGCTTCCAGCAGTTAGGGAGCTGGTCGAATAAGGCTGAAGAAAGACTGGTCGCTATAAATGGCGGTTTAATGGATTACGTTGTTTCGTGTGCACACAGAAAAATATTCAGTTGAATTTTTCCTGGTTCAACCATAGAACATGGTTCCCACGTGGACAACCAAATGTCTGATATACGTGAAAAGAGTCTTCTGTTAATAACTTTTGGTCCGAAGATTTACAAAATGATTTAATCAAGACACTAGAGTTGATTGAAGCAAACGAGTTCGGTCGAGTGAACTAAAATTTGGTTGACTTAATCTAAAACGTTTTCTGGAATCAACCGAATGCAGTCGATCAAACGATTTTGTGAAACGGACCAAGTATTTTCTCCGCGAGTACTAGAGATGTCGGGCAAGCGATTTTTCTAACGATACAACGTGAAACATCTCTACGGACATATTAAAGGTTTCTAAATTCAATAAAACGATCCATTTCCCAGGAATTCGACATCGAGATGACTAAGGTCGCTGGCAGCCTGGGCTTCACCCTGAGGAAGGCCGACAGCAGTGCCCTGGGCCACTATGTCCGGGCCCTGGTAAGGGAACCGGCTCTCAGCGATGGCAGGATCCAGCCTGGTGACAAAATCGTCGCTGTCGATGGTGCACCCCTGTCTCCGATGAGCCACGAAGAAGCCGTTGCTCTCCTCAGGCAGTGTGGACCAAAGGTGAAGCTTCGCCTTTATCGCGACCTGGCGCAAACCCCGGTGTCGGCGTTGTCGCCCACCGAACCTGATCATCCACTCCGTCCACCTCGAACCTGCCTAAGGTGAGTCCTTCTTGGTGCATTTCGAGGTACAAATTTCAGGTATGGATAATGATAAAGATATGATAACGGATGTTAAAGATATCTTGTTCCTTGGGAGGTCTTTCGGTTGGACGTTCTTTCCAATTCGAGTCTATCTTTAGAATTTTGGTCCGATTGTTCCAAGTCCCATGTAAAATGATCGCCACACTTTACTATGGCTCCGATGTCCGTTTATCCATGCGTAACGAAATGTTTGTCACGGGATTTGAAGCACTTAACACATATTAGAAAATAATAGAATTGAATTGATCCCACACAGCCACCCCGTCGCGTTAGCGACTGCGTCCTTCTGGTACCATTTAATGTAATATGTGATCCTGGAAACGTTACGTTCTCAAATTGATGTCCAACTTCCTCTTGACCAGCTTCCACTTAGACTTGCGAAACTCTTTTCCTCAGGCAAGAAGCAGTAGACATGCTCTGTGATCTCGCTGTCCGCAAGTTGTCGCCAGGAACTTCCAGCGGGTCCAGCTGCAAACAGTCTCCAGGAACATCCGGCAGTTCACCGAGAAGACTCCGGAGACCCCCCACTCGTACATCCACCGTCGAAGACGAGCAAGGTAACTTTGTGTCTCCCTGTCCTCCGCAAAGCAAACATTCAATTGATATATTCATGTACCACCCGGGAAAAAGAAATTCAGTCGAGCAGTATCGTCTGGGTACGTACGTCAAATATGGAACTCAAACGAAATACATAGGTTTGCTCCGACTGAAAAGCTCAACCGAGAACGAAGCAAAAAAGAAATGTCAGAGCGAACAGTAATTTTAGTAGTTCACAGCCGAGTAATTTTTATGCCCTGCAATTAGTGGAAAACCTGAAAAAAAGGAGAGAGCAACGGTACAGCGAATTCTCGGCGGGATTAAAAAGAACGGCCCTTAAATTATCGTTTCCCCGATGGCAAAACGTTATCTACCGAATTAACAGTTTTTCTTTTAAACCCGTAATTCCCGAGCTCTCGACGAGCAGCCTTGGAAAATGTTGAAAACTCAGGAGAGCCTGTGCAACGTTCCTGCCGATTGTCTAAACTTTAACGAGCTGAATACTTTTTGTACCTCCTTAAATGTAATTCTTTCCATTTTTTTCCTCCCCTTCAGCTTTTAATAAGCAGAAGGTCTTTCATTGAGAAATCTTCGAGAAAAGTGAACGATTTAAAGCAACCTTCATCAAATCCTCCAAATTTGAACAACACCCTAGCTTCATCCATCGTTTCCAACCGCAGAATCCTCTCCGAGTGCGTAATTGTAAAACCACTTACACGTTTCCGCAAAATTAGCTGTTTTGCATGCGAGGCGCGAGAAAGTTTAATTGCGCGCCGCTTATAAACATTCCAACCCCTGGGAGTTCGACGATGGTACCGAGCTACATAAATCTCTGTACATCCGATCTTTAAAGTGACACGGGAAGTCATCAAGATATCCAATCCCGAATTTCTAGCCAAAGGGGAAAGATCATCAGCTCTTAACAACGGACATGCTTTTTCCGTCATCGTTACTTTATCACGAACCCATACGCAGATCTCAGCAACCACCTCATTTCTTCTCACTATAAATTGCAAACAACAGCTAAACTATATGAAAGTTCAGCCATTTAGGGAAGGATAACTATAGAAGTAACCAAGTAAAGTTAATAAACGGCGTATAGCATGTACTGTAATAAAAAAAGGCTGAAGGAAAATTATGAAGAGAAAAGGGCTATGGGGTGTATAGCCGACTCCTTGATACCAAGTGTACATAGTTAAAGATCACATCTAAAAAATAAATCCTTCCATTATATAAGAGCAAGGACCACCGGGTGGTGGTCCTTTATTACACATACACCTGTTGCCGATGACCGAACGTTTCCCATCATTTTCCAGACCCAAACCAGAAGTACTACGTCACGCAAGTATCGACTACGAGCCAGGCGGACACTTCCGACTCGGACCAGTGTTCGATCAAGACCCAAATAACGAATTCCCAGCCGAACACGCCAGCCAACGACATAATCGACCCTCCACCCCTCTACGACGTCTGCGATTCGAGCGACTCTAAGCCGTCAAGACCGAATTTCCTGGACCTTGCCGCCCCGCAGGACAAGCCGCACTTCCAGTTCAGCTTGGATTCCGATTCCGAATGCACTGGGCCAGTAATCATTACGGAAAGTGACTCGAATTTCGGAACCGAAGCCGAAGGCGAGGACCTGGCCAGGGATGCCCCAGGTCTGTCCAGCGACGAGCAGGACACCAACCTCCCCTCCGAGCCGGCCTCTATGCCGCCTCTTCTGCCCTCGACCAATCCTGCCAGCACTGCCTTCAGCTACAAGAATCCCGCTTATCAGAGCGCTAACCCTGCCTGCGGGGTCGCCGATAACAGTGCCAAGAACAAGAACACCCATTCCAGCGACCAGGACATCCCAGGTTGGTTTGGACTCGAACTTCCACCGAGGTGTTGCGATTCATTGTGTACGTAATCCCTGCAATCGCGGTCACGCGAATTGTTGTATCCTGAGTTCGATCCTCGCTTGTTGAATCCTTGTCCAGGGATTATTCCGGATTATCCACTCAAGAAATCATGGATTTTAATGCTCATGCAATGCAAGCTGAAATCACTGAAAATCGTTCGAAATGATCGAAGCGTTGTCAGAGTTTTAACGCCGAACATTACTTGTTGCCTGAATCACGGTGGCGTTTATCGGATGAAATCAAAGACAATCGATTCTCAAAATAGGGAATCGTTTTCACAGATTTCCAAGTGAGTAGATCGATCTTTGTCCAGGGTCTAGGTGAAGATCGGAAAGCTTAGATAGGTCCGTGAAAATGAACAAGGAGGGATCCATTGATACTTTGATGATACCGTGATTAATTTCACTTTATATGATTTCCTTCCCGAAGGAAGGACGTCCGCGTCCGTCGATTGTCCCTTATCAATGCGGCTTATCGGTTTTCTCTTGAAATCGCCCATTTTTATCCTGACCACTGGTTAAAAAGAACATAGGCAACCAAGTAGTTTGTTCTATCTTCAATGCCTAGGATTTCTGCGTTTACGTGTATAACATTTTGTGGACGTTAACGTTGTTGGATTATTGGCGTATCAGGGCAAACAAGCATCTGGCCATTGTCTATCAGCTAGTGAGATTACGCGCATGCTCTCACGAGCGCGTAAAAAGCATCCGTATCTTTCGGTTAATGCTCGTCGCAGCGTCGACATAATCACCTCGTTGCTCTTCGTTCAGGAAAAGTTCTGGGGGCGGATGATCCAGGAGGCAGCAAAGGATTGCTCAAATGGAAAGGTGTGATGTTCACTCCCAGTGACGGCATAGGTGAGGTGAGAAAAGCTGAGGAGGCTTCTGGCAAAGGTACCACGGATTCGGCTACTTCACCCGGCAACCATGATCAGGAAAGCGAGGTATCTTACTTAAAATGAACATTCATGAACATTGACATTGAAAATATACAAAGCTCGGTTAAATGGTCCTCGAAATCCAGTTAAAATAGAAATTGCGAGATGGAAAATGCACTGACAAAAGTGCCCATGTAAATTTACATGCTCAATCATCGATGCCACGATAACTTACAGTATAATTACATTGTCTCTGTAATATCACATTCAGAATCCGAGTTAGATTATAGAAAATTATAATGTAATATTACATCAAATTCAGGTAAAAATGCGCCATTATGATAAATATACAATGTTAGAGATACTTATACATTTTCTAATTTGTAACTCTACCATTTTACGGTTTCCCATGTGAAACTTCACTCATGAGGTCTGTAAAAATGTATGTAAATTTCTATAGAATTTTGTCAGGTTGACTTATCACATTTTAAATACCTGTTTCAAATTACTTCAATTGAGATAGTTATCCAGCTTTGGAAATATATAAGCTATTTTCTTCTGGTGGGATTACTTGACCAGAAAATTATATCGCGGAAGAGAGCCAAGTAAAAGTCGGTACTTCGATCCGTGGAAGAGTAATTTATGATTTTCTTTTAATCCTACGACGTGGTAACGCCGTTTTTCTTGATTAAGGTGTTCATGGTGGAACTGACCAGAGGATGGAACAGTCGATTAGGATTCAGCTTGCAGCCGGAAGGTAATCGCACGGTAATATCCGTGGTACATGCCGATAGTGTCGCGGCAAAGGATGGCCGGCTTAAACAGGGTGACGTGTTAATTATGGTAAGTTCCTAGAAATTACAATGCCATGCCAATAATGGGGTGCCCGCCAAGAACAGCCGCTACGTTGCATAGCGTTTAATTAGAGATCTCCATCGGCCATATCTGCAGGGATCGGAGGTATAAAAGTTAAAAGGAAATTTTCCTGACAATGAATCTGAAAGTAAATTCAACCATTAGAGACGTTATTTCTGCTTACACGTTATACTAAGTAATAAAATAAAAAAGAATAGCCGTACCTGCATTCATTGTAGCTGGAATCCAAGTACACAAGCTTCACTCCTAGAAAATTCAGCAGATGACATTCCGATTACGGCGACTTGATTGGAGATTCATTAACAGATAAATCGGCTACTGCTATTTCATGTCTATGTGTTGATTATTAAAGACTAAAAACGGTCGTACCTGGTTCCAGGTTAACGACGAGAGCGTGGAGGAGATGTCGACTGCCGAGATAATAGACTTGCTGCGAAAAATCCGGGGTTCCATAGGGATCACCGTGATGAGAAGAAAAACGAAGAAGGACAACGCAAACGTAACGTGATGTTAGATTGAACCCGAAGTCGGGCACCGAAAGTGGCCCTGTACAAGAAGTGGCGAGTCATGAGTTATTCTTCGTTAGCAAGAAGAGAAGGACGTTGAAGAATTTCCTCCTGCTAGGAAAGTTACGTACGAAACCGTTGGATCACGCGACCGCCTTTTTCTCTGGACATTGTTCCTCGTGTGTCTCCGTAATCGAAACGGAAGAGCGATCATTGAAACCCGTGCCAGATTCACTTAACCGTTAATAGTTATAAAGCGGTGCCGCAGAGTTTTAATTAACGCTGAACATTTACATCTGTACATATGAATGTACATACACGTATGTCTAGATTTCCGAAAGATCCCGCGAAAGACATCGTCAAGTTGTTAGAAGTACGACTCCTAGTCCACATTGATTTCCGGAAGTAAGTGACACCCCGATTATCGTTCCTTCTCATGGAAGCATCAAGATACATTCCCCTACCCGAGGGAATGAACTCCAAACATTTGTCCTCTGAAAATTAGCTGGACATTAGACACGCCTTCGTCCTCGTTCTAGCTATAAGCAGCGTGTACACAATCATGCCGAGAAATGCCATTTACCTGAAGCGTTCCATCTCGTTCCCCCCATCGACCCAAGTACGAGTGCAATTACTCCCGGAGATTAGTTCCCTCTGACATCGGAGGACAAATTAAACGGAAAATGAGAATAGAAGCGGAGATAGAGCTCCGCGTAAATCTTAAATACACCCCCACGTATATTCCGAGCTAAGCGCGCTAAGGAGAACTGAATAATCAAAGAGTCAATCAAAAGATACATTGTAAATACATAGCACGAGAATTTATGCAGGCGGACCGTTGTAAATTACGTCCCAGAGAATACTCGGTGGAATTAACGTCGAATTTAATTTTTTATACCAGAGACATCGAGTTATCGTGTGCGTGGACGCGCGCTCTATAATTGATAATATACACCGCCCGAGGCGAGCGAAAATCAAGTGTAACGTTAACTCGCGTTGAACATATCCTCTTGCAGTTACAGGTAGAAGTACAGGATAGGTGGAGATTTAATATTTTATGCTATGTACATTTAGGGAAATAACTTGTGTGCGCGTTATGCGGAGCCGGTTACGTTTACCGGCTCCGTGATTTACGTATAACGTCGAGGATAATCCACGTGTACAATTGCGCGATTACTAGGACGCAGCCTGTAACGATCGTTTCACCGTCGACGGAAGGTTTTTCGTTATATTTATACTTTAGAATTCCATTTTACCCTCGTTTCGCGGGAGCACGTGGATCGTGTGTAGTCTTTAAACGCTTTTCTCGCACGACGTCCAATTATCGCGATAATGGCCGCGTAATTAGGCCTAACGTGTACGTTGATGGTATCGTCGCGTCTTCGACGATTTTTTGAAGATGTGAACGTACTCCCAACGCTGGCTGTTCATTTCGAAATACACCTAGGATTTAATCACTTAATAAATACTTGGACGTAGTGATGCGAATATTCCTAATGAGCGGAGACGATTATTAAAACCAGGAACGACTATTGCGACCGAATCAAGAGTACTCTATTAAGAATTATCGGCGGAGATATAGCGTTTAATATAGTATGCGAATAAATGTGATAGCTAGGTCTATTAGCGTGTTAGGACTTTCAAAACTCTAATGAACGTTAGCGCCTGTCAATAAAGGAATTATAAAAGATAAATCAGATAAAGAATACCAAAGTAACGTTTAAGTAATGTCAAAGACAGCTGTTTTGATGTTGCACTGTGCTTATTAAATTATTGTTGATGCCTGTTATCGAGGGAACCTGATTTATGGGACTAATGTAAATTCATGCGATCGTCGTCAATATATAGCCACGGTTGGTCCTCTGTGTGGCTACAATGTTGTAATCTGTTAATAAAGTCAACCGTCTTTGATAACTATGCCGGTGTTTATAGTGTCTTTGTTGGCATGCCGAACCCATGACAAAAAATTATTGTTAGGTGCGTATTATACTTAAAATCTCAACACTAACGGATAAAAGCGTCATAAAAAATAGGAATAAAGATCGAGTATGTATTACGATTTTAAATTTCAAGTGAAGTCGGATAAAATCGAACAGTTTTGTTCAAAATATTTTAATGATCAAGGAAAAGATAACTCGATAACTAGAATAGTTTAATGTACAAGCCTCTTCGAAACTAAGATCCTGTGCGGAAAATCAGTACATTGATTAATCGACAAGTACGAAGGGAATGTACCAGACAAAAATTCAATTAACATGGCAGGCATGCAAACATGGTATCCTCACAAACCCTTTATAATATCTAACGAAATATCGATTATTAATACATAAAACACAAATCGGAATTAAATATATGATTCAGTTTCCTCTTGCGTTTCTCATCTTTTGTTTCCTTCCGGCTGTATTTATACAATAAAATTCAGTAGAAAATATTATCTGTAGAAAAACTGAAAATTAAATCTTGTGTACATCATAATCAAGTTTCAAAAATTATTCGTTTTAAACATGTGAAACTTAGTGAAATGACAAAATTCAATATAACACCGATACGCTCGGCCGCATTAAATAGTCGCTATCAAACATTTTCACTGGATGACTTATTAGCTGCAGCTCGCCTACGCGTAGGTCTTGTTGGAACATTAGGAATTTCTACATTTGGAACTTCCTCACGCTTTCGTCTAGTATGCTTTGGCTTAATATTTACAACAGGATCCGTGGCATGCTCACAGGTACTCATTACATTTCGTTTCGATTCGTCAAGGACCCTCCTGGTTAAACTTTTGTCAAGAGTACGATTAATGGTTTCACTGCCGCCTTGTGGTGAAACGTGGTTTCTTTTCCTTGTCGATCGACGAGTTACCTTAACGTCATTTGTTACAGAGTCAGTATTTTCCTTATCTTGTCGTTTCTCAACTGTAGGTTCACCTTTGTTCGTGCATTCTGCTACGACCGATCTCTGTTTGCTCCTGACTTCCAATTTTTCTGCGAAAAATAAAACATTTTTTAGAAGTCAATTAAGCAGTAATAGTGTTTTAATTGAATAAACAGTGAACTTAATATTTCTGCTATGCACTCACAGGAAGCAATCAATGAACTCTAAGTTCTATTAATGGCGATTGTATTTTAATACTTCTAATTGACTGCGGTTGAGTAATGCAGATGATGTTCGCTTAACAAGATACACTTTCAATTGGCACAATTGCAGACCTCTTTAATACTGACGCATGGTCACTAAGAGTCATTCATCAAAATGCTTAGAGCAAAAATTGAATAATAACATCGAGTTAACAAGTTTTACGGAGTACGGAATTTATTCTACAAGGCAATGCGTTTACAAGTAAAATGTTTCCAGTCGCAGAGAAACCAACGGACTGATAGGCCATTGCAAATGTGTATAGTGTCGTCTGTGCAATGAATCTAAATCTATTTTCAGCTCTCGTAAAATAAACGAGGACAAACTGTACAAAGAGGGACTTACTTATACATCACAGAAGTTGAAAGTTAATTTAAATGCCTATTGTTACGCACCATCATTATTACTAAAATCGAAACTATCGTTGCTCGAAATATCAAATGAGAAATCTTCAGCAATAGTCATTGCCAGCTGTCTAGCATTCTTTTCGCGTTCTTGCTGCTCATGTTGTGTATCGGACAGTTTTAATTCGTCCACATCAGAAAGACTGGTATTCAAGTTGCACACTTTATTGCTTGAATCCAATTTCGCTCTTTTCTTTGTATATTTTTTGTCCTTTTCCCTAATGCCAGTAGATTCTTCGTCTGTGGAATCACTATCCGTTGGTGCTGCAAAAGGATCAAATGCTGGTGCCTTTGAAGTTCTATCCAACTCTGAACTTATAATCTGGCCTGTCAAGGTTGTGGATTCTGAAGATGGCACATCGATTTCAAACTTCACATCATCTTTTGATGCACTTTGGCTCTCACAATGGGCATCGTCATCGATTTGATTGGTAGACAAACTTACTGTATTCATTTCGGATGTATCAAAAGTTTGCGAATTCTCCTCCAGAGATGTATCTCTACTATTACTGAGCTGAGTTTTAACAAAGTCTCGTGGATCTTCACATCTGTACCACTGCAATGGACACGATATGTCCGAGTCAGAATCGACATAAACAAGATCATTGTGATCCATATAAGAGCAATTTAAATTACTATCATCACTCTCTTCGATAACAAGCCGATTGCAATCAGGTTTTCTGGGACTTGCACTTAGATCAGAACTATTACACTTATTGAAAATTGATCTTTTAGCAGATGGTTTGGAACTTTCACGATTTTTAATGGTATCTATCAAAGCACTGAAGCTTGATTTATGTGTTTCCACTGTAAAGAGAAGTATGTTGAGGATAATAGTAACAAAAAAAATTGAATTTACTAAAGCATATTCAAATTTCTCTTCATCAACAACATTAAAATTTATCTAATCTTATCGATATAAACAATACATACAATATTTTTTCTGAGCCTCTTCTATACTGCTTTCATCTGTGGTTCTTGTTACTTTAAGTTTCTATTAAAGAAAAAAGCAAACAGTGAATAATAGGAGTTACATACTTAAATAAATCATTCATTGAATGTATCTGATATGAAACGAAAATAAGATAGTTACATTCACAGCGACACTTTTCTGCATTTTTTTCTCAATTCCCTCTTCTTCTTCACATTGCTTGATTAATTCGGATATGGGTCTTGGCTTTGATTTATCACATTCTGCATTGTACAGAGTTGAGTATCTTTGTAGCCGCATTTCTAATGTTTTTCGGTCACCCTGCGATTGTAAACCAAGATCTTTTAACTTTTTCCGCAGCTCAATATCTTTCATCAAATTGAACACCAACTTTGGCAGAGGTTTGCGTTTGGGTTCTTCTCTAAAACAACGATATGAACAGAATTGAAAAAACATTCAAGTACTTTATGATTAATACAGAAACTTTAACAACAAAGAATTAATCAATTTACTGTTTTGGAAGATCAATTGTTGCCTCCCTCTTTAAACAATCATCCAGATGCTTGTTTATATGAATTTCCAAGATATCCACTTTACATACTGGACACATTACTACTTTACCACAGATAGTGGGAGATACTTCTTTTTTACTTTTCGGCGTAAAAATAGAAGCTACCTTCTGAGTTCCACTAGTACTAGGACTGTTAGCACCTTGTTCAGGAGTTACATCATGCCCCTTAAAATTACAATCTCCAACTTGATCAGATTTTTCTTTGTTTAACCTTCTAGGTGTCTTAATAATATCGCTAGATCGTGCCGGTCTCGTCGGAGGAAGCTCTGGACTGGCCAAGTATTCACTCGTAACAATTTTAGCTCCACTTATACACGTAACTAATTTATCTCGTACTTTTAGAAAGCATTCTATAATTTCATCCAATATCCTATTAGTATGTAAATCTTTCTCAAAAGTTTTTTCAAAGCAAGCAGGACATTGCATCTTATAGTGTAAATATTTCCTGATGCATAAGGAACAATCTGAAAATCGAAAATAATTTTTCTTAATTTCATATTTTTTAAATAACTTCTTTGCTCAAGCAGCACAAGTAACAATGTCATCCTAGCTCCTGATTTATTTTGCTTTCATCCATGACTAATTTCATTTGATCTAAATCTGTTCCTCGTTGCTTAAAAACCATAATCTTATCATTATCAGAAGACATGATTTAATAAGACATTCACTGCAACATTATTTCACAAAACTTCCTTACAATTGTGCGAACATGGTGTCATAACAGTTGTATCCATATACTCATAACAGATTCCACACAGGAGCAAGTCTTCGATTCTCTGAAAAGAAATTAAATCATATAGGTTAGTTATTACTCAAATGATTAACTCAAAATTTTTCAAAGTACATCAATAAACATTAAGAACCTTCAGTTCCATATAATCCGCTGGCCAGGTAATTTCTGGAAATTTCCCCATGATTTCGTTGTTTCAACACCATTCACAAAATACTGTACATGGATGAAATGTAGAATTCGAATATTGTTTACTCCTCAATACAGTATGTGTATTGTATGTCCCAAGCTACTTATTCTGTCATCCAAGAAAGTTCACTAACAACCATAATTATTGCAACATCAAACTTGTTGCAGTTGAGAGAAACGACACGCGCAAAAATTATAAAACAAATAAAAAATAGCCGCTCTCGACACACCGTTACTCAGAACATCGTTTCCCTCCATTTCCTTTCATTTTTAGCACCGGCGATAAATTCATATACACGTCAGAATTGGTCTGAATCGGTCTGAATTTAGCAGCACAGGTAAGAGCCATAGAAGAGTACCAGAAGAGAATAACCGACAGAGATGGAGTTGGGAGATTGCTCACAGGCAGAGTCGAGCAGAGATAAGTTGGGAGATTGGTCACGGGCAGGGTCGTGCGATCGCAAGCTGTGCTGCCCTCTGATTTCGTACATTAGCTTTCACCGTTTTTGCCCCCAAAGGCGGCGCAACAAATTTCTGGTAGGGGCCGCGCACTCGCGATGGAGGTGCCATCTTTCAGAGGAAACCATCGATGAATGCCAGTGTACATATATTCTTACCTCTATGGCGTTAAAAGTCGTGTAAACGCCATTTTATTCCGGGTTCGCAAGTAAAATCGGCGATGAACGGCGTTTATACGATGCTTAACACCAGTAGTTATAAAACCGATATAAGGCAGGAGGTGTAACCGGATTACTGCTTTAATATTTAATTTCTGTCCAGGGGAAGGTAAAAATGCTAGTTTACATAAGAAAAAAGAACTGAAATTTCCCGCATCAGGCTGCGCCTGCGTGTACAAATCGTGTCCTGTGCTGCCAACGTGCGGAGTTTTCAACCGATGCATACATTTTACAATCATATACATAAGCGCCATCAACAATAAAGAAATAACAGCTCATATTCTTCTGTCATTATATAGGGTATTTTTAAATATGATAAACTTATAACGATGCGGATATTTATGCAAAGAAAATTACACACTAGATTTGTAAATGAACAGTGCCTCCAATTATGAGGTGATCAAAAAAATCTTCATGGAATTACAGATTATGCATCACAACCCACGTAGAAAAAGCCCCATATGAATAACAATGTCCAATTTCAATTAATAATGTAATGCAAAAAGGGTTCCATCATTTTCCATATGCATTAACGCCTCACATTTGAATCTCTTACCGAGCTACATTTGGCCAACGATTAGTGATAAACGTTTACAAAAAAAAAAGAAACGAAGATCATAATTAAAGTAGATCCAATTGAACTCAAATCCAAGACCGCAATCTTCATTATCGCTCACAAAGGATGCATTACCGCAATCGAGTATCAGCACTGCAAATAAGCATCGTAATTATAGAAAAAATCTCAACCTTTTTCCGTCCTTTGTTCCAGTTTAATTTCCTGTTACTACAAAACAATGTCACGTCCGACTACAAATCCATTTATACTCCTTTATCTGTCCAACCATTTCAGAATTTCTACTTCCGTGCTTCTCCTTCCCTTTATTACATTTTTTTTTAGAGGAAAGAGGGTAGGGAGAGTGGACATGTAATTTTTATTTTCTTCACTTATTAAATGAGTCAGTCACTCGGTGATGTCAATCCCTTATGCGCGATCGATCAATCGCGTACGAGTGATAAGGATAGGACGAACTCGATTCGCTGATTAGGAGCTGATTAGGGACGACCATCACTCTGTGGTAAAATCGCGCGGAATTGGGACGAAGAGCCAGTCTAAAGGTATATCGAGCAATTTGATGTCGACTATGGACAGTCTATCACTTTGTTTATCTTCCTGATGTCCTAAGATTTTGGCACGGTTCGCGACTCATTTTTTTGCTCGCTATTGACGAACATTGCGCGCAATTGTTTGCGCTCAGGAGCGACCTTAGGATAAGCTCGGACTTCGGACAGTAACAAGGTAAACTTAAACGACCTTAATTCGGCTGATAAAATGTGAACGCGAGTCTTCGAGGAAAAAATATCTGACAGAAAGATCAAAGAAAAGATATGTAATGTGGGGATATTATCGTGGCGGCGAAAGAACGAATAAATAAGAAGAATCTATAAATAAAGGACATAGTAAATCTAATGACTCGGGAAACGTAAATTAACTTGAGCTGGTCAGTGAGAAATGATGATGTGTATAAACTGACAGAATAGATGATAAAATGTATAAGGAATTTGTGAGTGAGATAAAGAATTCTTATTTTAGTTCAGGTATTAACACAAAACGTAAGGTAGGAACAGTAATTTATTATTAGTAGAAATTATTGAAGCACGCGGATATATTAGTTTAGTCTGCAATGGGAAGCGCGGGGTAATTACACACTGTTAAAAGATGTATAAGGAAATTTCAATTTAAACAATATAAAAATATGTTAGGTGAGTTTCTCACTAAGCAATGATAGCGATGACAAGGACGTACGGGTAAAGTTCACCTTTATCGAGAAATTATTGAAGGTCGTGGAGCTAGAACGCGTGGAAGATAATTATGCACATAAATATATGCGTCCCTAGTAGTACAAAATATTTGTCCTATATTCTCTATATATTTAACGAATATCGTACATTTTGTAAATATTTAGCAGACATTTGAAATATTTGCAAAACGTTTACTTTAGAGTATTATCCCTGTAATATTTATATAATATTAGCTCCATGGGTTTTCATAATATTTTTCTACCAGATATACAAAACATTTCGTTTCATTTTAATACAAGTATTTTTTAAATATTATCTGCCGAATACATTATAAACGTTTTAAAAATATTTAAAATCAAAGTCACACGTTTTGCTCCCATAATGAAATAGCGGTACGAAAATATTAGAAAAATTTCTTGTGTTTTTTCATACGAAGTGAAGTGTCCGATAATAGTCGTGAAGTTAAAGAAATGTATTTTTATTATATGTTCATAAATTAAGAAATATAATTTCTGTATATGTTTATAAATTATTGAAACTAAATGTGTCATTGAGATTTTCAACAAATATTTCGGATATCTTCGAATGAAATCTACAAGAAATCTTAAAAAATCTGTCGCTTGAGATGTTTATAAATTATTGAAACTAAATGTGTCATTGAGATTTTCAACAAATATTTCAGATATCTTCGAATGAAGTCTACAAGAAATCTTAAAAAATCTGTCGCTTGAGATATTTAGCAAAGATTACAAACAAATATTTAGAAATTATTCTATGCTACTAGGGGGTTAACGAAGATCTTGATGTAAAAGAATGTTCTGTACTGCACATTCGAAAAGTGAATGCAAAGTGACGGCTAATCGGTTAAGGGACTATGGTAAAAGTTTTCAAAGTATATTTGAGAACAGAAATGATATATTTTCGCAGATGTCGAGGGAAGATGCGACGACCGACGAAGAAACATCGAGGGTGGAATTGATGCATGAAAAACGTCAACGACGCGTCAGTGACGTCGCCGGGAAATTCGGATCTCCTGAAAATATTTTGCGACGAGGATACTCCGCGCCAATCCTTAGTGCCCGATCGAATATAGTATGCTCATATTGATTCCTTTAAATATTACAAAACAAAGAGCTTTACAATATCGACGGAGAAAAAATGACGAAACCGAAAAAAGTATTGCCTCAGAGATGCACTTCTGATTTTATTTCACATAAAATATATGTATTGTTAATCAGGGCCATATTTATTAATTAATAACACAGATAAAGTTTTGCAATCAAGAAAATACCGTGAAATATTTCCTTCGTTACTTTCAACGGAAATGAACAGGAAGTATAAGTAATAAATTTGAGTAATTCGCGTCAACATGTTCTATTTGAAAAATATGTATTCGATATCACCTGTACATCAGTTCTTCTCAGCATTCATTTATGATCTTGCAGATCCAATGAATGAAAAAAACCGTATAGAAAAAAGAAGTCTACTGTAAATAAATTACTGAATGCATTAAGTACTAATGTTAAACATGTTAAGCATTAAATATTCTATTAACGGTGTGTTTAATCTTGTCACAAGGAATCACCGGATCAAGGATATCCCACCACTCCTACGGATACCGAAGATGTTTTTGAGGAGCAATTTGAAAAATCTTTCGAATGGCACGACGTGACCGATGCTTCTCCTCAGCCGGTATCGGGCGACGAAGATGTGCCAAGAGTTTATGAGGACGACGATGAGTAATTCCTTTCTTTGGTTTCCAAAGTTCTACGTCTCGTAGTACGATGACTCACGGAGAGTCCGTCAATTTTTTCAAAATATTTGTTATTATTCGGTTTCAGTATTCACAGCGTTCCGAGCGGACTATCGGCATCAATGCCTTTGATACCTGATGCCAATCGCTACAATATGAATCACAAGAATCGAGGAAAATGCCTGGTTTTCAATCACGACGTCTTCGAATTGGGGTTTGAGAAACGAACCGGCTCCTGCATCGATACCAAAAGAATCCAGACCACGTTTGGAAGTTTGGGATTCACCGTACAGATTTTGGACAATCTGAAACACAGCGATATCATCGATAAGATAAATGACTGTAACTCGTACTTTTTGCTACTATTTTTAGCGTATATGTTAATGCAGAGGAAAACTTCAAGTTCAGCAGTTTTTAAATTAACATCCTCTCATTTCCGGTGACATTGAGAATTAGTAGGGCTAATATTAAGAATGAAGATACAAGTTTCGCGTATGATGCATTTGACGCGAAACTCTATCGAGGTTCCTGATATGTTTAACCGCATTTAGATTCGTTCGTATACAGTTAGCATAATAACAGAGTCACTAGAGATGCTCGCAATATTTTTCCAACATTAGATTGATTTTCACCTACTCGTCTTTGTTAATTTTCTGCTTCAGTAAGTTCGGAAGATCACACTGACAACGACTGTTTGTGCGTTTTTGTACTGACGCACGGGTTAAACAATGGTTTCATTTGCGCAAACGATGTTGCTTATAAAGCCGACAGCATCTGGAAACCTTTTACCGCTGACAGATGTATTTCCCTGGCTGGTAAGCCGAAGCTTTTCTTCTTCCAGGTAAGATACATTGCAACAAAAACATTTATAATAAACATATATAATTCCCAGACATTTTTTCAGACATGCAACAAATGCAGAAGTAATATTCTTCAACTATACAATATAAAACAATACACTTAGAAGTCCTCTTCCTTTACATTCCTCATACAGAAATATTTTGGTACTCGTAATTTTTCCCAAATGAACATTTTAAAATTTCTATAACCCATCTGAACTTCATTTATTTGTGACTTGTATAATTGTATCTCTAATCTTAGACTTTTTAATTGCAAATACAGGCTTGCAGAGGAAACAGGAGTGATCGAGGAATCACCCTTCAATCTCGCTCCGGAAGTATGGAAACTGATTCTGCCGTCAGTTCTTATAAAATTCCCACGCATTCGGATTTTCTTATAGCTCACAGCACCGTGGAAGGTCAGTCTCACATTTTACAAACACCACCACGTACCTAAGCGCATTATAAATAAATACTTGATACCAAATTTAACTTGAAAAGTTGACTGAAAAGGACTTTTTATATCGAAGTAAGATCATAGGTCCACTATTTAAACAATACTCGCAATTAATATTTTCGCTGGAGATGTTTCGATTTTTCTATGTTTATGTACCGACTATTAATGATATCACGACTCATAAATTGACTCGTGTCCATTTAAATTGCACAATCTGAAAGAGTGCTTTCAAAGAATGAAATGCATTTTAGCGTACATTAATTATTACAATTTTCGTTAACGTGATTAGAAAATAGGAGGGGATTTTACGCTAAATCTCGGCAGAATTATTTAAATCAACGTCGATTATCTTTGCAGGGTTCTACTCGTGGAGGAATCCAAAAGAAGGCTCCTGGTACGTGCAGTGTCTATGCGACGTGCTCGATAATTATGCAATGTCTACAGATTTAGCGAGGATGCTGACTCTCACCGCTCGGAAAGTCGCCACTGAACATGCAACGTATAACGACCTTAATCCAGCTAAAGCCGACCTAAAGCAAGTGCCTTCTACGACCTCGATGCTAATCAGAGAGCTTTACTTCACACCTAAGCTCAAGTGATGAGCACTCTTGCGTGCTTTGTGGTCCAAGTAGCGCCACTTTATCGCAGCGCGATATCGAATCTGAATAGAAAGATAATGAACAACGAAAAGAGAGCTTCTTCTAGAAAGCCGCAGCTAGAATGGCTCCATAAAAGACGTATCTAAACTGGGCTTGAAACAACTCTGTGTTCACTCTGCTCGTATTTTCTTTTATTATCTCATATACCCTTTAGGCCAGAGTGCCTCTTACCTGGAGCGATAGTTTATTTTGCCAGTTAAATGAGATTATTTCGATTTTCTAACGTGTAGGGCAACTCGAGCAACTGGGGCGAGCTACGTCTTTTTTTGGTTTAGAACATGAAAAAAAAATCACAGGAGGAGATGGAGTAGTTTAATAAAGTCTGGCCTCGCAAGCTCTTCCTTTGTTTATAGGTGTAATAATGAGCCTGCAAGGTGGAATCGTATCTTTCTTTAACACAAGGCAATAATCGTTCAAAAATAAATAGATCTTCTTTGGTACTCTGTAAATAAACGTATTTAAGTAAATCATTCGAAAAATGAAATTTTCACGCATAATTTCTACCGTCTAACACTTTACCTAAATATTTATTTCTAAACCGATCTTCGGACATCTACGAACTTCGACTTAATTACACTATTGGACATCTTCCTTTGCAATTTTTTTTTTCTAATTTTAATTAAAACAAAATACAGCTCTTTCCACTCACGTGACTCACTCTGTATATGCTCGGTTCGAATGAGCGTTTTTTTTTTTACTTTTACGCCCTAAGATCTGGATATTGTTCGTATCCATAAACTGTATAGCGCACACCTTTTGAAAGATCTTTTGTACAATTGCCATGCAGTATTTGTAATAAAGCCCGAAGTCAATAACATCACGATATTCCGTTAAATTTTGATCTCTTATTCCCACACGAAACGAATATTCCGAGCCAATATCTCGTCAGATCGATAAATGTCCAAGTGGTTATCTACCTACCCTATCCCTTTGAGAAGTCCTGAAAAAATATCGAGAAAAAAAAAGGAGAGCCCAAATCAAATGTTTTGCATCAACCGAACTGTAATAAGTGATACTAACAATCCCTATTACGTGCGTGGGAAAAATCCTTCAGGACTCGATTACTGAAAATCTGAAATGTCACTAGACTAGACGCGATGTACCGCAGGAGGGAGCCCCAATCCTCGGTTTTATTCTCCTATTGTTGTTCATTGTTTCCCTTATTGTGACACATAGTCAAGCGTGAGTATCGCGTCGATTGGAAACGGAAAGAAACGATCGAGTGAAGAGTTTTGAGATATTTTCGGCGTCTGCCATCCTACCGCACGGTGGCGGGAGTTTGCGCGACCAGATCAATACAACCCCCGCACGTGGATCTTAGCCCCTAGAAATTGCACGCCGCGGAACGAGACCGTTTCATCCGGCCACAGTGCGTGCCGAGTGGTCCAGGAAGAGGCTGGGTGTCGAGAGGAAGGCAACGGGAGATTTCCGAGGGCCCTAGGCCCAAGGCTCCTCGGGAAAACATGGGCTGGGTGTTCCTGGAGATCCTTGAGTCCCTCGAAGGCTCCTCGCAAGAACCAGACGCTTTCGGGAGGAGATCTCAAGGATGAAGTCCCGACTCACAAGGAGCCGACCGAGGTGAGTCCCTCCCAGGATGTGAAAAGTCCCCTGAGAATAACCACTTTTAAAAAATCTGCGGCCTGGTGGAATAAACCAGCTGCTGCCGGAGAATATTACCGGATGAACGTGAATTTCCCCCAGTGGAAGGAGAATTTGAGAGGACTTTTTCAGGATTAGGAAAGCCCATTGGGGGTTTTACCTCCTTTTCTTTTCTGCACCTGCGTACTCCCTCAATTCGGTGTTTTGTACAGGATTACTTGTCGTCTTAGCAACCGCGGAGGCCGGTGTCGCGTTCTTTTATCGAATTTTTCTAACAGGGCTGCTTATGTGTGGTCAGCCGAGATGCTGGATGGGTGAAGGGGTGGATTTAGGGTTTGTGGTCCCGGCCCGTTGAATGGAAGCGTTAGGTCGATAGTGGTTAGTTTCCTTATGCTGGGATTATTTCTCCCGTACGTTCTTTTTCCGGCTCATTCGGTTTTCCTCGATTGATTTTTATTTTCACGGCTTGTTTACTTTTCCGATCTTGTACTACCCTTTCTTACATTTTCATTATCGATTCCTTTTCGAAATGCGCGGTTCAATGACCGCTATCTTTACTTCCTCGTATTATCCCTACCGTAGATAAAACATGTCTGATAAATTGTAATTACAAGAAATCTGATACATCGATTGCCTAGAATTAATAAGTATGCACTTTTAATAATTGCACGATGTATCCGACATGTACATGTATTCTGACCCGCTTGTTTTAAACGATTTGGCGATAAAACTTAGAAGTTCCGTCGATATGACGTAGAAGTTTTACTGTCATATTTAATGATTTTTAGGAGAAATTATGAACAGTTTGTGTGCATCGGAGGTGAACCTTTTTCAGATGCAACTGACCTCGGATACACGGAGGGGAGAAGAGAGAGAAATTCCACTGCCACAAGAACCACTCGAAAGGAACCTTTTTCCCCATTTGCTCTTATTAACCGGAGTCAGCGAAGACCCCGTTGACAAGGAGAAGAGGGACAGATAGACAGAGGGTGACAGTCCTTGGTGAAAAAAACAGAGGGTGACAGTCCTTGACAAAAAACAGGGGGCGCGACACGAGCCGGAAGAATGGCCATGTACGTAACAGGGGTTGCCGGTGTAGCCGTATTTTACTTGTTGGTTCTTGGTGTCGGGGCCTGGGCTGCGGCCGCGAAACGAAGGAACTCCCAAAGATGTCAGGATGATTTGATATTGGCAAATCGAGGATTGGGACTATGCCTTGGAATTTTCACCATGATCGGTAAGCGCGGACGAACGGCCAAACCTATGAACGACTCCCCACCACGTGAAACACAATAGAGATCGAATTTACCCGTTTTCTAAAATTATTCCCAATGCGAGGGCTAATAAATAAGTGTACTTAGAAATGTTACCTACATGAGATGTCACGTGTTCATCGTGCACCATTAAATTTCTTTTAAAAAATTGAGCTTTTCCAAATTCTGCGGAAAGTCCAATATAAAGATTAACTGTGCCTGGTATGACGTTTCTCGGTCTGGACCAAAATGTTTTAATTTGATTTATTATAATGCGCGGCAATTGTCTCCAGCAACCTGGGTCGGGGGAGCATTTATCAATGGAACTGCAGAGGCGATGTATACAAGAGGTTTGGCCTGGTGTCAAGTACCCATAGGGTACAGTCTTAGTTTACTATTTGGTAAGTTATTTCCCCAATGTTTCTGTTTAGAATCTATCATAAGATTGGTGGTAAAATTTCCCACAATAAATCCTCTATTTTCATGTGTTTCATTTTTGCCTGTTTGGCTCTATAAGCATTCTCTGAATATCTGGAGATCCGAAGATCTCCACTGATTGAGACTTACTCGATCAGATTTACGTTGATCTCTGGTGTAATTTGTATTACGTGTATTTGTTGCAATACTCACCCGAGATTTTTATTTTCCATTTTGAACGTTCGGCAGGTGCGGTGCTATTCGTTAAGCAAATGCGAAGAGCAGAGTACGTGACGATGCTGGATCCTTTCCAGCGTTTATACGGAGCCCGGGTTGGAGCACTCCTTTTCCTGCCAGCTCTTCTTGGGGATCTTTTTTGGTGTGGCGCCGTTTTACGAGCTCTCGGTGGTTCCCTGTCCATCGTTGCAGGGATCGACCAGAACATCAGCATCTGTGCGTCCGCTTTGCTCGCTGCAACGTGAGTAAAATAATGAGCGAGATTAGCGAAGCGTCCAGGCGCGAATCCCATTCCGTTTTTGAAAGGGCGAAAATACGCGAAGCGTCCTTTAAGCGTTCAACTTCAAAGCAACAATCCCTGGATAAAGCATTGTACCGGTGTATCGTCCTATCATCTCGTATCCATGTTGTAAAATTAACCATCAAGAAAAGAAATTCATTAATAAATTACTCCATAATATGAAAAGTCAATTCGTAATCCTTGGATCTTAGCTCGATTTAAGTATAACACTTTAATTCTTTTTTCACCAAAGATAAGAACATCTAACAGACATTTAATTTTATTTATTCTCAAAAGATATATCCTTGTTGACCCGATATGCAAATTAAATATCTTCTTTGTAGGTACACAGTTTTTGGAGGATGGTATTCTGTGGCACTCACCGATGCTTTACTGCTGGGGTGCATAGCAATTGGCCTCTCCGTAGTGACACCGTTCGCAGTTCTGCATCCAGCAGTTTCTCTGGAGAAGAATCTAAGTCAAAAAGATTGGCTAGGAGAAATTCGAAAAGAGGATTTCGGCGAGTGGGCTGACGGGATGTTGCTTCTGATATTCGGCGGCATACCTTGGCAGGTGATCTTTTCGACTCTTGTTGTAACAAAATGTTCTCATTTACACGTTGCGTGGGACTATCAATACGTATGCATGTATCTATATATGCATATATTATGACAAATTTAGAATGTTATACTCGTTAATGATTTTCACGCCAACATTTCCTTCTAGAGTTATTTTCAACGAATTCTCAGCGTGAAGAGCACCTCCATCGCCAGGGTGCTTTCCATCACTTCTATGTTCGGATGTATCATCTTAGCTGTACCATCTGCACTATTGGGAGTGGTTGGTAGAGCGACCGATTGGTATTTCGTTACTGGCTATAATAGAACACTTGCCATCGAAGATGGAAGTGTGATTTTGCCCTTGGTTCTCAGAGAGCTAACTCCCCAGTGGGTGTCTTTTGTCGGTAAGTTGCTGCAAGTTAATAAAGAAAATACAGAAATACCTTGTTTTATTTTGCTTTACTGGGTTGATTAATAAGTAATGGCGTTTTCTTTTCTACACGTTTTGTTACGTATTAAAAACCCCATTACTTATACATCAACCCAATATTTTGCAAAGGAAAAGGGATTCTGCTTAAATCAATAAATAAAGAAATAAGGAAGGAGATCCACGAGTATGTTGTATACCTAGAATGGTTAGACTGGATGATGTATTTTAAGTCAATGGAAATAAGTTGATTGAGCAATATTTGAATTGTAGTTTTGCAATTCTTTTTTTTTTCTCAAGATACGTCGAAATGCTGAAGTTATTTCGGGGCGTCACGGAAGACATCTCACTGAATAACGTTGACATGACGTATTTCCATGATCTCTTTATTTAATGACTGAGACTTTTGTCCTGGTGAAATATTAAAAATATTATTGAAGAAATAATTAAGATATTCCTTTCCAACAGGACTAAGCGCGATCTCGGCAGCGGTCATGTCTTCCGCAGATTCGAGCATATTGGCCAGCAGTTCCATGTTCACAAGAAATATTTACAGACAAACGATAAGACCTAAAGCTTCGGAAAGAGAGCTGGACTGGGTACTTAGGATTACTATAATCGCGATCGCTATTCTTTCGACTGTAGTAGCTTTGACTGTCAGAAGTGTCTGCTACTTATCGTGAGTGTTTCATGAGCATATTTTTTTTTATTTTTCAACTTTACATTGAAAGCCCCGATAACCCAAAAGTAATCGTGCAAATATGTAATCCACCCATATACATAAGTTTGGCGAGTGTAACAATAATCTTTTTCGTTGATAACATTTGCGTAGAACTTTTACTTCTCACTATGGGAAATTGATTACTCGATAGCAGTAGTAAGAGATTTATTAATAACTTTTGATTTCGATCTTTTCAGATACTTATGTTCTGACATGGTGTACGTCGTCCTATTTCCTCAACTTGTATCAATAATTTATTGGCCTTCTGCGGTTGATGCTTATGGATGTTTAGCCGGCTACCTTATGGCTACTGTTTTACGCGTTGCTGGTAGAGTATTAATTTCATATTAATTTACTCTTTTTTGCTACGTATTTATTAATTATTACCTTCATACATCTCGGGAATTACGGCGCTCTCAGAAACAAAAAGTTCTGAAATATATTCTTTACATGGACCGCAATCATATAAACTTAGCATCGCATATTTTCCATTCGACTGTCATGATTATTATTACATGTTATCAAAAACCAGGAATAACACCTTCATTTCCATTTTACATCCTTCAGGTGGCGAGAAATCTCTTGGAATCCCCACTCTGATAGAGTTTCCCTTTTACGACCACGAATCGAAAATGCAAAAGTTCCCGTTTCGTACATGCATAATGATAGGAGCTCTCCTTACGCAATTACTAGTAAGCACTTTCACAAGGAACGTCTTGGGAAGAGGATATCTGCCAAAGTGCACCGATGTCCTGGGAATTTATTCTTCAGGAATTCCGAAAGACCGCACTGGGGTGATACAAAGCAGCTCAGGTGCTGCATTGTTGGACGATGCAGTGAACGTAAGAAGAAAAAAAATATCATATACTATCAAGCACTACAATAAGAAAAACAGTTTAAAAAATAGGCATCCAAACACCATTCAATGTTATTTTGTGAAATTGTCAAAACCGCTCCGATTTTCACTGCATTCGAGTAGAAAAAGACCGTCCACTGATAAAAATGCCCACGTAAATTTACTCATTGGTTATTTTGATGCCACGATAAATTGCAGTAAAATTATATTGCTCTATGATATCACGTTCAGCCTTTTAGTGAAATTATAGATATTATAACGTAATATTACACTAAATATAAGTAAAAATGCACTAATATGGTAAACATACAACGTTAGGTATTTATACATTCGTTAATTTCTAATTCTTCCATTCTACGTTTTTCTACGTGAAACTTAAGGTATGAGGTGTAAAAAATTAATGTAAATTTCCATTGATTTTTATCAGTGTAGCTGTCCTTTTACTTAAAGTGAAAAGATCTAAGATGAATTGCGACGCACTAAATCGGCGAAAATAACCGCAGCGTTTAACTCCATATTAGCAATAAATGAAGATACATCGATGATCATTTCAGGAAACAACAGCAGGGGCTTTAGAGGCGGAAAGAGACGGAACAGGCGATGGAGAATTGCCAACGAAACGTTTCGAAACATCCAGTGGATTCTGCGATGTAGCCAGAGCCGTGGGCTCCGATACATTTGCGAGAAATGCTAATCAGGGTACTAGAACATTGCGTAGTTCTCAGAAATCTTCGCAGCCTCCGGTGCAATTGCAAAATCGGCGAGTCGAGGGCTCGCACCCTGTCGAGGACGTTATCAGTCCTCGAGCAACCCCTGTCCCAGGTGCGAGAGACCTCACGGTCTCATTTGGGCAGGTTTCCTCGCAAAACAGTTATGGGATGAACGGAGGAACCGTACCTCATGTTTCGATGACAGCATTGACACCTGTGACAGCGACTTCACCGATAACGGCGACTCCGATTGCCACTCCGGGAGGATATCCACCTTACGCCAGACTCTCTGCCACCCAAAAAACCGAGAAAATGGTCGAAAGAAGCAACATGGAATTGAAACTGAACACCCAAGAGGGTGTCATTCTGAAAAAGAACGTCAAAGGTGTAAAACTAGTCGGTATGGAGGGAGGCACACTCAGGAGACCGTCTTTGCAGGTAGAGTTAATATGTTAGAAAATTATCATTTATATGTATCAAAACATTAAAATATTTATAAAACTTTTCTTCAGAGTACACTGAATCATTTCAAACTTCAGCGCGTGATCCTTAGGGCCTCCATAACCACGTGTTGAAGTTTCTAATGATTCAGTGTACCCAGTTTGGAGAAAAATTGTATAAATAAATAAATAAATAAATAAATATATATATATATCAAAACATCTACACATACTTTAAGCACAAATACTTTAGAGCAGGTGTGTGGTAAAAATTTGTATAATTAAATTTTAGTTCTTGTAAAGATTGAATTGAAAGGTATGAAATTCTACATCAGAGATAACAATAAAGAATGTTAAAAAATATTTAGAATGCCAAAAGGCACTTATCTTAACGGTACAAATACATCTAAATAAAATAACATCGTCGTGGAAATCTCTGTTTTGGATTCTAAGTTAACATTTTAGAAGTTTGAAAGATTAGACATTAGTTGTAATGGAGGCAACGTACGGGATTAATTGAGGTTTCCTTTGCTTTAGGGAACTTTCTCACCGACGCCTTCGGTCGAGCTAGTGCACATCCTTGACAGAAGACAAAGTAATGGATCTTATGGACCCAGCTCCTTATCACCTGTACCAGGTGTAGAGGCATGTAAAACTCATGGGACCGCTGTGGGTGGAGTGGTAGGGAACGAGCATTGCAGCATCAAAAGAGGAATCGTTAGGCATCACAGGTATTTCATTTACACATTTACATAATTAATGTATACTTTAATGTATACAATAAATGTTTACATACACCGTCCATTAAACGGTTTCTCAATTTAAAACCAGAGTAAGATTTATTAAAAATTCGTACGGGTCAATTTTTCGGTGTTTCAATTATGACATCTTATTTATTGAATTTTAGAGTATAGAATAAAAGAGAATAGTGAGTCACTTTCGGTTAAAAAATGTATTTTGATGACGGAAAAAATATTCACGGTACATTTTTAAAGGATATAATTAATTATATAGATGGGAATTTAGCCTCTTTTCCATTTTAATTCAATTCTTTCAGCTTTAACGAAACAGGAGATAGAGCTTTGACGACACTTGCTAGGCAGCCCACTTATCCATCAATGCCTTTGCGTACAGAAGACTATCGCATGACTTTGGCAAGAAGAGATAAAAGACCAAACGTTCCTGGTCGGCACTCCTCGGCAGTGGAAGAAACGATACCTACCGGATTCGTCAGTATCGTGTCCAGTCCGACTTTTCATCCATCCATAGTAAAGAACTGTAATTTCCTAGTGGCGGACGACGAGGCGGTCAGTCGATTTTAGAGCAAATCGGCATTATCGAAAGATCAAAGAGGAAGAATGAACGAATAACTAAATTCTGCCTGGGGATAACAATACATATTCCGTCATGACTGTACGAATAGCGGGCCATTTGCAATAAGAAGTAGACAAACCGTATGCAATTGGAAAGTAATTGCAATACGCGTCATACTCTTGACTGTTCATTACTTTCAAGCAGGGAAATGAAATATGTGCGAAAATGTTTCTACGCACAGATTCATCGTCAAACATTGGCACGAGAGAAGAAAAATGAAGAAACAGAAGTCTGTTAGTCGACGCTCTTCCTTACTCGAAAGGAACAGAGAAACCAGAGTTGGATCAGTGCTAAGCAAAGGATAACTTGAAATAAGAAACCAATAGACAAGTAGGGTATTTAAAGCAGTATTAAAATTTAAGAAATAATTATAAGCATTTAAAGTCCTGTCTCAAGTAATGCCAGTACTGATGTGGGCATGGTATCGTATTTATTAACCAGACGTTTCATCCATCCGCTCCGAACAACTAATTAGTGACCCGTGATGAGGCTGTGAGCAGATTCTAGAGTTAATCGTCGTTCCTGGAGACACTATTTAAACGAAAGGGAAAATCTCCGGATCGACGTACCGCATTCCGTCGTGATCATATGTCGCAGTATTCGCAATTCGCGAGCCGACTTTTTCAGTATTAAGGGCGAATTGTAGGGTCGGTGTTCGCCGACAGGAGCACCGTTTCTTAAACGAGATCGAATCATGTGCCAAAAGCCACATGTTCATGTATCGTAAGTTGGAGGTACGTCCAACGTCGATATATCCGACAAAGACGATATTTTTGCACCCGTAGATCTTAGCGAATAGCGATAGATTTTTCGGCGATTCGAGTTATATATATCCCGCGATCCACTCGCAACCAGTCATTGCACTGAGAAAAATTCAAGCCCCGGCTGAGGATTTTAATAAAAGCTAAACAATTATTATTAAGATTGTCCAAATTTTCTATTGCGAGGGAAGTCTGGTGAAGAGTTCCAAAAACGTTCCATTCGACGTATGGAAGATTTTAGTTGGGGCGACAATACATACATATATTTTTCTGAGTGCAGTTACGCGTAATCATGTATGTACTCGTAATAAACATACTGTTAAGTACGCACTAACTATACACGTACATTTACGTCCCCGAAAAGTGAAATTAGTGCTTGTCAGTCCTGGAAAGGGATAGAACTTTGCGATTTCCAGAGATGGACATGTTCGTATTTAATGGATGGGCATTTCTAAGACTAATAAGAATTCGGTAGAAAATATTTATGTATTATGTTTTCGTTAATTTATCACCGATTTCAACCTAAAGAATCTGAACCAACGAAATAGCGTGTTAAGGGATCATCTGCTTCGTAATCCTGTGAAATAATTAATTTCCCATGGAGATGAGACTTTCATTCTAAATGTTCCCATCCTTTGAAAACGTCTTTGCCGTAGGCATTTCCGATCTAGTTTTTTTTTTCTTTTTTTTTATCGTACTGAAACGGTAAACCGACAATCAACGTAAGCTTCAATTTTCTTAGTATAAGATAAAAAAAAAATCCGACCAATGTATGCCGCTTAACATTTTCCAGCAAAAACGATAGAGAGTAATCAGAATATGTAACATTCGTCACGAGCACAATTTTTAACCGGATTTCGTAGTTATTATCTGGAGCCTAAGAAAAATCCACTGAAAACGAGTTCTTCCAGAATATAAAAGTTCGTATTTGGGATCAACATACTTTTTTTTTCAATAACTTCGAATATTCTGTCCACGTTTTTATGGAAAATGATAAGGCGGGATACGAGTATTACTATCGCTACTTGTAACATTTACTGGGTAATTACTTTGCAAATTTGGATATCTCGTCGAAATACTGGAATACACGGAATATATTGCGACGTTCGTACAATTTTTATGACTACATCTGAAATAGACTTTAAGGTAATACTTAAAATGCGAAAGTTTTGGGAGTTACAGACGGTCGCTGAACGATGAAACAAGATTTTTTGCGATATTTTTTAATCTATTGTAATTATGCTAAGCGGAGTTGTAACGCAAGTAAAGAGATCGATAGAACACGCGTGATATAATATACATACGTACGAGCTGTATAACAAAATTGTTGAAATTTCACAACTTTAATAAGTTTGTAACTGCAATCGTGGCATCTCTTTTATTTCCCAAACTTTAGGGCACGGGTTAAATTATTTAAACAATTGAATAATACGTATATCGGTTTATAGGTGTGCTGAACAATGGAAGAGATAACGTGCGAATATAAAATGGGAAATATAAATGCAATAACATCGTAACAAATATACTTAATTGCATATCTACTTGTGTAGTTATCCAAAAATCACCCACTTTAGCGATCGTATTCGAATTGAAGTACCGTATTATATGTACTTAGATACAATACACACTGAGAAAAATATCTTAAGAACGAATCTAATATAAAATAAGAATGGTATCAACGAACTGTTCAATCGCGGTAATTTGAACAACCGGAAATACTTAACGCGCGTATGATTTTTAATTGACACAGTGAAGCAAACGTTATTTTACGTTAAAAAGTTTTGCTTTTAATGCATGACGAAGAACTGGATAATTTTTCTCAGTGTGTCAGAGACTAAACTCGTGCAATAATCAGTCATTTTTTAAGGGGGACTCCCTTCTTGCGAGGATTTTTATTAATTGAAACAGTCGCAATGTGAATTGTGTGCCAAAGAGTAAAATTAAGGATAAGACTAAGGATACACTTATAATGAATTAACGCGAAATCGGGTGTAATCGGCAGTCCATCGGAATCCTCTGGTTTCTACTAATGTAAGAGCGTTACAGCGTAATAGACTTGTAAGTTAGTCCTAACACTTACAGACTACAGCGATGAAAAATGATGCCCGTGTCATCTTTTCAAGGTTGATAAAATCTGTATCGATTCGAGAAAGTGCGGTCGGGAATGAAACCGTACCAATAAATTTTGGTCGATAGATCATCGCCATTCTCTTAATCAGTCTTCCTTAATCGAATCCTACGAAGTGTCTACGCAGATTTTTAGTAAAATATACAAGAGAACGCCGAAACTTACAATCTGGAATGAATCTCAGAACAAAGAGAAATATTTACTTACAATGTAAAGCATGCTTAAAAAAAAAAAAACATAATTATAGGCGAGTTACATACACTGTAATACATATAACAAAGTAAAGGACGCTTCATTTAATGAATAACAATTGATATTCAAATTAATTCGTGTACTAATATTCAGACAATTGTGCTGTCATCGAGTTAACAATTCACAGATGCCCGAATTTTTAATCAACATTTCGTTCTTGAATCAGGAAGAATATCAATACAAGGAAAATTACGGTCACGTTTCTAGAATAAATACAAAATATGAATCAATTATTGATCAGTTGATGGGATAACAAGGCGCGCAATGCAGCCGGAAATTTGGTAAAAATCACAATAGGAATTAATTTCTTACTTTCAGCCTAGCTCTTATTTATAATTTCAAACAGAATACATATGGTAGAAACGATATATAAATATGTAATACGATATTATAAATCATTCTACTGCCAATACGGTAATAATAATTAAAAGTAAGCACCCTCAATGATAATTGCGCCCTCACAAATATTCATATCGGCGGTAATTACTGAATTGGTGGAACTAGGTATTTAAATATTAAAATATACCCGGCGTGCAAAGGATTACAATATTGCATAGTACAACCGTTAAATTGGCAATTTGCATCCTTGATATTAAAAATAATTTGGAATCAATCGACGACAAAACATGCTAGGAAATCCTGAAAGGAATCCGTGTATTCTTGTTTCCGTTTGATTACAATGGTTGAACGTGAATACAAAATATTGCGTTAATATATTTATTGAAAACGATGCTAGATTTTCAAGTTTTTTCTAAAATCAATTCATGTACTTTTTTCTTGTGCGGTACATGTACAACGACGGTCTGAATTAAGGCTGTTTCCTTTCTGTTAAGTCATAGAAGAAACGTAACTAGTGCCAGAATTTATAATTTAGCTCCTCACATACAATGGCAATCCTTCTTAGCATATTAAAGCCAAGAATCTTAACTTTGCATAGAATTAAGATACTTTCTAATACGCAGCAGACTACACCAAATTTCGAAAGATCATTATTACGTTTTTATCTCCAATTTGAGCAATTAAATATAAAACCATTTAATAACGGAAGTTTAAAGTTAAACAGTACATGATGAAATTTAATAAGAGAAATTTAAAATTAAACAAGTCTATAGAAGGGGTAAGCTATAAAGAACAATCAATATTAAATCGAGGAACTGTATTATACGTTATTGGAGATTCAAAAAATAAATTAGATTGTATGCAGAGTATCTTACTAACTTCAAGTAATAAAAAAAAATTAAAATACTATTTCAGGAAATGGTACATTTTATTCCAAAAATGTTTCATTTGGCGTCCGATAGGTATTTGTGCTATGTTTAGATATTTATGTTTTCAGGTTAATGAAACGTAAAAGCGTAGAGGAAACTATTTAGCTATATACTTTGTTACTATACAGATCGTATCACATAACTGGAATGAGCTAATCTCGTTGTTGCTGATGGTAGAAGACGAGGAACCCGAGAAAAATTGAATAATTTATACACAAGTTAACACTGTAGAGCTCGCGTTTCCTACGGATACTGTGTGCATTTTCAAAGTTGGACGTTCACCTATTGAATTTCTCCCTTCGCTACATTTTTCCATCTTCAGCCAGAAAACAGATACAATTCACCCTAATTGATTCATCTCGGTTAGCCTAATACAGACTCGGTTAAATTCATTTTCGTTGCAGGGTTTTAAAATGATTCCTAAAGACTGAAAAAAAGCATTAGGAGCTCATACCGCAACCTGCAACATTAACAACTGTACCAGTTGAGCCGAACCTGGCAATTTCACCGCTTTCCACCCAGTAAATAACTTTGATCGCATATTGTACATTTTCGAAGAAAGACAACGGAAGTACAAAATATTCCATTTAAAATTAACAACCCGCATCTAAGCTAGAAGGTCTGCCATTAAATCTGCGAACTCCTATTCTATGGCACTTCACAGATCAGGAAGAAGTATCGGTTACAGACAATGCAATGTCTAAATGAACTTCCCTGTCAGACGCTTGCATTTGGTATCCCAAGTACGTAATCACTGACTAAGCTTCAAAGAGTAACTTCATGGCTCAATCTATGTATCCGTAGTTCTTCGCTTGTACGGAAGCGCTGGAAACAGGTACTACACCCATATGCGTGCAAGGCCAAGACATGCCAACGAAGAGTCTCCTTCTTATCAAATATAGGCCTTTGGATGCAATAGTCACAGACATATCGGACAGGCACCGCGTGATAACTCGCCATGTGAGCGTACAATTCTTCGCTCGAGATGAATCTCGAATCTTTGCAGATAGTGCATTGGTAGAATGAGTTAGACTGTGAGGTCTGGTCCTCCAAAGATTGGATAATTACATTGACGGGAGCAACAGGTGGCACATAAGTGTTAACAACAGATGATTGGGTGACAATAGACCTCGACTGAGCCTGATACGAACGCAGCTGTTGATCCCCTTCCACCAATTGCATACTTTGGCGATAGTGTTGCGTCTGAGTTTGCGATATCTGCGGTAAAATTTGATTGTGTAAAACCTCGTGTCGGCGTACGTCCATCTCACAGATACTACTGAAGTTCTTGCAGAACCTGCACGAATAGCGGCAATATCGTTGGACTTGGAAAGGCTGTGACTGGGCTTGTTGCTGTTGTTGCCGCGGCTGGATCTGCCTGTGAGATGCGAGATGGGTTTCCATCTCATTGATCGAGTTTGCTCGGAAGAAGCAATACGAGCAGCAAAGACGACCCTGCATGGTACGGAAAGAACCACTTGGCTCTAAAGTGGTGGAACCTGATGGGGTCACATCGACGACCTGCGTCGTTAAGCTCGTATTCGACTGTTTACTGGACAAAAAAGGCCGCACAGAGGCCATGGCTCGAATTGAAGACGAGGTTGCTGGCGGGTATTTCGATAGTCCTAATACAACGTTACTTCTAGAAACTCTTGCAAAATCCGTTCCCGTGGAGCACCTAGGAATTACGACCGTCTTAAGTTTCTTTATCGCAATAGACATTGCTGTGGCGCCCTTTTGTCTTTGTGGAGCCGGCATAGCGACTACATGAGAAGCCGTAGTCGTGGTAGCAGCAACGTTTTCTGGACGTGTAGCCAATGCTATAGGAGCAGGCAAATGAGGACATGTGGTTGAAATTTGAATCCCGGGTTGAAGCGTTGAGACACTAAGAGTCGGTTTGTCTGGTACCACTGATCCTGATTTTTCGTTTTTCGCATTCTGAGATGATGGTCCCGGTACATCGTGCATTTTCCTGTGAGCCTGAAATGCTCCGTGATTTTCAAAAGTTACTTTGCAGGTTTTGCAAGATAATTCGGGCTTCTCCAGCAGCTCGGACATACTCTTCACGCGAAGAAGTCCAACTTTAGGAACATCTTTCGTGCATGCCACAATTAGTTCATTGCAAGCGTTCGAGGTGGCTACCGTTGTATCTAAACGGTGCTCAATACTATCCACTGTAATCCATTCGTCCACGACTTCCAATATGCTTTCTTTTGAACTGTCAATGTCCTTTGAATCGTTCGTTGCCGTAGGCTTGACTATTACCGTTTCAACGGGAATTTCTTGAGTATTGGTTTCTGGCTGAGAGATACACTTTTCATTAGATTCCGTATGCACATCAGTGCTTTCTATTTCCTTTGACTTGCTCGTTACATTTTCCGAAATCGTCAATTTCTTAATGACAGACGAGTTTTCCTTTTGACGAAGCTCAGCTGGCAAGGATAAGGAGTCCCGTGACGCAATGTCTTCCTTTTTATTACTAACAGTGATCATGTTAAGAGTATCAGGCTTCTTCGGAACTTTTATGGATGTTTCGCCAATAGACTTTGGCGTGCTTTGATCACTTCTCGTCCTCGGAGAGATTACTGCAGTTTTGGTGGCATCAGACAGTATCGCTGCCGGAACAGGCGATACTTCGCGCAATTGATAATTCTGACAACCCATGAAACGATCACTGACCTTTTCTGGGGGATTATTTATTTTAGAGTTTGTAGTCAAACAAATTGAATACGTAGTTCTTTCAATTGTAATTGCTTCAGATAAGAGATCCTTACCAGCACTACGACTTGGAGGTAGAGATTTCGTCATAGAATCATTCTTAGCTTCCATTGCAACTTGGGCGGTAGGATCTTCTTGCTTTGTACTAGAACATGTAGATTCTTTGTTAGATGTCTCAAGAGCAACTGACACTGATGCAACCATTGGTGCAGCAATTGGTGCATTGCTCTCCGACGGTGTAACTGAGTTATCATTAACCGATTCTGGCGCAGCAACGGCGGATTCACCATTTTGTACTTTATCTTGAACTAAAGAAACCACATTAGCAACAGGAGTCAGGGTATCTATGGTACCGTCAGGAATTTCAGTTTCTTTTGTTGACGCTAAAGCTAAAGAAACCACATTAGCAACAGGAGTCAGGGTATCTATGGTACCGTCAGGGATTTCAGTTTCTTCTGTTGACGCTAAAGCTAAAGGAACTTGCGAAACGGGTGTTAAATTATTACATTTAGTACTCTGTGGTTGTTTACTCTGAGACGTTGTCAGCGATGACTTCTTTGTCTTATCCCCTTGAGCCGATTTTTTTGGCAGACATACATGCTCCTTTAAGGTTGCAGCAGACTCAAATCCCAATGAGCAATGATTGCAGCAATATTCAGCCTTTCTGTAGAAGACCGTACACCTCCAATTATTACCCTCGTGCTGTTTGCAGTGCTCGATCAGCTCCTTAAATGAATCACATCCTTCGGTGCAGCTGCTACAGAAATATCGGTCACGATAAGGTGCGTGACATTTCCAGTGCTCTTCCATTTCCGTCAAAGACTTGCGGATGGTCTTACAAGCTTCACAGATATACGCTCTCTGCCAAGGCGATGTTACAATAAAAGCATATCTCATGGGTGCCTTAAATAGCTCAGAATGATTCTTTAAATGCTTCTCATATTCCGAGCAGCCATCAAAAGTCACCTTACAGATGCTACAAGTCATCCTAATGTTGACATTCTCAGGTATAATGTTAGACGAGTCCAACAGGTCCTTACAGGGCTCGTTTGTATGTTTCTCCAGGTCGGCTTCCGAAGCGAATGGACGTCTGCAGGACTTGCACACGTGCTCAGCTACGAAGAGGAAATCTTTCCGTTCTCCAACGACCTGTGGTTGGCTCGTGTTCACCAAAGAATTCTTTGGGAAAGAATAAATACTCGCTACGTATAAGGGGTTCCTCATGTGGTTGAACCAGTGGGTATAGAAAAGGACGCCGATGCCACAGAAAACGACGTTACAAATATTGCAAAGGAACGTGACCTTGACACCTCGGTTGAGATTTGCATGCATCGTTAAGTGGCGTTTCATGCCTGCCATGGAGTCCAGGATCTCGCAACAGGTGGTACAAAAAAGCTTTGTCACTCGATTGCGAGTTCTGTCGCTAGTCTTGCATTTGGGTTCGGAGCGATAATGCATTTCTAGACAGCCGCTAGATCTGAAGAGAACGTCACAGACTTGGCAGAGAAGTGATATTTCCAGCTTAATGTTACCATCCTGGGTGATGTCCAAGTTCGCGTGACACGGGCATACAGAAACTTTTTTATCTCTTTTATCCAAAGGAGTAGGACTTTGTACTAAAAGAGCTGGCAAGGCCAAGGAACTGTTTTCTGTCGAGCCTTGATTAATATTAGAGCTGACCGTTGATAAAAGTGTCTCCAATGATGATTCTATGCTAACTTTGGGTTCAGCATTGCTGGTCCCAGGTTCGTCTGATAAAACCCATGTAGATACTGAAGCTACATTGGCGCTGGATGCACTGAGAGGTATAGAATTAACAATGGCTATTGGAACTCCGTTAACCAAGGCTTGTTTGTATGCTGTTCGTAGTTCTTCCTCTGAGTGATTCAAAACGTGATTGAAGAGGACAGTTTTCTCTTCGAAAAGTTTCGAACAGATGCAACATCGCATTTCATTTGGCTGAGGCTCCTTAGTATCGTCACCTTGAAGAGCTGAATATATTTGTTCTTTCGAATGTCCATTCACGTGGTTCAACAAAAGCTCTTGTGTCTCAAATGATTTAGAACAAACGCGGCAGCGAGGATTTTCATTTAAAGATGGAATTTTATGTGGTGACTTACTTGCAGAAGGCAACAATATTTGTTTTTCTTTATTAGAATTGGACTGCTTATCTTCAATCAAGGCATCTTTACTACACTCCTGCTCTGGTGGTTTCTCCTCTAATTCTTTTTGAGATACCCCTTGTTTTTTGGTCCTCGCCTTCTTCCTCGGACTCTCACTTTTATTACTTTTAGCACTGCCCTTTTTGTCTAATTTTGAGACTGCTTTTACATAAGCCTCTTGCAGTTCGATCTCAGTATGACGAAGAACATGTTCAAAGAGTACTTCTTTAGTTTCAAATAAATGTGAACAGACACCACATCGTAAGTCCTCCTTTCCTTGCTGCTCTGCAGAATTTTTTTCGGTACTCTTTTTCGGGGACATTTTCTTCGTTCCCTTAGATTTAAGATTAATTTGAGCTTCTTTATTCTCTCTCTTCAACGGAAACTTCTTTTTCACCTTCTTCGTGACTTTCTTATGAGCTTGTTCAAACTTGACTTTCTTTGTTGGTACTGGTGTTATTTCTAGCGTGCCTTCTCCAGTAGTTTTATCTTCTATTTCGGAATTCTCACTTTGAGAATCAGAAACATTAGCTGATGACGTTGATAATGGTATGATGTCAGAAGACTCACCTCGTTTTAATGTCATGGAAAGGGGCCCTAGTTTCTGTTTTATGTAATATCTATTGTACAACTCATTCTGACGCTTTCTCGTTGGCAAATTATTTACAAGTATAGTATCTGGTGGTCTCACAACAATATTACTTATTATTCGAGACTTTGATGTATTTTCTAATTTACTGGTGGAACCAGAGTGCCTCTTATCGATAATACTTTCTGCAGCTTGACTTATTATCTTAGATTGCAGTCTTGATGAATCTGGAGAAATCGTTTCAACAGATTTGTTTTGCTCTGTAGATCCTGAATAAGAATACTTATTATGCTGTACATCCTTTTTTACTGTACCATTTTTTATAGACTTTAAGTAACGTCTCATTGGAAAGTTTTTAATTTTAAACGAGGAAACCGAATTCGTGTATTCTTCTATCAAACGGTCTGCTTCTGCGGCGGAATAGTGTTTGGTATAGGGAATGTTGAATGTTTCCAACGAAATTAAGATTACTACTGAACTGACCATTTTTGTTTGCTCACTTGTTGACGATATACATTTGCTAACAAATTTACTATTCTGCAGAAATGAAATCTCATTTTTAGGAGATTTATTTTTCAATTCATCAACCTCTTTGTTGGATTCAACAATTACATCGCCCATCGGTGAATGCATTTCATTGTTAATTGATTCATTTTGTAATTGATTGATTTTTTTGTTTGTTCTAAGAACTGTATCATTTGATGTACGTTCAAAATTAGTACTTCCGATTAGATTGCATTCATCATTTATCAATGAGCTTACAGCTTCATTTTCGATAATTAAACATTCCTCGGGGGATGAATCTCTTGAAACACTCATATTAAGCATATCTTCTAATCTAATCAATACGACTCTTAATTCCTTAGCCGGAATTAGTTTTTCTGGCATATTTCTGAAGTTGTTATCATTAAATGGAGAGCTTAACCTGGACTTCATTATGTTTGAAACCTCAGCATCCATAGATTCAGATTCGTAATCCTCCCATAAAATCGTACGGTTCCTTTGAGATAGCTTTGGTCTCTTTACAGGAAATTCATCGCTACTTGAACTGGCACCACTACTGTCAACCTTCCTCTTTCTTGTACATTTCCAAATGTTTGGCTCAACATCATCTTGATTCTTTCTAAGCTCCACATTTCCATCTTTACTGACCCTGTTACAATTGCCCAATATATTATTGGATGCATGCTATACAGGATGCTTACTATACAGAATAACCCAAAAAGCTTTAATGGTCTTAACAATTATGAAAAAAATCACTCTAGAACAAGAATCATTCATGCAATCAATTTGGACTATAATACCCTTCAAATTTGGTCAAAAGTATTTTCATATATCTTTAAATACAAGGCAGGTATTCAAGTATTTGGTTTTAAGTAGACCACCCTGTATAAATTAAAATAGCTAACGATATGGCTGAAGGAAACGTTCTATAACTGAAAGCCACTTTCCTCTCCATAACATTATAAAATACTGCTTATTTTATTTTAAATAAAATAAACAGTTAGCAATGTAATCAATGTCAACTAAAATAAATAAATTTCTACTGATCTCTTATCATCGACTTACTTTTTACACCCTAGTCCATCGTTCAGCATCGTTTTTGATACTGTCTGTTTCTTAGCATCTGCATTTATGTCAAAATGTTTCTTAACAGATGAGAAATCTCCATTGAAATCTGTTTTTGCTGCAGGATCTGAAATTTTGATACGATGTAAACGTGATTTAATACTATAACATTAAGATGTTTAATTTTAGATAATTACCCAAAGAATGATCTTTAAGCAGTTCTCCGTTAACAGTCTGTATTTTTGTGTTTCTTCGCTTTCTGGCCATAGGAACAAACCTTCCGGCCCTATTTCTAGATCTCTTATTACTTTCCTTCCTGGCCATAGAAGGCAATTTTCCTGCCCTACTTCTAGATCTGGTATTAGTTTCAGATGACGATGGCTCCATTCCAGATGACAGTGAAGAAACTCTGCCTCCTTCGACTACATCAGATACAAAAAAGTCTTCAGAATCTTCTGTCACTACATCTCTGTAATTCCATGGTGAATTACTTTGATTATATTTGTGTACAGAGGCCATATGACGTTGATTCTTAGAGATGTATTTTAATAACAATCTTTCCGTCAGCTCTTCCGGCAAGCGTTCTAGTTGCACTACCAGAGGTTTGCATTGTTTTAAGAGTACATCTGCCATTTTAATATTCATAGAATCCTCAATTCGTTCTTGATCCCATGGTTTAAAACCTTTCACATTTGACTTAATTTGATTCCTTTTTGAAGCTTTCCCCTTTGTCCTTGAATTATTTGTATTTCTCTTGTATATAGTCTTAACAATTATATTATTTTCATTATTATACTCGAGCGAATCATCCCCTAAGTATTTACTGCTCTTTTCAATTTAGTTTACAATCTCCATCTTTATAGTATGTTATTTCTCATTGCATGGCTCATTCTAAAAAAAATATAATAAATGCTTTCCACTTTGGTTTCCTTCTTATATACATGTTCCAATTTTCACATTCCCATAATGTATCAAAAGATATTAATAGCAATTATTAGTCATGTGCTCTCATGAGCAATGAAAAATTATTACATGTTACTGACAAGAACATTTAATAAACACATTTGAGTAACACACTTTTAAACAATTTGCTAGCCAACAAAACACAGTCTTTTAACACAAAAACATCACGCTCCAAAATCCTGATTACCATTAATTGAAAGGGAAATGTTCCCAATTAATAAAACGTTTTTATTGACCGACCTTTATTGTTATCAAAATTACGTAATTCTTAAAAAGGACTTCTAAATTATTGGAGCCTAAACCATGTACGGCAAAAGAATTGAGCAATAAGCAAAACCAAATCTCTTTCCATTTTATATATACAAAACGTGCTATTTTTGACGGTTTATTTTCAACCAAGCCACTAAAATTAAGAGCAGCAAGCAATACGGATGCGTACAAACCACGTAAGAGCAGAAATAAGTAATTAAACTGGATACAGTTAAGAAGACAACATTTTAACAAAGTGTTAGAAGAAAAAGATGACAATGAACTAAACAGACATTTTATTAATATGTATGTACAAATACCGCGGTATAAAATGTATTAACTTGCGACTTATTAAATTCAATCATTACTTACTGTTTCTACATGTAAGTTTTACAAAAATACGTCACTTGTCAGGATTGAAAAAATGGGATGAAATAAAAACTGTATGTATGTATGTACATACATACGCTAGCCAAAAACAAAAGCGACGAATTCGAGTAACTTTAAGCCGGTCCCACTAAACGCGTCAAGTGTCATAAAAAGCGCGGCATGTCAACGCTTACAGGATGAACAAACAACCAATCAGAAATTCAAAGGAAGTAACGAACGTAATTAATCGAGATTTTCCATTTCGATTCTATTTCAATTTCAGTGTAAGTACGTCTCCATCCTACTCGATACCCGGGATTTACGGATCCAAACCCAGTAAATCGGAATTTAAGTGTCGATCGAGACGCTCAGAATCAAATCTGCGTATTTATTAATCTGAAGGAGACGCGCGATTTACTAAATCCGGACCCGATAAATCCCGGATTTAGGAGTACGATGGAGAGGCAGTCTTCGTCATGCAACATTCTTGGAAGAATGAAATATCAGAGATGAGTTGGGAGATTGTTTACGGGCAGGGCCGTGCGATCGCATCCCGTACTGCCCTCTGGTTTCGTACGTTAGCTTTCACCGTTTTTTGCCCCCAAGGGCGGCGCAACGAATTTCTGATAGGAGCTCGCGCACTCGCGATGGCGGTACCATCTACCAGTCGCCGTTTGCGGCTCACGTACTCGTGATGGTAATACCATGCGGCAGTTGACGGTGGTGGCTTACCTACGCTTACCAACACTGCTCGCTTTTGAGGGTAAGGGAAGAACATTCGTAAGAAGTAGATGATTTCTCGGAGCGATCACACTCACGCAGATTCGCTGAATGAGAATTCCGTACGCGACACCGACGCGTGCCCCAAAGCTCCGCATCACGTCGAGTTCGAGGCAACAATGTACTTAATAATAATAGATAAGTAGATAAAGTCAAATGGAGCGTTACGAATGTTCTTCCCTTACCCTCAAAAGCGAGCAGTGTTGGTAAGCGTAGGTAAGCCACCACCGTCAACTGCCGCATGGTATTACCATCACGAGTACGTGAGCCGCCAACGGCGACTGGTAGATGGTACCGCCATCGCGAGTGCGCGAGCTCCTATCAGAAATTCGTTGCGCCGCCCTTGGGGGCAAAAAACGGTGAAAGCTAACGTACGAAACCAGAGGGCAGCACGGGATGCGATCGCACGGCCCTGCTCGTGAGCAACCTCCCAATTCATCTCTGGTAATATCGTTTATAATTTTTAAGAAAATTTCTTTCAGTCTTAAACTTCTTTGTCGTTTTTAATTCCACTTTTATATTCCTATGTAGCATGTCTGAAACAGTTTTTGTCACAGTTGGAACTACGAAATTTGATGCTCTTATAAATACCGTGACCGACGAAAAGGTGCTTCAGGTATTATAAAAATCGTTGCAAGAAACTTCTCAATTATATCACGGAACAGATACATTTTCAGTTTATCATTTATAGCAATAAACAAATTTACGCAAAATAATTCAATGCTTTGTTTAAGGAGCTCAACAAAAGAGGATATAATCAATTAATATTACAAATTGGAAATAGTTCGTTAGATCCTGATTGTACTCCAAGATGCGGCTTTCAACATATTGACTCATTTCATCTGCGTCCTTCCATAACGGAAAATATCAGTTCAGCAGATTTAATCATAAGTCATGCAGGTGCAGGAACTTGTATTGAAGCACTAGAAGCTCATAAACCACTAATTGTGGTTACCAATGAACTTCTTATGGATAATCATCAATTAGAATTGGCTGAACAGCTCTATCGTGAGGGTCGCTTATATTATTGTACTTGCGATACCTTATTGGATCTTATTCAAACAATGGATACATCCAAATTAGATTCTACATTCATAGACAATAGCAAAAACATTGCCAATTTTATTGATAAAATTATGGGTTTCTAGATATGAGAATAAAAGAATTAACCTATCTATCGTATACCTTATATAATATCTATCTATATTATGTTACTTATTTATATATAATGTATTTATTAGATGTTGATAAAATACAAGTTCTTTTTAAATATTTTTTTAATCAAATTTAAATTCAGGATATTTAAGTAATAATAGGTAACTTAAAGGTATAATGTTGTGTGTGGTAATAGTCATATATTATATTTCAATATAATTTACAACATGGGTACACTTGGTACCTAAATAATAGATTTTTAGTTAGTACAGTTCACATAGTTGTAAGCAATAACATGACAGGCTACAAAAAATTAGAATGGCAGGCATTGGCATAAAATCTGCTCTAAGTAAGCAGTTTGTATCTTTGTTATAATTAGTGGGAAGAAAGCTGTTTTTCTTTTAAATAATTTATACAAAATACTGTATACATTTAAAATAAACTGCTTTTTAATGGTGCCAATGGGCATGAATTTGAATATGTATATATCAGAACATTAGATACAAGTGGCACCAATATTATATATACCAAGAGTTTTCTTTAACTTCGTATAGTCTTCGGTATTCACATCCCTTCATTGTTGCTCTTGCAAGCTGTCACAGTTGATATTACATTTAGAATTTATTTTACGAGTATACATGGACAGTTGAGAACTACATAGTTTTGCAGATGGGCTGGAGAGTTTAATTACAGACCAGACCGAGGCGAGTCATTTCCTTCAGTAACGTGACACCCATTTGTGCAGGACTCCTTGTCACTATCACACCAGCCTGAAGAGAAATAAAGGAATTATCAAATATGTATGATGGACTTTATTAGTCTCTTGGTTACAAAACGTTGATATACAAGCAAAATATGCAAAACCATAGTGTTTTGAAACTGCTATGAATCAACTTCAATTTTATCTCACTTCCACCCATGAGATTGCATTGAGGCTAATCTTATGAAGAATTATATTAAATGTCCAAAGTAGTCCAGTCTTAATATCTAAATGTTCTTACAAAAAGATATCTTTCATACCTTCTCAAGTGCATTGATTTTATCTTGAGCACCTCCTTTACCTCCAGAAATGATTGCACCGGCATGCCCCATTCTTCGGCCAGGTGGAGCAGTTATACCAGCAATAAAGGATACAACAGGTTTAACTTTTGCACCCTGGAAATAAATGTAACTGTTAGTATAATATACATATTGCTTCTATGTTTAATAATACAATTTGGTCTTGGGAAAGAGTAAGGTTACATAATGAGTCAGGAATAGTTCAACAGTAAGGATCAATTAGGATAGTGGATCAGGATGGATTTTGATACCAATAATTCTGAACAGCAACCAACAGTATTATGTTCTATGAGGTACTCTGCAGCTAGCTCTTCGGCACTGCCTCCAATTTCACCAATCATAATAATTCCATCACATTCTGGATCTTTAAGGAACACTTCAAGACAATCAATGAAGTCTGTGCCATTGAAGGGATCACCACCGATGCCGACACATAAAGTTTGTCCTAGTCCAGTCTACAATAAAAAAATTCATTAAAATCCAAAGTAATCATGTAATGGACAATTGTACAATATTTTGGCAAGATTGCCAAACTTATGTTCATATCACAAAATACATGATGTTTGAATTAGCTTATAAATAAAAAAGTAATTTATTTAATCGATTATGTTATTTCTATTTTTAAAAGAAAAAAATGTTCGATCATGTTTAAACTTTACCTGTGTGGTTTGGTTCACAGCTTCGTAGGTTAAAGTTCCAGACCTTGACACAATACCTATTCTACCCCTCTGATGAATGTGTCCTGGCATGATGCCAATTTTACACTGAAAATGCACCAGTGTTGCTTTAGCCAAACGTCCAATGATGCAAACTACTTTTTCTACATTCATTGGATATGTAAATGTGGTTCCAAGTTTTGTCATCCAGTAATCATGTAATTACTGTGCACGTGACTAGGTAAGAATAGCAAATGTGAAATAAATATACAACCTGTTCTGGTGCAATGATTCCAGGACAGTTTGGTCCGATTAGTCGAGATTTACTCTGTTCGAGTAATCGCCGCTTGACTTTAACCATGTCATGTTGAGGAATGCCTTCTGTAATACAAACTACTAGAGGCATTTCAGCTTCTAATGCCTCTAAAATCGCTCCAGCTGCAGCTGGTGGTGGTACATAAATCACAGTTGCCGCGGCTCCAGTTGCATCCTTTGCCTATTTTATGTTCATAATATATATTTCATGAACGAGAGTGTAACATTCTATGCAAAAACTATGAACCAACCTCCTTGACGGTTTTAAAAACAGGCTTGCCAAGGTGCTCTTGTCCAGCTTTTTTAGGACTGACTCCGCCCACTATTTTAGTTCCATAATCAAGCGCTTGTTGGCAGTGAAATGTCCCTTGCTTTCCAGTAAAGCCTTGGCAAATTACTTTCGTATTGGAGTCAATTTTTAAATTTGCTCTCGTGTCGGTATATTTAAACCTCATATGAGTATGATATAGATTACTACGGCTTCCAGCTGCAAACAAGAAAGTTGAGCCTTATAATTTTAAATGAAATGTATGAAATATAGTCAAAGTTGACAGGCAATTAAAATATAATAAAACAAATTATTTTTCTCTGCTTATCATTTATAAAAAATGTCAGAAGTTAAAAGGCAATCAGTTAACCAAGGCCTATCATACGTGACACATAAGGTAACTCGATGATGTAAAAGACTCCTTTTGAGATTGGCTTTAGGTGTCAAGGTTGAAATGTCATATTTTTAGATCTTGTGCCTTGTGTCTCACTTTTTCTAATGTCACATTCTTTAATAATTACATATTCATCAGTAGAAGTATATTGGCATATCACGATTGTGTAAATACCCCAAGGTTATTAATAGACACGATGTTATCACACAAGTTTGCTCGAGGGCAAAGATTACAATTCCAAATAAAAAAAAATAGTTAAATGTACATGTTTTATATGTAACAACTGCTCAACCTAGAAAGAAACCCATATCGTTCAAAACTAATTTTGAAAATCAAATGATCAAATACTTTGATCTTAAGGCCAAAAGTAAAACTTAGAACACTCCAATGACATTTGCCTATTGACCAATCTGCACATTTAATGGTATTGCATCTAGTTAATCCGTGGCCTATGGATGTATCATTGGATAAAATACTTGATTGTTCCCACTCGACTTATGCCTGCTTACATAATAGATTGTTAATACAATTACGAGATTGGCCCGTTGCGAATAGTAAATCTGTGACCCTCGTGTTCAAACTATCAAGAAAAGGAACGTCAAATTGATGGCGCTGAATCAAGTCAGGTCTTGTCGTTTTTTTCGGTCTTGGGTGTCGCAGGGCTGACCTGTAGGAAACTTGAATTAAGGTAAATAAACGGCAGCGACTGCTTACCAGCGAATTTCGAAAATGCCCTAACAGCCACTGCCATTTTGAGGACGGTACTGATCAATTCGCAATTACGAAGGGGAGGTCGATTATTCGATGACTAGCATTAAAACTTTTCTGTGATCGAAGCTGGCGAAGAAGCGAGCCAAGGCGCTCCGACGAGGAGACACGGACGAGCCGCGGCTATTGCAACCTACACCACGTATCACACGAAATCACTACCACCAACTACCACCACTGACCGTCATTCTCGACAGAAGCGACAGACTCGACACCGATCATAAAATCAACAGTGTCGGAACATTGTCTTATTTTTCATGATGCGCAGAAGGCAAGGTATGTTACTATGGTCTAAGCGCCACCATTTCAACGGCCAATTATAGTACACTTCCAAAACGTAGCCATGTTTGTCAGCCAACCAATGAAAATGTTAGCGCCAAATACAAAATAAATGTGAAAGACAAAAACACACGTATAAATAGTAACATTTTGTTTTTACATTCTAGTTTTTACATCATGTGTATGCACTGAGATTAGTTGGGAGATTGCTCACGGGTAAGATATCACATCCTCCACCGAGGGTTGCACAAGATGTGATCGCGTGATCCAGAGAGTCTATTCCGTAAAGCAAATTGAGCGACAATGTGAAAAATGAGTAGCTCAGGGTATTACGGAACGTTTTTGGTGGTGAAAATACGAGATCATTCATATGAATTGGCTCGGCACAAATTTTTAAGCGAAATGATGAAGTATAAACTTGAGTCCTCTTCATTACTTTTAACGGCTTTTCATTTTCCCGCCTTTCCTTCTGCTATAACACACTACCTCTCAACAATTTTCGTTTTACAAGGTATCTACCTTTATTTAAAAATATTACCAAACCGGAAATGCTAGTAATCTCGTTCTTTCATATAGCGAATATGTAATTCGGCGAATAAACCCACGTGAGATGAAAGTGCGAGAAGTGAGCGCTCTCGTCAAAAATACGTAATAAACGTCCTACCTGTGAGCAGGCGTGAGCAATCTCCCAACTCATCTCTGAAAAATGTGGTATTGAATACTGTGGACTGACCGTACTGTCTCTAACTATGCATCATGTCTAATAATGCCATGAGCGCCATCAGTGCCTGAATCGGTACTACGACAAAAGTGGTCTCATCTGTTCTAAACAAAATATTCTTCTAGGTACAATAGATTCATTGGTTGTTCAAAACGATTCGTTTTTGTATTGCTGGAACAGGTGAAACGTTATTAAGTGAAAAGTTAGAAATAATGGCAGACAATAAGACAGATAAATCGAAAGTAGACCTCGGTTTACTTGAGGAGGATGATGAGTTTGAGGAATTTCCGGCTGAAGGTAAAAATTAGATGATTAGAAAATAGTTTCAACTTTGAATTGTTGCGTCTGTCTTCAACATTGCTGATTCATTGAATAGATTGGACGGCAAAAGACGAGGATAACGAAGATATCAGTGTTTGGGAAGACAACTGGGATGATGATGATGTGGAGGATGATTTCAATCAACAATTAAGGTATGTTCAGATAATTGCCTAGATTTACTTAATGTTGATATTTTTAGTGTACCATATTATTTATAATCATTTCAGAGCTCAACTGGAGAAACAGAAGGCGCAAGGTGATCCTTCCTCAAAGGATAATTAGTTAGTACTGAAATAGAATTATTCACATGTAACTAAATATTTGTATCTCTTAATATTCAATACTATTTAAATAATGTAAAAATATCCACTTTAAATAATTACGTACATTACATATCAGTTGTGCTATTTAATAGTAAATTTGTATTAAGTTTCTCTTAATCATTTATTAACAATCAGGTACACAGCTTTCGTCTTTATGGAAACATTTTATGATTTACTCTTATACATAAGAAATCATTGATATTTTTGTACATTAATTACTCAAGTTTGTCATGAAATTATGGCACAATTTTCTAAACATACGTCAATAAAACCAACCATTGAATATTTATCATCGAACATGTAGTGCTACTGACAAATTAGACCTATGAGAGATAGGTTTTATACTGCCACAATTTTTTTTATGGCATCTCCTAAAAAAAATTTTCAATTGGATTGCAACAGAGCTGAATCACGATAACTTGTTCTACAAGATGCTAACAGTTGGGAAGCTAGTACATCAATCATTTGAAGGATCAAGTCTTGATTAATCTTTTTAATTTCCAAAGATCCTAATAAAAATGTGTGGATTTGAATAATGTCATCTTCACCAAAAACAAATTTCAAATCTTTTGGTATTTTTGTATGTAAAAGCTGTATAATTCTCTCCTTTGTTGAAATGCTTGTGTTTCTTGAACTCTCCTTTGACAAAATTGATGAAAATGAAACATCGCTCAATCGATCTGATATCCAGAGAATGATATTCTAAAAGTAAAATATATATATAAATCATATGAACATCAACACAAAAAATACAGTATTCTATCCATAAATTACCTGTATTAGTGGCTCTGCAACATTACCAAAAAGTAATTTAGTCCACCTAATAACTGCTTCCTGTTGCAGTGTATTATTACTTCCAATTCCTGCGAGAATTTCACAGAGTAAATCTAAACTTACACGTGTTAATGTCAGATTGCAGTCAAGTTCTTCTAGTTCTTCTGAAAAGAAAATGAAGTTTTAATATAAACTAAATTTTAAGATTATTAAGATTAACTTGAGTAATATTTTCTCATTTCGTAAAGTTACCTTCATATGGAGTATTTACAGTTTCCCACCAGTGTGAAAGGAGTTCAGAATCTCCACTGCCTTCCACAGAATCGACTGCTTCATAAGCAGTATCCACCGAACAATAATCAATACGTTCAGCAACTAACTGCTGTAGTTCAGAAACTAAACTTCGCTATATAGATACACGTAAAAGTTAAACAAACTAAATATGGGTTACCATTATTTTCTGCCTATTTTCTTCAATATACATACCGACTTAATATCTTCAACGAATCTCCAAGGAATGTCTGCTAATGGCATCAGAGTAGGTAGAGATACGACTTCTTCCTCCTGATCTAATTCAAAGCCAGGTACTACAGTTTTTAATGTGTTAAATACCCCAGTCACTGTTTTGGCCAAGAATCTATCTAATCGTGGAGCAACAGCATCTGCTTTTTTGCCTGCATTACTGTTCGGACGGAGGAAATGCCTCAATTGAGGAGGCGAATCTGCCGCCAAACGAATGCATAAAGTCTTAAGGTAGCTTTCCATTTCAATTCGCCCACCTTCTGGTAATTTTATGTCTGACATAATATTGTTAAGCGATGGCACCTGGAATGTCATATTTTAAAATTTAAATTAAGCAAATATTTCTGAATAAACGTTACCTCTTCTAAATTTGAGTGAAGTTGCACAAAATCAGAATATTGTCTCCTAACAGTTGCTGTTGTAGGTTCAAATAAATCTACTCCATGCTGCTCAACGTCATCAAACTGTATACAATATAGTAATTGCTGTGAACCATCTGGCGCAGTGTAAAATTCCGTCCATGGAATAGCCAAATTTGTAAATTGACTGCCTTCACAAATGCTGTAAGGCTTTTCTTCTGCTTGCCTATAGGATTTACATAGTAATTGTGATATTTTAATCGAAAGTCAACATGGAATTATGTCTCTTACAGAGGTGTAGTAGCTGTAGACTTCTGTTGCAGCAAGTTTCTCAGTCTAGCTATAGTTGTAGCAAAATCAGTTGGCTCCTCGTATACAGGTGACAACCTGTCATCTTCAGGTTCAGAATCTGCTTCGGAAATATTAACATCTCCCCAAAGCCCACGATGGCTTATTTCTAAGCCTTGGAGAGACAGTGTAGACCTTTTAGGTACTATCTCTTTACTGCATTTAGCATCTGTTTCGGACTCAATTGGAACATTTGAAACTGGTGATACCTTAGATAATGGTCGTGGTATAATAGTTGCAGTTGCTGATGTTATACCATTGTTTAGTGCTAAGGACACAATTCCCTAAAAATAGTAAGTTAGATAAAGTACTGGAATTTTACAAATGATATAATTTAGGGGTTCATAAATACAATATTTGTACATTTTGAATTGATCCAAGTGGTTGATTCTCTTGTTCAGTGGAATGTAACACTTCTAACAATTTTTCAAAAATCCAAGTAGGATCACTCATGATTTGAATTGTTTCTTGAAGTTTTTTAGCCAAAATTGACAATAACAACTTGCATGGTAATGAACTAATCAATTCCCACTGCAGAAATTCCCTTGCTAGAATGGTAATCAGTCGACTAAGAGCATGTTCCAATGATGCCATACTACGAGAGCCAGGATGCTGACAACGATATGCTTCCTCGATATTTGGCGCTGTTCCTTTCTCTACTCTGCGTAGTGCTCTGTTCCAAATAAAACAATAAGAATAAATAGTCAACAACAATGACACGTTTTCTTACCTCCGATATTCCTTCAAATGCAGCAACAGTACATCTGCCAGCTTATTTGTCAGTCTAACTTTATCTATGGTAACGACATGGCTATGTGCCTTTTGCAATAATTTTTTGAGCAACTCCTGAGCCTCACTGGGAAAAGCTTTGTTGTTACTTATATTTGTATACCATACTTCAATAAACCTTGAATCAATTTGATTCACAATGTTTTCCAGATATGCCTCTTGTACATTTATCTTACATTTAGTCTTGCATGCTTTATTATTTATATTATCTTCAATCATGTTTTCTTTGTCTCCATTTATTTCTGTATGCTTGTTTTCACTGCTATCATATATTGTGGCATTTTTTGATGGATACGTGTCAATTTTAAAATATTCTTCTAATCTGGTACGTAGCCAAATACCAAAAGGCTCAAATCTGATAGGTGAGCTGGCTTTTATTGTGAATCGAAGTACATAGCAGCTGACCCATGTTGACATCGCTGTGACAAACACAGCCCAAGCAATAGATACGTAAACCGGTAACGATGACAGACCTGCCCATTCTTGAATGATCATGGATAATGCTGCCCATCCAACGCTTAAGATTAACAGTATTTGATTCAACCAGCTCATTGGAATTACCTCCATATTGTATCTTACGTCTTTATTACTTTAGTTGCTAAAATTAGCCTTACATAAGTTGCAGCAGTTGTAATCATATTTAAAAATGATATCTTTATTCTGAAAGACATTTAACAAAATATTCATTACTATTTTTTATAATTTACTACTAAAAAACGTTAACCACCTATGCCCAATGTGTATTCATACATTTCCCAGATATGACATTAATAGGGGGTATCAAAACGAATTTGACAATACTTTTTTATCTGACATTGAATCTCACCTATTTCTTCTAACATAAGAGTCGTATATAAGGAAAAGTGTGTATTATCATTCATGTTGCTTTGTTGCACTATATAACCAAAACATAAAATTGCGGGGAATGTTATATTTAATATAACCAAACCAAATTCTTTTCGATATATAAAATTCACTTGGCGAACATTCCTTGTCTACACTGTAACATCGGCCATTCGCATTTAATCGACATTTGAATATATACGAAACATGATCATGGACGATAAAATTGAGCAAGGTGTTTGATAATGTCAAGTATCAAGTTCATAAAAAGCGGAAGTTTCATGAAAACGACAATAGCTTCCGTTGGCTACAATGTAACAGGCCAATGGAAGAAGCCGATGCGCAACATTTGAAGAAATCGCCATTTAAATATATTAATAATTATTCTGGAAATAAGGCAAAAACTTCGACAGAATCAATAAGGTATTATTCAGAATTTAGTAGAGTATACATTTTAAATGAGAAAAAGGAAAAAAAGCGAAAGTCAGTGACGGATAACTCCTGCGCAAGCGCGAGCTCTTTTGGCGAGTTCTCGACGTCTTTCCGTTGTAGCGAACGTTTTCTCCTGGTGCCAACCAATGAAAAAAATTGCATAATAACATTCCAAATCCATGCGAGAAGGACTTAAGTTAGACATGAACGGAACATGAAGTGTTATATGAATTTTTGATTTCATTTCAGAATTTTTGATTTCATTTCAGAATTTAATCCCTTAGAAAGTCAAGCATTAATAAACGAACGTATAATAAAGTAAACCAAATAACTAGCATTTTAGAATATTTATAATGGTCACCAAATCATTGAGAACTTCCACGTTACTGTCGATCGACACTAATACGCAAAATGTCACGTAAAAATTCAGCGTAAAGATTTTATAACCCATTTTACCCTATGCTCTCTTTCCCATTCTGTGCAGCTAAGGCCTATTTGAGGTAATTTTGAGAACATTGGGACTTTATTGCAGCCGTGAATGCAGATCTTAATTCGATTAAAGAGCATATAAAAATAAAGGAGACACGTAAGAATGAGAATATTCGGAGGCGATTAGACAAAGATATCATCCGTTTTTAAACTTTTTGGAGGTTTCCTCGCGCAAGTATATAATATATTACATCAGTTCATCACAACAGAGAAATACCTTAAATTAAATCAATTTTCCATTAAAAAAGGAAACAAATGCCTTCACATGTTCTACCTTTCACGCTATTGCTTAAATTTCGTGTATCAAACGATTTTTAGTGCAGCATACTTCCGAAAAAGTTCAGAGACGAAAGATCCCTCTACTTCCTCTACATTTCATCTGTACACATACTATAGTAGTATTCTCTCCCTTCCACATTGCTTGCCTTTCGGCCAAACCTAAAAATTAAAGCATATCTGATAAGCACATACATTGTTTAGCATAATAAAAGGGGACTATGATCATTTAAACCAAAACGGAGTCACCTTTTTTTCCAGATTATCCTAAACAATACACGTTAGTCCTCGATGTTGGGGTTGTATTTTTAGGGAGTGCAAATTTTTTGGCGAGCAATGCATAAACTCTGCTTCCGAGCAATCATCGGGGGTTCGACAGCGCGCCATAAGAGGAGACATTCGGACGAGCGAGAGTCGCCTCTAGGTACGCGCAAGTACGCGGCCGGTACTCGGTCTGCGGTCGGCGCGCGCTCGAGGCGCCGCAGGGAGCCACCGGGCGGCGGGGCTAATTTTAGCGAGTCGTGAGAATAAACATAAGTTAGCGCGTCGTCAGGGGCCTTGTATGGCTAGGCCGGGCTAGGCGCAGCTGGGGTCCACGAGCACATCCCTAGCCGGGGGTAGCGGCTCTATTTTTACTATTTCTTAACTCGCCTCCCGGTTTTGCCGCTCGTCTTAGGTTACGTTATTCACCGCAATGTCGGCCGATAGGCGAGCTTCGATAATCCGAAGGGTCGACCCTCGCACGTGGACGGCACGTGGACCTCGAGTTCTTCGGGAGCTTCGAGAACGACTTCGACCTGACGACGCCGCCATGTTCTTTGATACGTTAATTTTCAGGAAATTTCGAGAACGGCAGTTTGCGCCCTTCCTTGAATCTTATGAGAAACTCTGATATCCGAAAGACGGGAAATAATGGAAATGAATCGATTCTGATCCGTATGCTTTGAGGAGATAAGAAAAAGAATAACGCGTCGCGTTCCTTTGTAGATTATGCTGCAGAAATGGCAGGGCCGTTTGCGAAGAGGGGAAAAGTGAAAAGAGACCGCAACCGAGCTCGCTCGAACGACCGGTATTTCTGTACCGTCTAGGGCCTGCAGGAAGAATCGAGAGTGACAATAGATTCGGTCTCATCGAGACTTTGGACTGGCGCCAGGACACGGAGACGTGAACAACCCAATTTTGACTTTGACTAGCAACGAGTGAGCGAACTCTTCGGTGATTGCGGTAGTCTCGAGAATCTTGAGAAATGGGTTTTAGGTGCGCTTATGCGAGGGAGGAGCCGGATAACGTTCCAAAGAAAAAGAGGAAAGTAATATTCTGGTTCCAAGTATGGATAAAAGGTCCTTTTCACTAATTTTACACAGCCTTCGCGAAACGAGCCATCTAGACTCGGGAGAATGTTCACCCTACGACGATACTTTCCCCATTGTTAATAAGCGGCAAGGACATTCGAAGAAAGGCCAATCGCTCTCGGCGAAACTCCTGAAGATGGAAACTTTGCTATGTTCGATAAATCAGACACCTTAGAAAGTCCTAGACGAAGAGAAAGACAAATAGAAACGAAGCCTTTGACCCTAATCGTACCGTCCAGGTTGAAAGTCCAACTCGAGAAAAATGAAATATCGAAAGAAACGATGAACCGTCAATAGCAACATTGTCGATCTCGAAGTTAATCGCCGTTTGGCGTAAAACAAAGACAATGTCCACTCCGTACTTCGAGAAATGATTCGAGAGCTTGGTGCATTCGCGTAACTTAAGAAAGTGGGGGGCCAGCGAGATCGATCGGTTGCTGAGCTCGGTTATACAGAACCTTCTCACTTTTATTATTTATAAGGTATAATAAGAAGAACGCGATAGGCTGGACAGCAATATGAGCCAGCAATGGTAAATCTAGCGAGCGTGCGATTAACTCCGAGCGACGCGCAATCGAGCGGTCCGGAAGTAAGTGCGGAAAGAGCCGAGAAGATGCGTCTCGCGATCGTGAGGACTAGCATAATAAATAATTAATGTTAATAACAAATAGTCGTGTTGTACAAACTACGTAGTACAATATACAGTCTGATAAATGTGTACAATAAAGGCACTCGAGTAGTAGTATCTCTTTTTTCCTTTGTTCATATCGGGCGTTCTCTCTCTCGATCGACGGAAAACGCGCAAGCCGGGTCCTCGGGAAGATCATACAGGTAATCGGAGGGTGCGGGACGAGCGGCCTAGAAGCATTTGCGGTGGACGATTCCGGGGCCGGATTCGTCGTACTCCTGCTTGGAGATCCACATCTGCTGGAAGGTGGACAGCGACGCCAGGATGGATCCTCCGATCCAGACGGAGTACTTCCTCTCGGGGGGAGCGATGATCTTGATCTTGATGGTCGAGGGCGCGAGGGCGGTGATCTCCTTCTGCATGCGGTCGGCGATACCCGGGTACATGGTGGTACCACCGGAAAGGACGGTGTTGGCGTAGAGGTCCTTGCGGATGTCGACGTCGCACTTCATGATGGAGTTGTAGACGGTCTCGTGGATGCCGCAGGATTCCATTCCCAGGAAGGAAGGCTGGAAGAGGGCCTCGGGGCAGCGGAACCTCTCGTTGCCGATGGTGATGACCTGGCCATCGGGAAGCTCGTAGCTCTTCTCGAGGGAGGTGCTGGCGGCCGCGGTGGCCATCTCCTGCTCGAAGTCCAGGGCGACGTAGCAGAGCTTCTCCTTGATGTCGCGAACGATTTCTCGCTCGGCCGTGGTGGTGAAGGAGTAGCCGCGCTCGGTGAGGATCTTCATGAGGTAGTCGGTGAGATCGCGACCGGCCAAGTCCAGACGGAGGATGGCATGGGGCAGGGCGTAACCCTCATAGATGGGCACGGTGTGCGAGACACCGTCTCCGGAGTCCAGGACGATACCGGTGGTACGACCGGAGGCGTACAGGGAGAGCACGGCCTGGATGGCGACGTACATCGCGGGGCTGTTGAAGGTCTCGAACATGATCTGGGTCATCTTTTCGCGGTTAGCCTTGGGATTCAGGGGGGCCTCGGTCAGGAGGACGGGGTGCTCCTCGGGGGCGACTCGCAGTTCGTTGTAGAAGGTGTGGTGCCAAATTTTCTCCATGTCGTCCCAGTTGGTGATGATGCCGTGCTCGATGGGGTACTTCAGGGTCAGGATACCTCTCTTGCTCTGGGCCTCGTCTCCTACGTATGAGTCCTTTTGACCCATACCCACCATGACGCCCTGTAACATGGAATTGCCAATTAGTGCGTTGTTTGAGTAGGTCCCCTCGGGACGAACGTCGTTCGAACTTTTTTCGGGTACCTCTCAATGGCCGTATGTACTCGTGCATCGATCCGATTTGATGTACATAGCCAAGTGTTATGGGAAAACGCGTATAAAATAATATGTATGTACCTGATGGCGGGGGCGCCCAACGATGCTGGGGAACACCGCTCGTGGAGCATCATCTCCAGCGAATCCGGCTTTGCACATACCGGAGCCATTGTCCACGACTAGTGCCGCTACGTCATCGTCACACATGTTGGCTGGTGGGAGTGATTATTTTCTACGGACAACGAAGAGATCTCATAAGTTTAACAATGAAATTATCGTCAATGTCTTCCTCTTTTTATTTTAGTTCCAATCCAGCCCAGAGCGCAACGCTTATTGGATGGAACCCTTTGCTAGAAAGGACCATTCGTCGCTTTCAACCAATTCCAGCAGTACGCAGTCATTCTGCGATTCAAAAAATTAAGATGACTCATGTCGAGTAAAAATATCAAAGATAAGTACTTCACCGTGCAAGAATTTTCCCGTTAAACGCAGCGGCATGGATCGATATGCACCTCAAATGATACGTTTAATATAGATTAACCTCATTGGGATGTGTATAGATTCACCCCGTTACCCATTGACTCCGAATTCCTCCCCATCTAGGCATTTCATTCCCACGCCTTGCTCTCCCATCGTCCATCGAATTTATTCCCCTCTCCCCAAAAATCGCGTTCCACGAACGCGCCAGAATTCGGAAGGCCAAGACAAATAATTTCTACCGCCCAGCTCCCTCGTTCAACTCCCCGTTTAATGGAAAACCGCTGGTAATTTCTTGCACACTGAGGCTTCACTGAGGCACCGTTTCACGAGTAATTCTAGGAGCTTGCACCCCGTTCACTGTATCGCACTGTCCAGCAGCTTCCTACCGGTCGCTCCCGACAGCGTCTACCTTCGGGGCAGAGATAGCTCGACGCGGTGCACGAGCGAGTACCAAATTGAAGAAGAAAATCAACTAGAGATTGGTCGATAAATTCCCGGGGAAAAAGTGGCGCGGAGTGTCTCGAAACCGGCGAAGTCCCGACCGGTAAGAGGCGCGAAGAAACGCAGGTCTCGGTGATCCGTACCGTGGAGAAGATCGAAGAGAGCCCGGGGGTCCGGAAAACGTCAAAATCGGCGACGCGCTGTGGGCGTTCGTCTTGCAAGAGAGCAAGCAGCGAGTGGCGCATTGCAGCCGTTGTGGGGTCCCTTTATCCATATCGGTCGCTGCCGAAAATAGCGATCCGCCCCTTACATGGAAATCCGGCGGCGCGGCGAACTCGGCAGCGTCGGCCACCGCTGGCATAGTCCTTAGAGCCCTAAAGAGCGCGGCGACGCCGGGCGCCGCCACCCCCCCGGCGACGCCCGGCGACGCCCCCCGATCCCAAATAAGGCCTCGTGCCCCACCACGAACCCTCCGACCGGGCCGAACTCCGACCGGGGAAGATTCGCACCGAGATCCGCGCCGTTCTAACCCCGGTCCCTTTGTCGCGAGGACGCGCCTTCCTAATATAGAGGACGGCTCACGACGCCCGTTGCGGGACTCCGGACGCTTCCAGGGGGCGCACACTGGAGCCCGAGTGCGTCTCCTCCCGGGCCGGAAGCGGATCCTCCGCCATCTTGGGCGCTCTTCGGATCTTCCGCGCTCCTGGAGCGGTCGACGAAAGAGGAGCGAGTGCGGCGGAGAGTGGCAAAGGGTTCCATGGTACTTCGGAAGTATGTCTGGACCTCGACGGACGTTTACAGGCAGACAGGTGAGTGGGGTGGTGGGTGGCAAAGGGGTTCCATCGTACATGGGTAGTCCGGCTGGAGGACGTCGGATGTTCCTGGGTTGAGGGGGGAGTGCGGCGGAGGGTGACTAGAGGTTCCATGGTATTTTGGAAGTCCGCTTGTACCTCGTCGGACAATTCCGGTCAAAGAAACGAGTGAAGCAGGTCGTAGCAAAGGGTTCTTTTGTAAATGGGAAGTATGCCTGGACCTTGTCGGACATCTCCAGGCAGAGGGAAGAATTAGGTGGAGAGGGGCAAGGGGTTCCGTCGTCCTTTGGAAATCTGCCTGGATATCGAGCTCGATTACCGGGAAGAAATTCCAAGACGGAAACAGAAGTCTTCCTGGAGCTCGTCGTATGTTTCTGGGCAGAGAACTCGGTGAGGCAGAATATTACAACGGGTTCCATCTTACTTTAAAAGTGTGCCTGGATAATACCGAGCTTGAATACCGGGCAGAAATCCAAAGACGGAAACAGAAGTCTTCCTGCAGCTCGTCGTACGTTTCCAGGCAAAGAGATCGGTGAGGCGGAGTATAACAAAGGTTTCCTTCGTTCTTCGGAAGTCTGTCTGAACCTCGTCGACCGTTTCCAGGCAGAGGGGTGAGGGAGGCAGAGGATGGCAAGGGGTTCCATCGTCCCTTGGAAGCCTGCGGCTCTGGATGTCGCCCTTAGGCTCGAGAACTCCACAACCGGGATAAGGTGCGAGGATGGTTTGGTTGAGGTTGATTTGGTTGAGAGTTGGTGTCTTGCTTGAGTGGAAAGAATGAACTCTTGAGGGCGAATTCGAGGGATGCTGGGTGCGGCTGGTTAGAATGGAGGACTCCCTCGGGTCGAGGTCCTTGGGGTGTTGTTACCCTTCCTGGAGGGTCCCTCTGCTTCAAAGGCACGTACGCGAGTCCTCTTCTGGAGAGGATCGGTCTTCTCGAGGGGAAGCTGTGCATGCGTTTTCGGAGAATGCTTGTCTTCCTGGTTTTGTTTGATCCCTGAGTAATATGCGGCATTTCGTGTTATTCGCGGCGTATCCGTAGCCAAGTTCTTCTCTTGGATCCCGAGATGAGCCGCAGGAGAAATAAGTGTCTTCTTTCTTTCCACATAATCACGGTATATTTGTTCATACGTTTCTCGCCAAAACCTATAATGCCTAAAAGTTAAAACTATAACGAAATAATTAAAACTGTAAAGATAAACGCAAATGTCGTTTGGCGGAGTAAAACGGGACTATGATTAAATTGAATTATTATCTCTTTAATTTATCCTAAACTGTATACTTTAGGCTTCCATTCACACGAGTTTCATTTTTAGTTGTCGCGATGTTTTGCCCAACAGGCAATTTTAACGAAATCCGATTGATTGATCCGTTTTCTGATAATGATACGTGACATGAGACGTCACGAGACAAAATGATTTGATTTAGAGAAATGTGATGCTATCGATGTTTTTGCTGTCGAGCCATGTATGGCATAACGTATTCATCGGATGTTTAATATTAGCTGCCTCTTTGTATATAGAAAATAGTTGTTGCGTAACGTATGTTCAAAGTATTTTTAACGGAATGTCATTTCCCCGAGTATGTACCGATCTCGTGGGTATTTTATAACCTCCTGGGATATTTTTAGTAATATAAGAGAATAAGGTAAAGATTTTAATTCATTTAGATAATAACACGGAGGTGATAGGTAATTGCTGATATTATGTAATATAAAATATCGTATTCAGATAAAAATTCAGCAAGAATGTCACACAAGACTGTCACGAATTACATAATTTTTAGATAAATCCATGGCATTTATAAATATATTTCAAATTTAAAAATACGCAGACGGACCGAATATCGAGAATTTAATCAGGAGGGATAGTTATCGTTTTATGAACATGCGTCTATAAACATGTTTAACGCGATGAATGAATATGTTAATGTATAGCATTCGGATCTTTTTTCGTTCATATCCATTCTTGCAAAATTGTCCAATGCAGGATGTATTGCAGTATGTAACTATATTCGGAAAGTACCGATTAAACAAAATTGTATGTAATGTTACAAATAGACTCGCGCATTGATATTAAGATTTTAACCCTTTAACCAAATCCCCTGCTTAGAATTACTCCCGTCTTTGAACTTAATTCACCCATTTACACGAATGGGTTAAATTAGCTCCATTAGTAATTCAAACCAGCACAATCTGGTGCATAAAAAAAGATATGCACCGTACTCGCAACTCGTGCAATTAGTGCCTCGCAAAACCCTCCCCAGGTTTCAACGTAACTAAAGCAGCGCATTCCCAATTGCCGAGCTTTCATGGCTACTTCACGGAAAAAGAATCGCCGAAAGATCGTCAATTATTTGCAAAATGACGGAACGGACTAGCGGGCAATCGAAATAAAAGAGTTCGAGTCAGACCTCTGTAAGAACGTAGATACCATGTTTATTCCATAGATGTAAAGTTATATACAAAAGATGACGGATGCCGATAGACGATGGACGTCGCCACTGAGCTCGCTACATAAAAAAAGAATAGACGTACGGTAACGGCATTCGATTTCGAGGATAGAGAGCCAACGTAAAGTAGCGGCCGATGTAAAGCAGAGCACGGCAGGGTGGCGATTTTGGGGGAGGTGTCGATGGGGTTGCGTATCGCGAGAAACCGTTTAGAAGCACTTGCGGTGGACGATGCCGGGGCCGGACTCGTCGTACTCCTGCTTGGAGATCCACATCTGCTGGAAGGTGGACAGCGACGCCAGGATGGATCCTCCGGAGTACTTCCTCTCGGGAGGAGCGATGATCTTGATCTTGATGGTCGAGGGCGCGAGGGCGGTGATCTCCTTCTGCATGCGGTCGGCGATACCGGGGTACATGGTGGTACCTCCGGAAAGGACGTTGTTGGCGTAGAGGTCCTTACGGATGTCGACGTCGCACTTCATGATGGAGTTGTAGACGGTCTCGTGGATGCCGCAGGATTCCATTCCCAGGAAGGAAGGCTGGAAGAGGGCCTCAGGGGTACGGAACCTCTCGTTGCCGATGGTGATGACCTGACCATCGGGAAGCTCGTAGCTCTTCTCGAGGGAGGTGCTGGCGGCCGCGGTGGCCATCTCCTGCTCGAAGTCCAGAGCGACGTAGCAGAGCTTCTCCTTGATGTCGCGAACGATTTCTCGCTCGGCCGTGGTGGTGAAGGAGTAGCCGCGCTCGGTGAGGATCTTCATGAGGTAGTCGGTGAGATCGCGACCGGCCAAGTCCAGACGGAGGATGGCATGGGGCAGGGCGTAACCCTCGTAGATGGGCACGGTGTGCGAGACACCGTCTCCGGAGTCCAGGACGATACCGGTGGTACGACCGGAGGCGTACAGGGAGAGCACGGCCTGGATGGCGACGTACATCGCGGGGCTGTTGAAGGTCTCGAACATGATCTGGGTCATCTTTTCACGGTTAGCCTTGGGGTTCAAGGGAGCCTCGGTCAGGAGGACGGGGTGCTCCTCGGGGGCGACTCGCAGTTCGTTGTAGAAGGTGTGGTGCCAGATCTTCTCCATGTCGTCCCAGTTGGTGATGATGCCGTGCTCGATGGGGTACTTCAGGGTCAAGATACCTCTCTTGCTCTGGGCCTCGTCGCCTACGTATGAGTCCTTCTGACCCATACCGACCATCACGCCCTGATGGCGGGGACGTCCCACGATCGAAGGGAACACGGCACGGGGCGCGTCGTCCCCGGCGAATCCGGCCTTGCACATACCGGAACCATTGTCCACGACCAGGGCTGCTACTTCGTCGTCGCACATTTTGGTGCTTGCTCTGTTCTACCTTCTGTAAAGAAAATAGATATTAATTATAGTTCCTCTCAGATGCTTTGGGGTATTCACCGAGAAAGAAGTCGTATTAATGGCGGATGCGTTGCTTGTTCCCCATGATATAACCTCAAAGAACCCCAATAATAATCGTCTCGTATCTTTCGAGTCAACCTAATCTAACTCTCGATTGTACTACGTGATAACTAATTTACTATTAATATTCAGTCGATACAGAGTCATCCTTTGAAATGGAAACCTGGTAGTTTTTGATAAAGTATCAATGTTCACTGATCCGACTGCTTTTCTAATGGTGCTTTGATGAATTGTGCTTATCCTTTACCCTCGCATGCTATGCTAGTATAAAGTCTTTGTCAGTGAGGAACTATTCTCTCCAAATTTCCATATGATAGAAAATTGCTTTTTCCGCCCATTATGTACTATTTCACCCGTTTCTTTTTTTCTTCTTTTTTTGGCACGACTGTTTTAGAAACTCGAATGAGCTTCTGAATGACGATTCCACTGATGTTACAGGTTCGTGGGAGAATTGACCCAGTTGCCTATAAAGCGACAGGCGTCGCTCGTTCGGCGTCGCGAGGCAGCCGCGGCGTCGCGGCGTTATTTTGGGGTGGCGATTACTAAGATTAGACGAACGCTGAATCGTGACGCTCCCTATAAGTGCAAGCGTCGATTATGGACCCGACGCCTCCGCCAACGACAGGCCAACGATGAAACATAACAGGCCGCGGATGCCAAAATTAGCGTACGCGAGAAATCCCTGATCGTGGAAAACGGACAAAGACCTCCGAGGAAGGCGAAGAATCCTCATTTATTTACATTGTAGGTCCTCTTAGATTTTATACATTTTAATTTATGCGCTTTTACCATTTGTATTTATAAGCACTGTTTCAGCTCTTTACATGTTCTTTGTTAAACGGTTTTTTATTGCCTTTTCTCTTTCTGGGATCACTGTTGCCATCCATTTCAAAATCTCTCTTTTTAATGGAAGCGCGAATTTAACTTGACTAATTATTTAAACGGATAAGGATGATTGATCATAATCACACGAAATGAGACGAGGGAAAGTATTTAGTGCATGGACTGATTCAAACTTTGGGTAGATTTTGTCGAGGGAGAACTATAATGCGTTTCGAAGAATAGAAGTATTGTAATTTTGATAACGTTTATCATTTTGAAAGCGTAAAACCAAAGTTTCGTACGTCTTGTCAACTGCAGGAATATATTTAAGTACGCTTATTTGGTTGTGGTCATTTTCCGTATGAACAATAACTGACTTTGAAGTTGTGGGTGATATGATTTTGGAATATCAGTTAGAGGTCATATGACGAAGCTCGAAAAATTATATTCTTGTATAGTCAGCGAATATTGTCGAAACACAATTGCTAATACGTTTACAACAATTATTTTCCGTTATGGAAATGGAGATTTATGTAAATGGATTTATGAATTGAATTGCATAACTAGTCACTTGTTAACTGGCTCTTTAAAATCGGTAATCTATGAAATAAGAATATTTAGAGATTTTTCTGATATTTACTAAAGACGAATAAATTTTTACCGAATCTTGTTTTTATGTATGTGAAAGAAGTTGCAAAATGTACGCGAAAAAGTTATTAAAGAATTTGTTTAAAACGCCTGTCAAATTATAAGTTTTTGAAATTCAGTACACATTTGAGGTACTTTCACCTGCTTTTATATTATGTTATTAAATAATAGAATGTATTATGTAACTAAATGTTAATCTCTAAGTTAAATTATCATAATTGTAGATGTCTGACGAACATTTGACAGTTTAACGTGTACTTTTTAACATGAGGGAAACTTTTGAAATTATTTTTAATGACATGCTTGTTTTCACATTTCGATTAATTTGCTCTTGTAGCAGGAAATATCACTATATTATTAAATTCTAGTAAAGTTCACGTACGTGTTTTAAAAAATATTATATCAAAAGATTGAACGGTTTGAAAATCTATTTAAATCCGTATCCACATTTCAAAATGGCGCGGAAAGCTGTCTTTTAAGGCGGCAAGAAAAGACAGTTCGTGAACGAGCGGGAAAAAGCAACCCCGAGGCACCGAGCACAATAAATAATATTTAACCGAATTAGCTTCTAACAAATATTGGATAATGTCAATTAGATGTTACTTCACTATGAATCTACACTAGGTTTTCAAACTGACATTCCATAGAATCGAAAAAAAGGCTGTAATAACGTAACTTCCAAGAATTAAAAAAAGTTTGGACTCATACGAGATCTCCAACCTGGAGGGCTTTATCAAACAGTTCGAATTATGACAAATTATCATAAATTATTATAACTGATCGGACCGACATTGCTTATAATTCTTTCTTTAACAGTATTAATTGCTAAATAGCATCATTTAATCCTAACATCACTGTTATATCTGGTCTCACTACAGGGCAAAATCGTAGGCTGATGAAAGATGATTCACAAAATATTCCAATATTCCTTAGATCTGCTTTGGATGTCACTGAGCTCGATATATCCAAAGACGACGAGATCGCGAATTTCCAGGCTGGAAAATATCCGCTATAACCTGATATAACTGGATGTAACTGAATATAACTAGATATAACTGAATATAACTAGACATAACTCGATATAACTCGATATAACTCGATATAACTCGATATAACTCGATGTAACTCGATATAACTCGATATAACTCGATATAACTCGATATTATCCGATGTAACTCGATATAACTCGATATAACTGGATACAACTCGATATAATCCGATATAATCTGATGACTCGGACGGTGGTGTTCAGGTAGTACGTACCGTGCACGGGACAGAATAAAGTGGCGTCTGTGCCGAGAAGCGTCGCGACGTCGAATATATGCTCTCGTGGAGACGCCCCCGCGTCACCGTGCGATGCCGTTGCCGCGCTCGACGCGATCCTCGACAGGCACGAAAAAGGCGAGCGTCGCGACGCCGACTCCACCAAATCCCAACTAGGCGACCCCGACTCCGACCCTGGTCCAACCCTTGCCCAATCTACGAAAATTGGACGCTTATCATTTTTCCGGGATATTTTTCTTACTCGTCTGAAGAAATACTTCTCTCACCCTTCAGATGTTTCATACAAACTTCATAAGTTCTATTTGAGAATCCTGCAAAACGTTGCTCACTTGATATCCAATAAATAGTGTAGTCGGTCCACCTGTAATGAGAAAATAAAAAGTACAAAGAAATGAACATTAATACCAAAATTAAGGCAAATTCAGATTCTTGACAAGACGATACTTAGGGTTGTCTTGTCGAGTCATAGGGAGATATAATGCAAAATAGTTATTTGTTGTAAAGTTGATATTGTAAAAATAACTAGTTTTGTGTCGATAATGGGATAAATAATTCTGCTTTGTTATTAATGTTAAGGGGAAACCGGAAATATGATTACAATTTTCTGCAGCAGTTTCCGTAATACAACAATCTCTCATCCTGCTATGTAAACGGCACTAGTTGTACATTGTCAGTACAAATTTAATTACAGTTAAGAAAAATTGTAAAAAAAACGTTATTATCAGACGGTAATAATTGTAAGTACCCATGTGGTTTCCACTAACACGTTTAAAAGTATTGACATTGTTTATTGTCATTGCAATTGTTTATAGAAGGAGTACGACGTGTATGTCCCTTGTAAAGTTATTAGGATTAGTAATACATATTTGACAAATGGCAGTAGGAAAGACAATTCGGTCAGACTCGTATGGAACAAATATTTTATTCTACTTGAATACATTTTCCTTCGTAAAGATCAATTTGAAAGAAAGGACCACTGTAATTCACAATCGTTGCGGCTACATCCGCCGAATGTGCAATTAGCGATTACCTTGCAATTGTATATACTTTCGGTTAGAAAAACACAACGTGCTTGAAACAAAAGGCATTTAATTACTTATTAAGTCATTCGGCCACACTAACAGTATTAGTTATCGACGTATGTCTAATGTATTCTTCTTTTATTCCCATAATACTACATCTATGGTCAGCCATCTTGTTTTGCGTATCTCGCTAAATCGTGACCAAAGACATTTTATTAATTCCTCCAACGGCAGAATTAGCTCTAGTTCTCTAGCGGGTGTACCTATTTTGTAATTTCGTAACCTTTTTAAAAATGCTCCGAACGGGCGCTTTTATACGTTAATATATACTTATGGTCATCATAAATAGAATTTGTGAACATTTTGCCGACGAGACGCCGCCATTACGTTTCACGGTCGTTGCGACACAGGTGGAGGATCCGGAAATTCCTCGATTCTGGGGACTGTGTCAAATTTTTTTCCTAGACCTCCTCTGGGAGAACAAGCCCACGCAGCACCGACGCAGTCGGATTTTACCGAAATAACTAACCCGGTCTGAATTTGGGCACCCCCTGCCGTCCTTGCTTTCCGAAAACAAACTTCATACAGGGATTCCACTTGCGAGATACAAGATGCGGTATTCTGCATTCCTCCTCCCTCCATAGTCGGCTGCCGCATCCTTGTTTGTAACTTCGCTCTTTTGGTCGTCATTAGTTACGTGGAAGAGAATTTCGGAACCAGAGCTTGATCTTAACATTGTGACTCGTTGAGAAGGGTGATTAAGAAAAATCCCTAAATTAATACGTTCCTGAAAACTATCTCTAATCTGCATATAACAATCCCACGTCTAATCGAGTAACATGCAAAAGATCAATTACTTCGGTAAAACTACAAAATGCCAATTGTAAATGGATGAATGTTAAAGCGTTGTGCCTTTTTTATTATTAACATATTAGGGCCAGTCTCACATGTTTTATGAAACATATCGAAGTACTCTATGCACGGTAAAATGTCAGGTCCGTGGCGTATCACGTGGTAAAACAAATCTCTTTAAAATAATGACTCTTCTGCGTGTTATAATTTAATTGCCTCTTTCAGTTACACTGATTAAAGACGAAATGTGGTACATTTGTAAGCTTGCGCATTTGTTGAGTTAGCGGATATATTGGAAGTCCATTAAAGATGAGCTGTTCCAAAAAGCGAAACGCCGAGCCTGGGATAACATTTCGTACCGAAATAACCGACGTACTCGTACGCACGTGAAATTAATCGCATATAGAGTGAGATCTGCCGGTGTTTCTAATTTAATCGACTTAAAATACCGATGAGAGCCGCGGCTGGTCTCCCGTCAACTATTCCGCGATGCTCCGTTAGGAATCTGGCAAGTGGCTGCTATCTCGGTTAAGTATTTCAAATACAACCAGATGCGGCGATTCTTCTCCAAGGAAACGTCCCGAGTCCGACGAGATGCGATCATTTTGGATCACGTAACGAAACATTAAACAAACGAGCCGTGTTAAGTCACGAACTCACAATTCGTCTTTGCGAAATGATACCGAGCATCGCCAAAGAATTTCCAAGAGTTCCCATGAGAGCGACTCATCCAATCATATCTAGACTTCCTCAAAATTTCCACAGCAATTTCGACGAATCCGACATTCTTTAATTGGACCCGTTAAATCGAAAGCTCAGCAACACTTTATACGTGGCGTTTCGAGATATTACGAAATCGTCTCTTGGTAAACGATATAAGTATAGAGATTCATTTTATAACACCCTCTTCGTGTAGGGAGTGTATTCACGGGGGGTGAAAATATCCAAGGAAGGACGAAATTAGTTTGGCCAGGATTATGTGAGATAATGACGTATATTTGCCTTGACTTTTACGTATAACAATAGTAACGTATAATATTTACAAAATAAATTATAATAGACATGTGTTGTGTATCGGTGTATGCATCTTTGGTTAGCGGACTAGTACGGACTCGGTTACGACTTTTGAATAACGTTCTATCGTTCTTCCAGGTGGAGGTGGAGCCTCTCTCGACGCAGACAGGAAACGTCGCGCCCCCGAGCCCAGAAGGGATGCACCGGCACCGCTCCGAGGTCGAGGTCTTCCAAACCGTCGTCGTTAACGAGGTATGCAATCGACAAATTAGGAAGTCAAGGATGCACGGTTCGGCCTAACCGGGCTCGGGAAACGCGCTGTTCGGAGAGCCCCCGCCGCCCTCCACCTTCCACCCTCCGCCGTCCACCTTCCCGACCCCAAGAGCGAAAGGGTGCAGGTCGCGTCTCCTCCTCGACCTCCTGGGACAGGGCGAGAACGGGTTCGGCGTCTTGATCGGTGCAAGACGTCGAGCAGGATGGCGATTAATGAAGTAGTGACGCGCGGATGACGATTCGTGGGTCTCGTCGACGAGTATTCGCAGCAGCATGCGTAGGTTCAGGGGACCGGTACGAGGGCAAGCATCCCCGTAGAGGTCGAGGTGTGGTTTCGAGATGTGATCGAGGTAATCGAGCAGCTTAGAAGCATTTGCGGTGGACGATGCCGGGGCCGGACTCGTCGTACTCCTGCTTGGAGATCCACATCTGCTGGAAGGTGGACAGCGACGCCAGGATGGATCCTCCGATCCAGACGGAGTACTTCCTCTCGGGAGGAGCGATGATCTTGATCTTGATGGTCGAGGGCGCGAGGGCGGTGATCTCCTTCTGCATGCGGTCGGCGATACCGGGGTACATGGTGGTACCTCCGGAAAGGACGTTGTTGGCGTAGAGGTCCTTACGGATGTCGACGTCGCACTTCATGATGGAGTTGTAGACGGTCTCGTGGATGCCGCAGGATTCCATTCCCAGGAAGGAAGGCTGGAAGAGGGCCTCAGGGGTACGGAACCTCTCGTTGCCGATGGTGATGACCTGACCATCGGGAAGCTCGTAGCTCTTCTCGAGGGAGGTGCTGGCGGCCGCGGTGGCCATCTCCTGCTCGAAGTCCAGAGCGACGTAGCAGAGCTTCTCCTTGATGTCGCGAACGATTTCTCGCTCGGCCGTGGTGGTGAAGGAGTAGCCGCGCTCGGTGAGGATCTTCATGAGGTAGTCGGTGAGATCGCGACCGGCCAAGTCCAGACGGAGGATGGCATGGGGCAGGGCGTAACCCTCGTAGATGGGCACGGTGTGCGAGACACCGTCTCCGGAGTCCAGGACGATACCGGTGGTACGACCGGAGGCGTACAGGGAGAGCACGGCCTGGATGGCGACGTACATCGCGGGGCTGTTGAAGGTCTCGAACATGATCTGGGTCATCTTTTCACGGTTAGCCTTGGGGTTCAAGGGAGCCTCGGTCAGGAGGACGGGGTGCTCCTCGGGGGCGACTCGCAGTTCGTTGTAGAAGGTGTGGTGCCAGATCTTCTCCATGTCGTCCCAGTTGGTGATGATGCCGTGCTCGATGGGGTACTTCAGGGTCAAGATACCTCTCTTGCTCTGGGCCTCGTCGCCTACGTATGAGTCCTTCTGACCCATACCGACCATCACGCCCTGATGGCGGGGACGTCCCACGATCGAGGGGAACACGGCACGGGGCGCGTCGTCCCCGGCGAATCCGGCCTTGCACATACCGGAACCATTGTCCACGACCAAGGCTGCTACTTCGTCGTCGCACATCTTGCTGCTTTTTTATCGTCTCTGAAATGGCGAAACTAGAGATTAATTCCGAGGTTGCTTGGCTTCGGGATGGTAGTCTTTGAGGATTTCGGCAACGCGTTGAGGGTACTTTGGCAGGAACTCGCGATGGATTCGCCAAGAATTACGATTGCCCACCCGCGGCTCATTTAGGATACAATAGCTCGTGTTATTCTAGTAATCGGATCGGGATAAGATTCCGCACCTGTCACGCGGGCCCATTAATATTCCGGAAGTTGCGGGTGGATCTACCTCGACTTTTTTTAGACACGACTTGGATTCTATTTCGTGAGCCTCGTACGTTGGAAACGAAACTCGATATCCTCTCAAGTTGGATTAGACCGTGATAACATTTCTCAATATTTCTTGGACTTGAAACAATCGCGATTGTATTCGTAAAATTCATCGAAGCAATTCAATGACGATATAGAAACATCTCTATGCTCCAAAATTTTACCAGTTCCCATTTCGTTGAATGGTTAAATCGTTAACGACTATATCCTTATACTCCGTCTCCGCAATTTTATTATTACATTCATTTGAAAAGGTAGACCGTCACTAACCGCTTGGCTTTTTTAACGGCCATTGAGATCATTACTCTATATCAGGAATAGAAAAGCGATATAGCAAATCCCTATAGAAAAACGTTATAGACTTATCAATCTATTCCTTCTCCTACGCCCTTTCTCTTATACAGGATACTGACAATTTTCGCCCGAAACTCATAAATCCGCAAATTAATCTACCAGTTATTTCCGAACAATTGCGTTTCTATATTCACCATGCCCCAGGCTCGTGTCAAAGAACGTACTACAGTCAGTCAACTTGACATCCGTCCATTCTTTGACACGAGTTACCTCCCATCTCGAAATCCGAACTGCACGCGTTCCACTGACGTTTCCACTTACGAGTAAACCGATTTTCGAGTCACTCTACTCTACTCCGGGTAAACTCTCTTTATCCCACTAGTAAGCAAGGTAGCCGCGAAAGCCACCTCTAATGTTTACAAAAAAAAACGCGTTGTCTCACTAGGACGTCCACTGGTAAGCAAGATAGCCGCGAAAGTCACTCTAGTCTGTTTAGTAAAAACGTGTAGAGCTTCTTTAAAGTCCGTCACTAATACCCTGCGGCTTCGTTCCAGGATATCCGGAGTCGACGTCTGGCACGATGGTTCGGTAGCGAGAAGGGAAGATTCCGTCTCAGTTTGTGGTCGAGTTTCCAAGGGAAAGTCGGTAAGTCGGATACTAACCGTGGGGGTGGGTTGTGAATCGGCGGGCGGCTGCGGAGCGGCTGAGGCCTGGAGGCGTCGCGGCGCCAGATATAACGTCCGCACCCGAATCGACGCTACCCAAGATGGGCACGGCGACGCTCTAGGGCTGGCCAACGTCCCTGCCCACGCGGATGGCCCACGCCCGGACGGCGGAAACCACCCAAATATTGGGATACCAAACCTCGAACCAACGAGCTTGGACGCCCCTGAATATGGACGCGAGGGCGCTCCGAGCTTTTCCCTCCGTTCCTCTTCTTGGACGCCGCCGAAGCGGGCGCGGCGATTTTGCCTTTCAAGGGAGCGTTCTCCAATCGACGCTCTTTGTGGCATCTCGACGTCTTTCAAGCTCGCGATGGAGGGTTTCTTTTCGGCGACGCGTTCTTTTTTTACAATATATTGTACAAGCGGTGGACTAGAGGAGTGAGGGTACTTGGTTCATACGCATTATGCGGTGGTGTATGTCAGGTAATGAAAAGTAATTAATCGTGAATGACTAATTTCATGGATAGAATAAAGGCTGTGCAGAACACAGTCGTAAGAAACGTGAGTCCCTCTTCTTGGATGCTGTCTCTTGGGTGCGGTAATTTTGCCTTTCATGGGAGCGTTCTCCAATCGACGCTCTTTGTGGCATCTCGACGTCTTTCAAGCTCGCGATGGAGGGTTTCTTTGCGGCGACGCGTTCTTTTTTCACATATGTTTTACAAGCGGTGGACTAGAGGAGTGACGGTAGTTGGCTCATGCGCATTATGCGGTAGTGTATGTCAGGTAATGAAAAGTAATTAATCGTGAATGACTAATTTCATGGATAGAATAAAGGCTGTGCAGAACACAGTCGTAAGAAACGTGAGTTCCTCTTTTTGGATGCTGTCTCCTGAGCGCGACGATTTTGCTTTTCAAGGGAGCGTTCCTTTGGTTGGTAATTTCGAAAGTACGCTAACGTCTTCGAAGCTCCTAATGGAGATTTTCTTTGCGGCAGCCGCCTCTATATTTACGCTATATCAAAGTGCAGAATTGGAGTGAGAATGGAGTTGGAGAGAGTGGTTGGTGCGCAGTGTATTATAAGGGTAGCATCTTTTATAATGAAGTAGAACGCAATTATAACTTAGGGTTATTAGTTTGATGGCAGCATTTGCGTTAAATTGACTGCAGGTTTACGTAGGGTATAGCTTGAACAAGACGGTCGTAAGAAAAATGATTCCTTTTCTTTAACGCTGCGTCTTTTCTTTTTAAGGAAGCGTTCTCCAACTGGTACTCCTGAAGGCATATCATTTTCATCTTTAGACCCTTCAATGGAGTTCTCGACAATGATGTACATTGTTGACCTTCTATCTACCTCATGCATTACAAGAATGTCAATTATTGGCTATTAGAAACCCTGCGATCATAATAGATGGTTTATACACAATTTGCAATTACACGGCAACAAAATGGGGAAGTCATTAGAGGAATATTAATCGAATGTCCCCGAGTGCAGGATATTGGTTACCAGAAGTCGATTTTACTTCAAGTATTACTTCTCGGTAACATGGACATAGAAAAAGCAAATTCTTCTTTTTGGCGGTTGCCTCACTGGTTCCGTGTGTCTGCCTTTCAAGAGAGCGTTCTCCAATCAATGGAGCCGTTCAGGTCAACGTTCTTTAAAATCATTAAAAAGGAGCAAAATGAAAAATAAAGGAATAGTCGTTGCAACAGACAGATGACAATGCGATTGCATGAAATGTAACTCGCACAGCGGCATTTTGGATTAGAAAAAAATTAACATACGAAATGCAGCCAACATGCAGACTCTTGGAAATTCTCTAATGTATTTGCCACCTTAAAGAGGAATAAAATTGATGTTTCCCGAGTTGTTCCGGGACACGTTGGTCCCTGCGATCTTGGAGGCGGTTCCTTGGACCATAACGTGCGTATCTATGCATAACGTTAATTGTGCCGAGAGAGATCGGGGTAAAAAGCTCCTCTCAAGGCAACCCGTAGAAAAGACGCGCGACAAAAACGGCGGAACCTATGACTTGAACTTGTATTAACCTCGTGATTCTTTCGGCGAGTACCAATTTGCTACGTTTTTTGTCAACCTCGCACGGCGATTTCTCAAATGTTGACGTGGGTATCAAAGACGGTTCGAGACCTCGGACACGATTTCTTTAGTTTGCTTACTCTGCGGTCGATCGAGGAAATGTCAAGAAAGCATTCTTCCGCAACAATGTAACAGCTTACAATGATCGTTGCAGAAGATACAAGCCTGCTTGTCCTCGTATAAGCTTTACACCTGTTCGCATACCTGTGTGAAGGAATCTACAAGAAAAAGGACAGCATCATCGAAAGTGAGTCTTCGGAACGATAGCCAAGCAAGGTCGGGATTGCTCGAGAATACAAAACTGGTCGCTAAAATTGCGAGAGTGCTGTTCGGAATATTTCATTGTAGAATCCGAGGTCAACTTTATTGGTCGCTGTTTGGATTTGAAATTTTCAAGATTTTTTTAACGAAGGGATAAGAACCATTGCTCACTCTAGTTCCATTTTTATACTCTAATTCTGGTATACTCGGCTTCAGTTTATTTATTATGTCTATTGTACAACGTTTAAACTATTCTCGTTATCATTGTACGAAGGTAATAATTTGACATTGATCAACGTGCAACAGTTTGCAAATAACAAGGATTAACAATTCATTTAGCATTCATTAAAATTATTAAAGCTACCTGATAAACCAATGAATGCCACATGAATATATTTATACCGTGTAAATATTGATTAATTAATCTCAACATTTTTAATGTTAAAGCACGTAAAATATCATTGTCACCGTAATGTGTCTTCAGCTGAATCTTTAGATTATGGTCATCCATCTTTATAATTTCGTTCGTGCAGTTTTTATCATTAGAATCTAGGCTCGAATTATAAATGAATTCCTGACTTTGATGAGAGCAATGAGAAAATGGATGCCTGACTTTCAGTTCTTAAATAAGTAATGTCCATATTTGAGAATGAAGGTCAAGTCCAAGCAGATAAGTTCGATGGAAAAATTATCGCACTACCGATGATAAATCACGACCGTGACTCGGATGTTCTTTCAATGAATCCAGTTATTGTAAAACATGTCCCAAAACAAGTGGGCCAGTCTATTGCCTTAAGATGTGGATTTTTTGTTCATATGTTGAACGAATTCGCATGTGTGTGCGGATCATCGTCATTTATGATCTTTAGAGAGAAAATAACGAGCCGGTTTTTGGCCAACTTCTGTTTATTCATGCAGAAGGACGATTTTCTCTTTGCCAATCTTGACGGTCAGCAAGCATTGGGTTATTTCCCTATTCTACAGATTGTTTCTCTCCTTTTTTATACGTTATGGTCTCGTTAAACGTACAAAACAGACCACTTAAAAACGAATGGTTTATTATTCAAGGCATTGTTCGCAGCCAATGTTTCGAATAAAGATCGCATGATTTCAAGGGTAACGCGTTAGTCAAGGGAGGACAAATTCTGCGTTTTGTCATTTGAATGTTACCAAAGACTTTTTAAATTAGATTAATTTTTTTACAGAAATTTTAGAATAGTATAACATACACTTTGATCCATGTCATTAGTATTTGTGCCCTTATCATTTTGCAAAAGGAAAAGAATCTAACTTTATTTACATTTTGATAAAATAGTATTCCTGTACGAAGGATTAAGGATGAAGACGTTGTTCGAGTTCATCGAGTGCTTTTTGAAGACATTTTACTTAAGTTTAGCTTAAATAATTTCATAGAGCAACAAACACTAAGATACATATTCTCGATGGTAGCGTTAACTGATATCGACAGATTTTCGAATTTTCAATCGCAATTTTTCCACTTTTCCCTGTACATAATGTATTGCATGAGTCGCCACTTGTTTATGCATTCCGTAGTACCACGCACGTGCAATCCATTAATTCACCTTCGGTCATAAAATCGTCTTATCACCGGAAAGAAACATAAAAATGGTGCTCACCATATTCTCATTACATCCACAGTACTCTCCCTTCAAACTACTTTAGAGTTAAGAAAATTGTGTTCCATCCGTAGAGCAAGATCTCAAATTCTCAAGTTAATGACCAACCTTTACATAAATAACGCAGAGCTATTATAAAAAATATCTGGCTCGTCCATTCCCGAATAAAAATCTAGCATCACGGTACCTTATGTCAATATTTTACAAAAGTACTGAACAAAAACCATCCGATCTCGCGATGAAACGTTCGACACTGGAATAGCATTTCTGTCGGTACTCGTAAATGTCACTTGCGCAATACATCAATTTTTGCGAACATTTATTACTTGAGGAATTATCACGCAGAATGAACTTGAATTTTTTTCACCCATGGCATCCTCTTCCGAAGATCCTTAATTTTTATCCGAAGCTATGAACGGTAAACTAGTTACTCCCCTTAGTAATGTTAAGTGGTTCATCCTGTACGACTAAACGTATGCTCTGCACTAAGTGCGCTATCGTGAGTCAGAGGAAATGGCCTTACATTGGGCCAGTCCACTCTTGGACTGTCTAACGAGAACGAATGCCACTTCTGCGATCCCCGACATCGAACTCCAGACTCGACAAGATTATATAGTCGCGAGCGAACTGATACCAATACTCTAAGGTGAAACCCACTTCTGCTGGTGGGGACTGCGCATAAAAGGGAATTTGCGCGATACGCTGAAGACCACTTGGCTGGGTGATAGTCAACTAAGTTTTCTGTCGCGAGATCGACATTGCGAGTGAAACCGTTGACATCGAACAGACCGGTTCCCGTGTCGAAGTACTCTGTGCGACTTTTGACTTTCATCCAATCGCTACACCTGTGAGGAATGTTGCGCACGTGAGTATCGCAAAGTTGAGGTAGACATGTAACGTCTCTCCATGATAATCGTGATACTTGAACAACCATGGCGTGTAAACATGGGATGATAGTCCTGGAAGATTAAGCTGTATGAGAAAAAAGGGTCTTCATTTTAATCATTAATCTTACAGTAAGAAAAAGGATCGGTCAACTGAAATAAATATGTATTGTTGCCTGAATCATATATAACGACCAGGAACAATTATTTAGTTGAGAAAGAAAAATTTATAGTAATTTAAAGGAATTTTTCTTTCCTCAATCTGACATTTCTTTGGGTGCTTTCATCTCAGGATTTTATTGATACAATGCATATTTCTTTGAGTCGACTAACTTTTTTCCTCAGGGTAGACACTACCTTACTCCTCAAGGTTTAAGGACTGAAATGTACTGTTAATGTGATGAACATTAATATTACGTCAACGGTACATATTACATTAATATTGTACTTACGACATCGGTTCTCTCTCGCGTCCGAATAATCTATTCACCTTGCCGATTTTTATTGAATGCAAGACTTGTGCAGAATGTTGCACGCGTGTCACAAAGTAAAAGTTGATATTAAGAGAAAGGTGCACAGGCCATTTAGATAGAGTAACTGAAAATAACTAAACCAGCCATGGTATTTAAAGACAGGATAGTAGTGATGCAAAGTTAACAAAATAAAGGAGCTTAATTTTATAATTATCGTTAATACTCACTTTACATCTGGAGGTTGAAGAAGAAAATGTGGTGCGTGAAAGAAGTCATTACTACTCTACTTACTGTATGGGATTCCGTTTTCATCTGAACATTTTGTCCACTTTGACTTGAATCTTGTGGTAAATGTTACGCGCATGAATATCGCAAAGCGGACGTTGACACGAAGGGAGAAACATAAAATTTCCCTCGTACAATCGCGGTAATTGTAACGACTAATGCATGTAAATATAGAAGAGCATTCCTGCAAAGTTAAAGAGCGAAGGAAATTGTTGACTTAACAATTGAGCCTGGAAATCAGCTATTGATTTTCTTTCAGCCGAAGTATACTTATGGGACGAGGTTCTGATTTTGATAGACAAAAATCGTTCAGGCATCTGCAATTTGTGGCTGATTTCATTCAATTTTTGTTTGAGAGTCACGCTTTACTTGACAATAAAGAAATCTGGAAAGGGGAAGGGTAAAATAACTTGCGTGCTTGTGACTATTTTGACACGGTTGGGCGGCCCTGATGAGAGGAGCTCGAAGAAACCAAGGCTGAAGTTTACAATCGCGGTTTACTGTCATACGTGCAAGCGCGAATTATGAGATTTCCTGCAAATGATTTCCGAGTTGTAAAGTGGCTTTCCAGGTCGAAGCCATTAAGGAGATCTGGAAGGACATATGTTGAAATCGGGTGAACCTCGGAAATAAGTATCCCATGAAATTGTTAACTTACTTCTTCCACACCTGTCCTCTTTGAGATTTTTCCGTCACTCCGTGCTGAAAAAATCTTCACTACTCCATATTCAGAAAATTTATTTCATTCTTACCTGAAACAAGAATGATAAATAAGTTTCCCATGCAATTGTCAACTTACTTCTTCCGCATCTATCCTCTTTGAGATTTTTTCGTCACTCCGTGCTGAAAAAATCTTCACTACTCCATATTCAGAAAATTTATTTCATTCTTACCTGAAAAAAGAATGATAAGTTATAAGGACTTGTGAAGCCCCTCAGTTGGAGTCTATTTTAACTGTTTAATCAAAATGACATAATTTCTCTAGATATACGAAGGTATCAGTGAAAGGTATCGGTGCAGAATTTAGACATCTAGAAAAGATAATCGTTCATTTCAAACGACTGCACCTCCTCTGATAACGCTATAATGTCAATCTCTCTCACCCTTTATCGTCGAAAATTGAAGGCCGTTTTACGTCGGTACTTCCCCCGTGATTTTCTTCTACTTTCAAGGCACTCCGAAATAAGTTGAAACGTTTCCTGTCCTGATCGGACGCACAAAAATGATGCCTCTAGTAATACAGGCAGCAGCCAAACTCGAGCATCTGTAAACTCGTTAAATTCAAATTAATTTCTAATATTTACCGTGTTTATACATGCATGCATCATTAATATTTTTTTCAGCATTTTGGTGGCTGCGCTTGCGACGCTTGTGTCAACATTTCCGGCAGAAGATTCCGGAGACACGAGCCTGAGCAATGATCTGGAATCAGCACAGCAGTTGCTGTCAAAAATCGACAAAGATTTCAGCGCATGGACCAACAAAGCCACCCTGTCAGAATGGAATTACGCCTCCAACCTGACTCAGGAAAACCTCGATACCAAGGTCAACGTTTCCTCCCAATTTGCGGCGTACAACAAGCAGATGTGGTTGGAAGTGACGGCTTTCCCCTGGCAGAAACTTGAAGATTTCAATGTCAAGAGGCAATTCTCCAAGTTCAGCGTTCTTGGCGTTTCAGCGCTCCCTCAAAAGGTATTGGATGCAGCCAGAAATTAATGGAAAAGTCGCCAACCTACATCTTGCAAGCCTAAAGCTAGAAAGAGATTCACGTTCAGATGTGTAATTAATGGTTCTATAAATTTGATCGAGTCTTAAAATATGAAAGGCAAGCCAAATCTCGTAGAAAAAGATTCCCTCAAAAGATCTATTTGCTGTAAAAATATTTAATGTATAATTTTATTTTATCTTTTTAATTACAGCTGTTCGAGGAGTATGAGAAAATTGTAAGCGAGATGCAGAATATATACAGCACCGCTAAAGTCTGCGAGTACGGTAATGAACAAAAGTGCACCTTGGCCTTGGAACCAGAACTGACGGAGCTCCTGAAGACCTCCAGAGACCCAGAGCTCTTAAAATATATTTGGGTCGAGTGGAGGAAGGTATCCGGCGAAAAAGTGAAGCCACTCTTTCCTAGATACATAGAACTTAGTAACACGGCCGCGAAACTTAATAACTACACCGACACCGCCCAGGAATGGTTGAAGGAGTACGAGGCGGAAAACTTCCCTGAACAAATCGGTGAGTAATTCCGTCATTAAATTATACCCTGGCACAGACCTTTGATCTGGGGACAAAAACGAATATTTCTGCTATTTAAGAATCCCTCTGGCAACAACTCAAGCCACTTTACCTACAATTGCACGCGTACGTGAGGCGCGAGCTCAGAAAACAATACGGAGAGAGCGTCGTCTCGAAGGATGGCCCAATACCAGCTCATCTTTTCGGCAACATGTGGGCGCAAAGCTGGGAGAACATTGCTGATTTCACGGTCCCGTACCCTGGAAAACAGTTGCCGGACGTTACACAGAATATGATCAACCAAGGTAAATCGGTAGTTACAAAAACGAAAATTTATGGATTGTATGAAAGATAATGGATGGAAGTGGTACAACGGAGATCTCGAGAAATCCAGTTACTCCATCAGATCTAAAGTAACGTTAATAGTATATCCCTTCCAGGCTACAATGCAACGAGCATATTCCGCCTTGCCGAGGAATTCTTCGTCTCGTTGAATCTGAGTGCGATGCCCGACACATTCTGGGAGCGTTCCATCCTGGAAAAACCTACGGACCGAGAGATCATTTGTCACGCGAGTGCCTGGGACTTTTACGATGGCAAGGATTTCAGAATTAAACAGTGCACCAGCATTAACATGAAAGACTTGCTAACGGCGCACCACGAGATGGGACACATACAGTATTACTTGCAGTACAAAGATCAACCCGCAATCTTTAGAGAAGGAGCCAATCCTGGTTTTCACGAGGCCATCGGGGATGTTATATCTCTGAGCGCGTCCACACCGGGTCATCTCAAGAAGATCGGTCTCTTAGAAGATAGCACCGAAGATCGCGAAGCAACCTTGAATCATCTCTATGAAAAAGGACTGGATAAAGTCGCCTTCCTGCCATTCGCCTATACCATGGATTTATGGCGGTGGGCCGTTTTCCAAGGAAAGATAACGTCGGACCAGTATAACTGCAAATGGTAAAAATGATAAGTCAATTGAGATATCGCATTTCGCGGTTAGTAGGAGAGTTTTAATGATTTTTAATTAAGAAGAGATTAATTACCGTCGGTTTTGGTCGGTACTCGAATGGATGGCTCAGAAGGCTCTTTTAGGACTTTTCCGACATCCAAACCGGCTATTATGGCTTAATTAAGATTAAATGCTTATTTAGTTACTAAGGAAGAGTAAAGTAAATGTATTTTTTTTGTCAATGTTAAATAACTAAAATTATACGTATTTTTATTTCAGGTGGTCCTTGGTTGAGCAGCTGCAAGGAATCGAGCCGCCGGTCGACAGATCGGAGGAGGACTTCGATCCTGGCGCGAAATACCATATCATAGCAAACGTGGAGTACCTTAGATATTATGTCAGTTTCATCGTACAATTCCAATTCCATAAGGCACTTTGCGAAAAGGCGGGTCAATACAATCCTCAAGATCCTAACGCTAAACCACTCTATCAGTGTGACATATACCAGAGTAAAGAAGCAGGAAATCTGTTCCGGTAAATAATAGCATATATCATTTGCTGTATGTACACCTGATAAACAACGAATTTTATGTCAAAAACTTTTCTTTAGGTCCATGTTGCAGTTGGGTTCTTCCAGACCATGGCAGGATGCAATGGAAAAAATTACTGGACAGAGAGAGATGGACACGAGCGGTCTTTTGGAATATTTTAAGCCGTTAATGGAATGGTTGACGGCAGAAAATAAGAAGACTAATGAGTACATCGGTTGGAAACCAAGTACCAAACGTAAGCAGTTTAACGAAAGTTCATGTTCATAAACGTTCCGCACGCACATAAATGTTTAATGTGAAATTTCAGGATGCACCAAAACTAGAGAGGAACTTAATTCCGACGCAGGATTAAAATCGGAATGAGGAGACTTCAACAACGTACCCGATATTAAATAAAAAATACTGATCTCCTTTATTAGCAGAGTTCATTCGATAACCTAGTACAAACATACATCATCACTTCGTAAACGAAAAGAAAGTATGAATGAGCATTCCAGTGCGGTGTGAAGTAACGCACATCTTATAAATAAAATAAGGTTTCAATATTAAACAAACTTCTACTTCGCCTTACCACGCCCTTTACCACGTTTCGAAGGCTTTGAGGGTTCTTTGGAACTTGATTCGGCCTTTTTGCTAGTAGATGATTTTTTAGCCTAACGAGAAGCAATCGAAGAATTACACATTGAGAGAACAAATATCTTTTGTGATAAATTGTATTGTATTTGAGAAAATAAAATAATAATACATTACCTTGATCATTTTATCGGATTCCAGATCATCCTCGTCCTGTTCCGATGGAATTTCTTCATCCTCTCCCTCGATGAAGCCTTCATCTTGCGAGACTTTTTTAGACTTTTTCTTCGACGTACCGCCACCAATTGCGGATTCGGCTTCCGGATGTTTATTATATTCTCGCGTGAAAGCTGCCTTTATCTGTGGTTCAAATTTAATGTAGCTTTCTAGATAAAACATTTTTTGAAGGAGCGGCATATTAGTTTGTCCTACCTTGCTTTCTACAACATGCATTGGATCGTGTTGGCCAGGCCACAAGGACACTTCGATTAACGAGTCCAAGTCTTCCCTATACAAATGATTACAAATCGATTAACTATAAAGTTCACAACTATGTACAACTTGTATAAAAATAGTACCTTGTTAAATGATACGCGACCATGGTCTCGACTGCGTCTTTTACTCCTTCTGCACCATTTTGAGCCAATGGTCGGACTATGGTGTCTCTTAAATATTTTAAGTAGTCCAAATTCATAGCCTCCTTGCTAGCTGAAGTGGTTACGGTCGAGTGAACTGCTACCTCTTGTATAAGTCTGTAACATAAGGGTCCGGTAATGGTCCAAGACTTTCAGGAGCTATGCTATTTGTTGTTGCATGCACGTGCGGAATTAATACCTGTCAAATTTATTTCGCTTTGAATTACGTCCAAGCCAGGACGGGAAATTGATTTGGCTGCTGATTCTGCCTGACATAAGGGAGCCAGGAATTGCCGAGGAAAGAACAGCCTGAGTGGGCAAAAGAGACCATGAATTCTTCGACCGAATTGCAGTTTCAACGAGATCACTTAAGGATAAGCTGTCAGCAGATTTGGCTACCCTCTCCAAACGCTCTCTTCTGCAAATTGCAAGTGTTATATTATAAAAATTGAAGATATTATGTAAACACGTTAAATTAAAAAAGTGATTGGAAACTGTTGTAAATTATTCCACTTACTGCGGTGCTAAAGGAATTACTGAGAGATAATTCTCTTGAACAAAAAGTGGAGCTATGTTGTAATCGTGGAAAAATAAATCGCATTTATCGTGTATGGTCATCGTTTTGTGTTCTTCGGAACTGAAAACCTTCCGAACTACATCCCAAGGCCCTAATTTAAGGTGCTTGTTTGCTTGCTTGCTGCAACTCTTATCGGTATCTTGTCCATTTGTAGTTAACATCGCCAAATAATTTATAACTTGGCGAATATCTTGGTTTGTCGCTTCAATCAAACGATCTAAATCCTCGTTAGAGATTTCTATATTTTCTTTGAAGCAAATGGATTTCATAGACGCCTGAAAGTGCATTTAACGTATTTTATATCGCCCATCTTATTACATGTAGCTTATATCTCCACCTCAAAATTCTTATACGCACTCGAATCTGTTCCAGTCTTGGTTTTTGGAATCTGAGATCGAAGGTGTAATTAGCTAGTGTCCTCATCTTTGGATTATTCCTATCATTGCAAATACATATTACAGGAACACTAGAACTCTTTATCAAAGCTATTAATTCCTGTAGCCCACCACGATCCTCATTACCTGCCATACCATCGACTTCATCCATTACCAACACGTGTTTGGCACCTGGTTTTTCCGTAGAATTACCTGAAAGTTCCAAAAAAATAATCAGTGTTGTAACATATGGCTTTATGGGAACGTAAGTTAATGCAAAGGCACAAACCTGTTAACATGTCATATAGGGATTATAATTTAGTCATTGGTTTACTTACATCAGTTAATCCTAATACTAAGATAATTATATTTTTCCTGTCCCAAGTTAATGTTTTTGAGAATTAAGTATCACTTACCAACAAAATAATTTTTCATTGTCGTATTCGATAAAATTTCTGAGACGTTCTCCTTCAAAAGCCTCTTACTTCTCGTATCAGATGCGTTGAACTCTATAGGATCCATACCCAGTTCTTTACAAACAACGTACACTGTCGTTGTTTTGCCAATTCCTGGAGGTCCAGACAACAGAGCTGCTTTAAAGAATGCTCCATCATCATTTTTACTCCAAGGACCTGAAAATAAATAAACATGTAAACAAAAAATGATACTGCTACAACTGTAATAGTAAGACTTACTTGGTTTGGTAAGTTTGACCTTGCCACTGTGGTTCTTGTGCCAATTTTGTAACCACTTGAACAATTTTTTTGCATTACTCTTATCGCCTTGTTGACCGATTAGTTGTTTCATAGATTTAGGTCTGTATTTTTCTACCATAGCTTCTACAGGACTGTCTGTGGTATTTATCTATAGAAGAGTAAATGGAACATTGCATGACATTGAATTCATCGCAATAAAATGTACCAAACTTACTTCACAGTGTGTAGCAGCCTTACTACAACTTTCAATGGGATTCACTGGTTCATCTTTTTTTAATAGTTCTTTTTTCTGATTAATTTCAGTTATAAGATTCTTTTGTGGGCTATGTTGTAATGTACTAGCAATACTTAAAGTTTTAATAGGTTTAGGATCAGGAGTCTTCTGTTTCTTTGTTTCTTCTGATCTAGAACGTGACTGCTTAATATCAGTAGGTTTACCACCAGGTCTCGTGTGAATTAACTCCAATAAATCATCTTCAGATATTTGTTTAACTTGAAAGCTGTCAGCCTGGTATCAAAAAGTGACATTATTTGATATAACTTGTCAATAGAATTGTAAATAAAAGAATTTTATTTATAATGTAAGAAAGGAATTAAAACAGAAATTACCTTAGCTAACTTTGCAGGACCAGGCTGATCTCCAACTATGACATAATCAGTCTTTTTTGAAACTTGATGCTGTATTCTGCCACCATACTTTGTTATTAACTCTTCTGCTTCTTCCCTTTCTAATGAATCGAGTACTCCAGTTATTAAAAAACTTAAGCCAGTTAAACAATATTCTGCACCCTGAAAATTATTCAGCCAGTTCAATGTTGATTATTTCTTTACTGTGATATAAATATTAATTTCACAATTCAATCATTATATATAATAGATGTAGAATTAATAAAAAAGTATATTAGAAAAATAAACTAATTTATTACCAACCTCTGGAACTTTTTTTGAACCAGGATGTCTAGCACCACCTCTATGGAGATATTGCTGATACAAAGCTGCACTTTGCTTTTTTTGTTTAATTCTCTCTTCATATGGATCTAATTTAGGTGACTTTTTATGTTCTTCTGTCTTAGGTTTCTTCACAATTGTAATTTCAGATACGCCTTCTGATCTTTTTTTTAAACGCTTCAAATTAACTTTTTCAGAAACTGATGAATTTTCAGTCTGCTTTTTTCGTTTTAGAGAATAATCATCGCTTGAACTGGTGCTTGATTTGCTGTGCTTTTTCTGTGGAGTACTTGATGATTTTTGTTCAGATTTATGATGAAGTTTCTTAGGAGACTTCATGTCCTCTTTTGCAGTTCTTGATGAAACATTGACAGCATCAGAGCCTTTGTTTCTCTGTACTTCAGGTCCTTTCATCTGCATATCTTTAAATCCTAATATATAAAAAAAGATAAATACAAATGTGATATATCTCAGAAATTAACAAACATTTTATTATTACCTTTAGTTTGACCATCGTCCTTGGGTGATCTAGATTTTGATTCAGATGTGTGCTTATGTTTATGGTTTACATTATTTTCATCCTTTGTGTCAATGTCATGAACGTATTTGTTTTCAATTTCAGACGTATCCAGCTGCCTTAATGTAGTCTCAAAATCATCATCTTCGTGAAACTTAGCTTCCTATACAACACATAATTATAAAAAAATATTACAATATAATATCGGTAAATTAACTTAAAAAAGAAAAATATAAGGGAATATTTATATTACAAATCTTACCTGATTTTGTAGCTTTTTTGTTACTTTTGGAGCAGCAATTCTTTTAACAGGGGCAGTTCCAAACATTTCCGCTGCAGAAATTACTTTCTTAGGTTCTGGCTGTTTGGGTTTTGCACTTTTCTCAACTTTTTTCTGAATGGTTTCTTCATCAGAATCAGATAATACGTGATACCTTCCATGTTTCTTTGCAACCTAAATAAAAGTATCATTACCTCATATAATTTAAAAAATGACACAAAACGAAAAACCGCTAGATAGAACTTCAGTTTAAACCTTTTGTCGCTTTACAGGAGAAATTATTTGTACATCGTCTTCATCAGAGGAAATCACTGCTCTTTTTCTCGGCTTTACCGAAGAGACATTCTTTCCTAAAGCCTTGTTCGGAGTGACTGTAAAATATGATCTTATATCCTGTAATAAAATTAATAACAATAGTTAATATGTTTCTTGTCGCAAGGGTTGACAGCGACGTTGAATTACAATGCTATATTCAATACAAAGCGTGCTAATTAAAATGGATAATTCAAATTGACATAATATCGTCAATTATTGCTATCACACGGCATTGAAAAAGATGGAATGACATTACTTACCTTAGACATTTCTTCGTTTGGTGTTATAGATATTCGCCTGAAGAATATCAAGAAACATTAACAAATACAGGAAACGTAGAATTTATTCGAGTTAATTCATGACATTTACGGAACTCGCTAATTTTTTCCCTCTGATATTAGGGTTAGATATTCAGAAATTCGAAGTACAATGACGCACACGATTCCTTCAGACTCCTTGATGAACTCCCGCGCAATACATCTCTCCTTCGCAAATTAGATAATTTTTTCTATAATCGCCTAGCGTCTGCTAAACAGTGCAGAGTGTAAATAAAATACCCCAAGTATTTATATAGTTTTTTTTCAGTAAATTACTAGGTATTTTACGTTACGTGTTTTGTACACGATGTAAATTACATGAATACGGGACTTTATATTCTACAGTTCCTGTTTCTATCGAACGTATAATTGCGGCATAAACATAACCTTCTTCACATCGCGGTTTAGGCCCGATTTTTATTCATATTCCCGGATAGCTATCCTTCGGATAAAGATACCTGTCAGATAAGTAAACGCTTGGTTTTTTTCATTGAACTCTAATGCCCGATTTTTTCATGCTCTCGGGTAGCTATCCTTCAGGTATCTGCTACTGAAACTACCGAATAACGTTATCCGGAGGATAACTCTTAACTGGAAGTGTAAAGAACCGAACTGACTGTAGATATCTATCTTCCGAATAACTGTATCAGGAATTTATCCGTAGGTGAAAAAATCGGGCATTAATGTGAAACTTTATTATAAATCTTTGATTATATGAGTTATAATTCTCTCGCGATCAAATGTAAAAGTGGACTCGGGTGATGCTGCCAAATAGCAAATTGAACATACAAGTAAACACGCCAGGATCAGTATACTGAAATTTAGAAGTCTGAAGTTCTTTTCATCGTTACACTAGCCATTCTTAATGAATATCTTTTCTGTCAGTTACTGTTCGTGAGATTTTGCGAAATATATATCGATAAGATATAAATTTCAATCCTGTGTAGTGATCAGTTGGAAAACAGACGCAGGGCTTCCGACTTTCCCCCCAGAAAGCAAACCATTTCCTCCGACTCTTTTTTTCATCAGTCTTGTCTTCTTCCATCTTGTCTTCATTTCCTTCAATCTCCTCTAAGGCTGCTGCAACTTCATTTTCTATACTATTAGGACATCCGCATTTTATGCACTCAAATTGTTTCGGTATTCCGTCATTAATTTGCGAAGATGCCACCTAAAAGAACAACTTTTAATTTCCAAAAATACATAATATTGCATTATTACGCAAAGAAAGAATTTTCTAATGCTATTTCTTTGTATAAACCTTTTTCGTTAATCTGATCCTTTTCTTCAAGATTTCAATCCTCTTTTTTATATCCTCGGAATCTTCCGAATATAATGCAACAGAATTTGATTGTTCCTTTGTATTGCATTCTGGTTGAAAGTCTTCAGAGCTCCCATTCTGACAATTCTCAGATTTTGTTTGATCTGAAAATATTTAGTACGAGATCTATGGCATTTGAATATTTAAAAACCATTCTTTCCAAGATCTTAACTCTATAATAAGACGACAGGCTACTTGAACTATTAACAATTTTGTATTAATTAATTACTATATTCAAACAAGTTTACTTTGAAAAGTTAACAGTGGCAGAGATATGAATAATATTAATGTATAGGTGCAAACAGAATGAATATTTTTGTTCTTTTCCTTCACCTTCTTTATCCGTCACGTTACATTCCCTGAGAGTCTGTTTCGATGATTTTCCTCCATGATTTTTCTTTTCGGCAAAGAAACATGGGTTATTATGTTCTTTTTTTTGCATGCTATACATAATTTCACTATGTCAAACAATTACGATCTTCTCTTTCATCGATGCGTTTAAAAGAATTTATACGACTGTAAAGTTGGTAAGTTGGTAAAAACGTCTGAATATGAGCTGGGAGTGTGAATGAACACAATAAAGCTTTTAATGTGCTTTATGACACTCTTTATATGGGTTATCAAGGCCGAATTCTTGGGGTATATAAATAATAGTTCGTTTGACTCCGCATTCTTGACAGGGTTTATAGGGTTCGCAGGGTCGTTGCAGGCAATCAGGAAACAAGCAACAACGTTCAAGATTTTTCGAAAATTCTAAAAGTTTTCTGCCTCGAGACAGTTTCTCTTTACTTCGACAAACTCTACGCAAAGCAACAATGGATTTCTTTGATGTTAATGACGAGCCGTCCTGAGCTGATTGAGAATTCTCTTTCGATCCGTTCACATCTTCAGATTTTCTTGCCTGAACCAAAGTAAACAACATTTCGTAAATTATTATGAGTATATGGTTCAATAAAGAATTATATGTATACACGTATTGAAATATATGCACTAAATATATAAATTCTCGTGCATAATGAATATATACATATGTGTAAATAAAAGTATTATTATATTTGCATTAAACCAGGCTCATTTCTTTGAAAAGATGTCATACTGAATTAAATATTTATCAAAGGTTTATAGATAGTTTATAAATAGGATATTTTATGTAAACTAGCAAATCGGTATTATCAAAATTCGTACCTCGATTTCGGCTGCTTTTAGGCGTGCAATCATTTCTTGATGTTCGGTCTGACATTCCCTGTGGTATTTTGTTGCTTCTTGTAATTGTTGTTCAAGAGATTTCCGAAGAGCATTCACCCTGTTTAAGATATCATGCTTTTCGCCGACGACTTCGGATTTCCTCAAGCGATCTCTCATTCTTTTCCGAAATCTTTTTATACCAAATAATTAAATAACTGCAGATTAACTTCCTTTACTCTGCCTATTTCACGGCTCAATTTTTTGCCAAATCAACGTGCGCAAAAGAATTAAGGAATTCATTCTCTAGGTTAGCCTAGAGAATAAAAATACTGAACTGTATTAGCGTGAATTTGTTTCTGCATGACTTGAATCGCCCATTTATTTTCTGCCCTCGAATGCTGTCGAATCAATTTTTGTCACATTATTATTCAGTTTCTGACATTAATTTTGCACATTTTTACGACGATCGGTCATTGATTCGTCGTCAACTAGTAGCGAGGTTGAACATTCCTCGTTTGTTATTACGTCGACAATTCTGCTTTTCTTTAGAAATATGCTACTATAATTTGTAGTTCATTTCCTCACGTATGTTAGATAGATAAAGGAAACTACTAAAATAAGCTTGAAAGTAAAATACCAAGCTGAAAAGAAATCATTTCAACTCGACATTTTTTACAAGTTCATTGCCTTTTGTTCTAATCGTACACTCCGCCCCGAGATAATTCAACGAGCTATATTCGTCCACTTATTTTCTAATTCGGCGTTATTTAAGATAGAGGTTTTAAAATTCAGCAAGAACTTTCCTCTTACTAAAATGCGTTATAAAAGCTCGCTGTCTAGGGCGACGAAACGTAACGCCCTGATCGAGGCGTCTTCTTTTACCGTGTCGACATCCAAAATTTCCTGCCGATTCAAATATTTAGGTTAGCCAAGAATTATACAAATTCGTGAAACTTATCAATTTATCAAAAAAATAAATTGATAAGAAGTGAAGGAGAGAAAAGCATTTTTCAACAGACCCAACGAAACGTACCCAATAATTCAAGAGGTGTCGCCTCGATAAAATAATCCTCTTGACAAGGACAACTAGTTTCATTCACGCAAGGACATGAGTTTTTTCTCGAGACCTTTTTCCTTTCTTCTAAGTCCTTTCCGGTACTTATTATAAACGTTATAACTTCGATTAACCAATATGAATTTTATTTACAAGCCCGAGGAGTTGCTGGGACCTCTCATCTGCTTTCTAATTAATTGTAAACTAATCGTCGTCGAATGAATTGTCTTACCGCGCGCCGTGTAATAGTTCCTGCAGTCTCGTTTCAATTTCGTTGGATGTAACGGAAATCAAGGATTTATTAGAAACGGTGTCAACAAGAAGTGCATTGCAATAATCATCTAGTTCCGCATAAGACGTGGATGAATTTTGACTTTGTTCGTCGGAGGTGTCTTCGCAAAAGCTTTGCACAATGTCGTCGGAGTAGGACGTGTCGCAATAATTTATTGACCCCGTATCGGACGATGTCGATGTATATTGACATCGGCCGTTGGGCACTTTTTCCTGAAACTCCCGTATAACGTCAAAAATATTATGAGATTTTTCGCAAAATGCAGCAGACCTCTCGTGAAACGTCATTGACGTTTGACACCGTTTGTTCATGATTCCTCTGCAAAATATTTTTCAGGGTTCCTTCGATGATTAATTCGAATGCAAAAGAAAAAGCGAGAAATGATTAATTAAGGGTTCGAAGTGCCAATAAATTTGGAGGAATTTCGAAAACCGATGAAAAGCCAAATCGACTCAACAAAAGGCATCGTTTGTCAATATTGCCTTCGCAACTGCGACTCTTTTGAATGTGTTCATATTATCGCGTGTTCATAAAAAAGGTACATGTTAACGCATATAAACAAATTTACAAGTACATCCCGCGTTTGTCCCTTCTAGACGTTTAATCGAAACGATATTAAACGAATATCCGCGGATCTCGTGGCTCATTAAGCAATGTCATAAACCGTGGTTACGTTTACGATACACGGTGGCGTGAACCTTACAAATCTAATGGTGTTCCTGACGTTAATATACGTCGAAGAGATCGTAATGACTATTCCTAAGACTACGATGCAGTAACCGAACCAATCGGCCATGGAACTGGTCCAAGCCCTTTGCGAAGTCGAAGGTCGATGTCGATTTAAATCGCTTCTAGGGCCTTCCCGAGATGCATCGACGAAGACGATTCTTTCGTCCTCTTCGTCCGTGCTGGACCTGGGGTTTGTCGCGACATCTAATCGCTGATCGTCGCCGTTGTCATCGCCATTTCGATAATACAGATAAGAGTATCTTGGATTATTAGGACTATTGGGATTGTTGGTGGCATCCACGAATCCCAGATACGTCGACCTAGAGTGCACCCTGGGGTCGGATAGAGAGTCCAGGAGGACGGATCCTGGTCGTCGTTCCGTCGAGGAGAAAATCTCTGGGGTCCTGACTCGTCCTCTCGTAGACTTCTTCAGCGCCCTTGCCCTGGCGTACATCAACGGAGGCAGCACGAAGACCAGAGGTCCTATCAGAGATCCTCCTATCAGTGCCATCACGATGTCGAACCTGGGGACCGATTCGCCCAGCACCACTCCCAGGAAGACCACCATACATCGGATTACGCACCGCTTCCATCCGAACGCTGGAATTAGATTGATTAATTTATTAAAACATTATATTAGGCCTTAAGGACCTAAGATCCGTTATATCAGCAACATGGAATCAAAAAGTTGTAACGTAGCGAGTGTAAACGAAAAAAAAAAGACATTTACATTCTGGATAAAGAACTGCACTGCTGATATTTTGCATTTACTCCGATACTGTGAATATAACTTGTGTAGCTTCAGTGAAGCAATAGTTCTTTTTTTTATTGCCTATAGAGTAAAAATATTACTACAAAAGAATTTTGTTCATCCATTTTCAAGTGTCTGGTGAATCTACATTTGCTGAAGCAAGTTACATTGTTTTATATGACTATGAATTATTTTGTTGGATGATAAAAATATGATTTCAACCACCAAGTAGTGTCGCTGCTTCTGGCTTGACAAGAACACTTTAAACCCTTTTTCTTTTAATTCTCTTTTTTATATTTACAGTGCCAATGGCTACTGCTAATAGTTATTTCCCGACACCGAAGATCGCGCGTAGCATAATCACTGATGCTTTTGAAAAACGCTCAGCTTAAGAGTTTCGGTATCACCGGGATGCATAAGCTTAAGTGCAGTTATTGCAGAGAAATAAATACAAATTTCAAGCACGAGGGTCTACGCTGATTGAGATTAAAGGAGTTACACACGTTGGGGGATGCGAGGAGACTTCAACGCGTGGTCTCGCGATTCTTCAGATACTCACACCTCTGGACGTCAAGGCGATCCTCCAGATGCTGGAAAAGGGCCGAATGTCCAACGGCGCTTGATAGGCAAAGTTGAAGAGCTGCCAGAAGAACTGCAGCACGAATTCCGACGCCATCCGGTGCAAGTTGAAGAACGTTCGCTGTCATGCCGCCCCCGAATTTCCAAATAGCCAGAGCAGAGGTCACCCCGAACAGAGATCCACTCACTGAAACGTTGAAAATCCCAATCGACGCACCGATTTCAAGGTAAATAGGCAAAGTTAATAAGAAAAACCGTGGAAAAGGTCAAGGCTTACCCAAAAACGCCAAAACGACGGCTTTATCAATGCTACCTGGGTTTCGCATGTCCACCTGAATGGTCATCAGTGTTGGATGCACGTCGAACTGGAAGGCAAGCATGCCATACCTGAAATCGATTGATATTGTCAATTATCTGTAACACTTACAAACAATACGAGTTCTCTATACGTTTTGTTACATTATTGTTTTCAAGGGTGCCGTCGTGCAGTCTTATCATCCGCCATCCACGAAATAACTCCACCTTCGATTCTTCAAACTCTTCGAAATAGACCTTCCTTTCCAAATAGTTTAAATGTTTCCCAGATTTCGGAAACCCAAATCTTTACCTTTTTAACTTAAGCTCTTATGAGTACACGACTTATTGTTTTGTAAAGACTGTCTCCTATCAATCTAGCTCTAACTTTCGACACTCGCAACGTGTACTGTACAAATTATTCACAGTATCGTGTGAATTAGTTGAAAGTTAATAGTTAAGGAGTGGATGTTATTGGGGCCATTGCGTGAAATTGTAATGTTAATTAAAATTATTACCCAGAAATGAATTTATCCCAGGTTGGCGAATTGGGGACCGGTATAATTGGCTTGGACGAGTCGGGAAGACTCGCGATGGACCACCAGATCAGAATGGCGGTGAATCCAACGATCAAGGAAGAGCACAGAGCTAGCCATCTGACGAGTCATTGCCGATCAGTACCGGAAACGAGAGATCTCTTCGAGTTAAGAAATCCTTAGCTTAACTTTTTAGTTTCCTTACTTCATATCGCGAGGACTGCCCAGCCACATGAAAGGGCACAGCAAAACTCCTACCACCAACAGCCAGTAGCAAAATGACAAATCGAATTTCTTCCCCGAAACTTCTTGGCCGAATAACTGCAGGTTCTGTGAGGCTGAAAAATATTTGTCCTCTTTGATTTCCTTATTTAAAATTTTATTTATTATTTTTTTTGTAATATTTAAAATTTGATATTGAATGTTTATCTTTTGCACCCTGTTAAAAATATATATATATAACTTTATAACATTTTTGCTCAAAGTTCCATTCATGCATCATATATTTGCGAGTATCAAGAATAGAATTTTTCTGGATAACTAAGAGGGTGCGGCGAAAATTCCCGCAATTTTCTAAACGATTCAAAGAATGTATTGGGGCCAAAAGAAGCAATGTCGAGCATTTGTTGAAATTTAACCTTGTGTATCTGTATTTGCACATTTACGGTACATACATGCGCTTGTATTACAATCTCCCAGTTTACTTACCGACTAGGAGGTTCGGAATGCCTCCTCCGAAAACTGTAAAATCAAGCAAAATAGTTACGCAGGTGCGTGCCCATGAACCCAACGTCAACTCCGTGACGGCTGCCAAAGGGTACCTGGAACGTCAAATTATTATTCCATACATAAGGGAGAATCATTTACAATTTCTAAATGAAATCGATCGCCTAGAAAGATCGAGAGACGGGATAAATGATCGGTTTAACGATCAATGCTATGATAAAACTTGGTCTGGTACCGATTCTTCCTAAAAATGTGGGGATCCAAGGCCGTGGCAATGATCCATGACTTTCCCAAAAGTGCGGCAGTATACATCTGCAGTCCAAAAACAATGAACACCAATGGAATGCCCAGCAGCCCTAAAAGAAAATACAATCCACCGTCACAAACGCTTCGCTAGTACTTCACAAAGGGAATACTTCTAATTTCGATACTTCCTTTTGGAAGAGAAAACGAACATTTCCCTAAATAAAGTAAAAAATCTTCTTTCAGAAAGATCGCATATTCGTTAAATAGCAATACACAGTTATCATGATTGCATGCACTTCGAACCATACCCTGTCCATTGACACGATTCTATCCTCAAGTAAACTAAAAAGTTTAAATACATTTAATGCACCAAGAACGTAGAATAAGTAAACAAATAAACCTTCATGCTTTCTGCGGCTCCATTAAGACTCGGACCGATTTTCTGCTTTCTCTCACACTACGGTTTTCTGAATTACTTGAATACTAATTATGTAATCAAATGTGCGATAGTGCTATTATCTTCACGTGTTATTACACTAAAGTCTATTTAAACCCTATACCAAGAAGCAACGTTAAAATTGAGGAAAGCGTGAAGGTTAATAGACAAGATATTACCGCACTGTACGATCGCTCTGGGCAGAGCTATCACGGGGAATACCCCGAATATGTCGATGATACACAGGGTGGCAAAAAACACGGTGAGCCCCGAATTCGAGTTTCCGTGCAAGAGAGGGATGCTCTCTCGATGCATGACTTCGATTTAAGGCGAAGAAACGGGAACTGGCCGACAAGTCGAAGCCACCCAGGTAACCGGTTCCCCCTCTCGTTGTTACAGTCTTGTAACATGATAGTTCGACGACGGTGTCCACGCCACAAGTATCCGCATTTGCACGTACGAGGGATAGTCAGTGAGAACGGCACGGAGAAGACCCGCAAGTTCTCCGGCATCTACGAAGGGATGTTCGTGGCGTTACACCAAGAAAATCTACTCCGTCCGGGGACACCGCGCAATCATTAAACGGCCGAAAAACGGTTTTCTTGAAGTCTCTTATATTAATTACGTACATAATACAAATTACTATAATAGTATAATATGGAAATAGACATTCCGTTCGCGGATCGCGCTTTCTCGCGGCCACCCGAGGTTACAATGGGCTCGGTGATCGAAACACTCTCGTCTCGCGTGATTTAAACATCTCCGAATCTCGTATTCAAATAACTTACAATTAGTCTATGGATAAGATACACAATAACCCCTCTTCTTAAAAAATCAGAAGAGATAAATCTCGATTCCGAGATATATAAAAAAAAATAAGCAGGTCAACGGAACAGCCGAATCGACGCCGACGAATCCAAGAAGTAATGGGAAAGGAGGGAACGGAAAATGAAAATGCGAACTCGGGTCCGATTTCGAGTGGAATCGTGATCTTTGATCAATTTGTTCTCGCCGACTAAGTCCCCCGATCTGAAGATCAGTCGGCCGTCTCGTAGGAGGGCGACGCTGGAGAATAGGTTGGACTCGTGGGCGAGTATCCTGGGACGGGTGGCGAGTAGGTAGGACTAGTGGGAGAGTAGTTGGGACTTGTCGGGGTGTACGTGGGACTCGTGGGCGAGTACTTCGTACTCGACGGGGAGTATTGAGGACTCGAGGGCGAGTAAGTAGGGCTCGTGGGTGAATAGTTCGGACTCGACGGTGAGTACCTCGTACTGCCGGCCGCGGTATGTTGCGGGGAACTGGGAGAGTAGGACGGACTCGTCGGCGAATAGGTTGGACTCGTCGGCGAGTAGGTGGGACTGGCGGGGGTGTACTGGGGCGAAGTCCCGGCGAACGACGGAGACGTCGGGGAGTAGCTCGGACTCGTGGGCGAGTATTTCGGACTACTCGGCGAGTAGCTGGGACTGGCCGGCGAGTACTGAGGTGAGCTAGGGGAGTAGCTGGGACTCGTCGGCGAGTACGACGGGGAGACCGGCGTGTAATTTGGCGAGCTGGGGGAATAGCTGGGGCTAGTTGGCGAGTAACTAGGACTGGTGGGCGAATAGCTCGGACTCGTCGGGGAATAACTGGGACTCGTGGGCGAATAACTAGGACTCGTCGGTGAGTAACTGGGACTCGTCGGCGAGTAGCTCGGGCTGGTTGGCGAATAGCTTGGACTCGTCGGAGAATAGCTAGGACTCGTCGGAGAGTAGCTGGGACTCGTCGGCGAGTAGCTTGGACTCGTTGGAGAATAACTTGGACTCGTCGGCGAGTAACTAGGGCTCGTCGGCGAGTAACTGGGACTCGTTGGCGAGTAGCTCGGGCTGGTCGGGGAATAGCTGGGACTCGTTGGTGAGTAATTTGGACTGGTCGGCGAATAAGTCGGACTGGTTGGTGAATAATTCGGACTCGAAGGTGTCATGCTCGGGGACGTGGGTAGATACGCCGGTGACGTTGGCGAATAGCTCGGCGAAGCTCCACCGGCTGGTGACATCGGGTATGGACTCATACTGGGACCGGGACTTCCTGGACTGCCAGGTTGCGGCGAATATGCCGAGTAGGCTGGCGAGAGACCCGACGCATCCGACGCTCCCGAAGGAGAGAAGCACGCCCCACCTGGCGTCATACCGCTTCCCAACGCTGAAACGCAATAAACCACCTCTTTACCGTAAAAGCGCGCAACGTCCGATATGGCGAATACTCATTTTTTTTTGTACACATACAGGAATAAATCGAAGAGAACGCTCTCCGTAAAAATGTACATTCTATAAAGAATAATCGTAAATACGTAAAATTACCAGGCGACATGCTGGAAGCTCCATATCCAGGCGTTGCCCCCATCTGATTCCAAGGTGTCATCTGTGGACTCATGCTCGGGGTGGCGGCACTGCCGAAGAACATCCCGGCGCCTCCCATCACTCCCCCGCCGACTGCCATGGGAATCTCAATACCCGCTTTACATTTTTCCGCATCCAACAGCAAGTCGAAGCACCCTGGAAACGATACAAGATGAGAGGGCGGTCGCTGGTTGACTAAGAATGATTTTTAAACCAAATGATAGTTCAAAGAACTTGCCAGTTCCGATGCGTGGTAATTGTCCCATGATAATGTTCTCCGAAACACCTCTCATTGGATCCACCTCGGCGTGAGATGCAGCATCTAAGAGAACGTCAACCGTTTCTTCGAAGGAACATCTGTAGGATAGATATCACATAATTATAAATGTTTTGTACCAAGACAATAACATATTAAAATATCGGATACATTTCTCTCTTGTGTTTATAAGCTACTATCAGTAAATAGTGTCATATGCTAAAAAAAAGTATGCAGCGAGCTGACTTGTAGTGTAAATATTACAAGTAGATCTATTTGTAATCAAAATACCCGACTGTAATAAGTGATCAACGCACCTCATAAGCGCTCCCGTGTCTTGCCTATTGATACCGTGTCGAGTGATGGCCATCAAGTGACCCTTTGCAGTCATCACGTCGCAAAGCAATGCGAGATGTCGGTAGTTAACGTAAAGACCATAGAACTGCAGTACAGCGTTCATCTCTTTCTCGACCGATTTACGCACGGCTTCGATACCGAGTACTTGGAATATCTCGCAAATGTCATTACTGAATGTCCTAACCGGATCGACATCCCTCTCGCTGAGGACCTTCATCAAACTGGTACCATCGGTTTCCAACAACCATTCGGCGATGGCCTTGAATTCGCCAGTGTCCGTGATAACGATTCGCTTCTTCGAATCCGTCTGTGGCAAGTGCATATACACCTTGCCGATTGCTTCAATACCCTAAAACGAACGTCATTAAGTTTTTTAATCTAATCAACTATTGTAGTATACGCTATATACCGCTTTAATCAACTATACGAAGAACACGCTGCTCCAGCTCCGATACTTTAGCTTTATCAAACTCAAAACATTAAATGTCGATCATATTACCACCTCAAGGAAGAAAATTACGGCACTCCATTTTAAGTATCAACTAGCACGTGTTAAATTTCTTCTGTACAGGTACCATATATTTCTGTTAACATAAAACTAGCAACAAACCTGCAAGGTCATATCACTGAGCATGTTGGCTTCGATGCACCGAAGGAACATATCATCCTCCATCTTATCGACAGTTTCCTCTTCGGAATCTTGAAACTTATTTTCATCGCTGTTCATGATTCTAATGCGAAGCACAAGCTTCTCAGCGTTGTCGTCATTGAAAATGCAATTCAAGTCATCACCAAAACCGGCATTGATCTTCTCCGCGATCTGCTCCATGGTTAACTTCTTATCGGTCATCCTCTTGCGATCGAGTTCGATACGCAGAAGCCATGGAGAAATCTTGGTCGGGTCGAAGTCCGGCATCTCGTAATAAACGTTGACGAACTCCTGATCCTCGGCAATGACAGTGTTTTGAGGATCAGGATCGTAATAGATTGCCGTGTTAGCCGTAACTTTCCTCAAATTGGTGTGCTCGAGGCGACAAAGGACGTTCTTCGCCTTTTCGGCATCTCTGGCTGCAGCTCCGGTTAGGAAGACTGTCAGGGAGGGTGCCTTTGGCTTTTTACTGATGTTAATGATTTCCTTAAGACGAGGCACACCAAGAGTTACGTTCTTCGAAGATACTCCGGCAAAGTGGAAGGTATTCAGTGTCATCTGCGTGGCGGGCTCACCCAAAGATTGGGCAGCCAGAGCTCCCACCATTTCTCCAGGTGCAACCTGACAAATTTGAAAACCAGGTTATTTACCTACGGGGTTGATAAAAATCGTGATTTTTCTTAAAAAAATAAAAAAATTGTTGATCTTTTAAAATAACGATGAAAAAATCGTGGTTAAAATCATTTCAACCCATCGCTTCGAAATCGTTCACACCATTCCGAAATTATTGCAAATCTTAAAAATCGATTACACATTTACAGATAATCTCGTTTCCAAAGTAAGATATGATCACAATGGCTATTCTTTTTTTCTTTTTGAGATAACGCCCAAAATATTTCACGAACAGAATTAAATCTTGAAAGGCTGAAATGAAAACGTACTTGCGCCTGCTGGAATCTGGTCTCGATTTCTCCAAGAAGCCATTCAAAGGCTTCCCCGGACAACCTGAACTCCTCGGATACGCATTTCGTGCACAGGGTGGATCTTACCAAGCACTGGAAGAGCAACGTGGCGTTCTCGTTAGCTTGTTTGCTCAGTCTGTCCTCACCGTCCACAATTATGCATTTATCCAGCAAATCCTTGACACCTGCAACACATAATTATTCATAAATGAACCGGTCGAAAGGCCCTCGATAATAAAAGGAATCGGCTAAAAGATCACCTTGAATGACCCTTATAGGGCTAAGATCGGTAGGAGCTCTCTTATTAATATGGAATATCTTCTGAACGTTCCAAATCATCCTCTGCAGATTACACGGTAGTACTACCTTGGACTCGCCGCTGGGAAAGATTTCTCGTAAAATTGCCCTATCCTTATTCAGTTGGTTCCATTCCTCTTCGAGCCTTCGGATGACACTGGCCGACCCCGTAACCTCTTTGACGATATCCTCATTAAAGATGCGCCTGAGATATCTCTCGTTGGTGGGATCGAACCTGAACTTCTTCTCGAAGGCTTTGTTGCTTAGTTTAACGGTAGGCAAGTTCTGGAACTCCACGGCCTCACCACAGAGCCCGTCCTCGCCGTACCTTAACTGAATCAATTGACCCACGGAATTTCTTACGGTGCCATCGTAGTGCACCATCACGGACTCCATAGCCTTGATCAGACGTCGTTGGATATATCCGGTCTCGGCGGTCTTAACGGCGGTATCGATGAGACCCTCTCGACCTCCCATCGCGTGGAAATAGAACTCCGAAGGAGTCAACCCAGCAAGATACGAGTTTTCTACGAAGCCTCTGGACTCGGGACCGTAATCATCCTTGATGAAATGAGGAAGCGTTCGCTTTCTGAACCCAAATGGGATTCGCTTACCCTCGACGTTCTGTTGACCCACGCAGGCGATAACCTGAGAGATATTGATGTTGGATCCTTTAGAGCCCGACACCACCATGGCCTTAAGATTATTGTACTCGGTAAGGGACTTCTTAGCGGAGCCTCCGGTTTTGTCTCTCGCGTCGTTCAGTATCCTGTTGACCTGGTTCTCGAAGGTCTGTCTGAGAGTGTTACCTGGAGTGGGCTCGAGCTCCATGTTGTGGGCTTTCTGGATGACCTCTATCACGTCCTCCTTGGCTTTCCTGATGGCCTTCTGGATCTCGAGGTACGTCTGTGGATCGGCGATAGTGTCTCCGATACCGATGGAGTGGCCCTCCAGGAGCAACCAGTGGTTGATTACGGTCTGGATGTTACCATAGAAGCGGCCGCAGACCTCGTGCCCCAGTTCAAGCATACAGATGTGAAGAAGAGAGCCTGCCGATGTACCTAGGGTTTTCTTGCAGAGGATTCCCATGACCAGCTCACCGTGCTCGACCATTACCTTGGTATCTCCGGGAGATATCCACTTGTACGGTCCATCGTCTTCCTCGTCAGGATGCGTGCTATGAGTTCGAATCATGTTCACATTCCCTGGGATTATCAGAGAAAAGATTTGCTTCCCCGTCCAGAGGGGCTTTGGCTTCAAGATACAAGGTTGCGGCACCTTAGCATCCCAGTTAGGTAGATACATGAGAATGTTCATCATTTGCTCTTTTTCAACGAAAACATCTCTTTTCGTCATTTTTCTAACTGCAGTGAGCGTATCCTGCACGATACCCATAACGGGTTTGTTAGCCTGAGGAGTGATGATCTGTCGGGGAGTGACATGGATATTTTCCACTTCCGCTCGAGTTTCCATGGACTGTGGCACGTGCAGATTCATCTCGTCCCCATCGAAGTCAGCGTTATATGGAGAAGTGCAGCTCAGATTCATACGGAATGTACTCCAGGGGAGGACTTTTACACGATGCCCCATCATACTCATTTTATGTAACGTTGGCTGTCTGTTGAAGATTACCAAGTCACCATCCCTAATGTGCCTTTCAACTCTGTACCCACACTGCAAATGAAGATCCGATGACTTTGGATGGAAGCGAAGGTCGATTCTCTCTCCGTTGTCACGGACTATATATTTTGCACCAGGGTACTGTGAATTTCCTCGCCTTACAAGTTCTTGCATCTTGTCAATATTGAATGGTGTCACGATTTCAGGAAAAGTCAAATTTTGTGCGATGCTACGAGGCACGCCAACTTGATCGATGCGTAGATTAGGATCTGGCGTAATGACCGTACGAGCTGAAAAATCCACTCGCTTACCCATAAGGTTCCCTCGTATACGACCTTCTTTTCCCTTCAATCGGGCTTTCAGCGCCTTTAATGGTTTTCCTGATTTTTGCATGGCTCTTGGCATACCAGGCATCTCGTTGTCCACCAATGTTGCTACGTGAAATTGTAGCATTTTAATATTCTCTGATATTACATGCGCGGCGGCACCAGCCTGCTCATTTCTTAAAAGCTCATTGTTAGACTTTATTATATCTGCCAACTTATGGGTCAAGTCATCTTGATTCTTGGCAGACCCATACATGATAACCGCAGGTCGTACCGAAAGTGGAGGTACGGGCAGAACAGTGACCACCATCCAATCAGGCCTTGCAAATTTAGGATCCATTCCCAGAATGAAAGATTCCTCATCCGTGATGTGTTTCAGAATCTCCCATGCTCTCTCAGCAGTCAAAACAATTTTCTTTTCCTGTGAGTCTTCGTTCACGTGTTTCCACTCTGCTGAAACATCCAATCCAGACCTTCTAAGATTCGGTTGATATCTGCCGCAACCCCCATGGCCTGGTCTTCTGTCAGCAGGTTGCTGTTCTTGTCCTTCCTTATTGATATCCATTTCATCTCCACCTTCGCATATGTTTTTACTTTTGCATAAATCATAAACAAATGTAAGACGTTTACGAGGTTGTCCCTTGGTTTTCATAACTATTTCTTTAATTTTTGGATTGTGCTAGAAAAAGTATAGAATTTGTGTTGTAAAACGAATGATATTAACAAGAATTTTTCTATACATTTAGTACTTACTGGGCTTACTAACATCTTGGAGCAAAAGAAACAGACACATCGGAGAATTTTAATGGTTTTTGTGATGAAACCTACGTGGAAAACAGGTTTAGCTAGATCTATGTGACCAAAATGACCTGGACACTCCGTCATGTTGCCAGCACAAGTTTGACACCGAGTATTTCTGTCGATGACACCCTGCCGAGGGTCCATAAGACCTCCAAGCTTAGGACGACCACCTTCCATAGTCTCGGGAAAGCGTATGCCCCCATCGGTAACCGACATACGATGCTGAAAAGAAATTCACTTTCTTCATTTCTACACGCATACGTACACATAACTAATATTTATTCTTTAGAAGTAATAACAATCTCCAGATGTTGATAGTCAGTCCTGTACACACCGAAAACTTCACAAACCATACAGACAACCCTTTGACAAAATAAGAAAATAATCTCGTCGTTGTTGTACCTTTCTTCATAAACTGTCCACTTTTACATTATTAATTTTAGTTTATTTAGTAAAGAGCGTATCTACAACACATTTAACTGCGACTTTTGAAAAAAACATCAAAAGTCCGCCAAAAATGCGAAGCCGCTGCTACCGACGTAGAACGAACGTCCATTTTCTCCGTAAGGTAAAAATTTGTTCGGAAATGATGGATAGTGGAGGGAAATACCGAAAAGAAAACTGACTTACGATTTCATCTGGAGAAAGGATACCGAATTGCACCCTTTTGACAGTTCGGAGCGGGGCTTTTGAGTCGGACGTAGTCATTTTGCACGGAGCCCAAGCTCGGTCGTGCAGTATGACAAACTAGATCAGGGGGCCGACACTGTCTGCTGCCATGTATTGGGGTGTAACGCTTTATGCACTACCGCCATCTTCGGTTGGAGTAAACCCTCTTCGCGAACTAAAATATTAGGCGGGCTATTCAAATTCATTTATTAAAGGAAGGGATATTTTCGGGATTTAAAAAGTACTTACAATGATCAAAACAGACGTTGCTCAGACTGCTGACACACAAATGTAAGAAAACAGTATATTAAACATAAAAGAAGTAACAAAAGTGTCAGTAGTGCAACGCCTGTTTTAAATCACTGTAAGAACTGAAATAATTACATTAAACATTAGTCAAAAAGTAACATATTTATTAAGATAAAAATATTAATTATTGTGAATGTATAAATATACAAATTCTATACAAATTTAATTTTTGTTATGATTACTTTCATGTGGATGGCTCTATAGATCGCATTTAATCCATTTAATTATTACAATTATTATAGGAAGAAACTACAAACTGTTCTTGAATTACACTTTTACTCACAAACTCACGTTCGCGATTTAATACTCGAGGTAATCGAAACTTGTGAAAATATTGCCACTAATCGAGGTTAAGTTCACTTTGGTTCAGATGTCCCGACTATTTTTATGCGCATCTACGCTGCGCCTCCTGGAGTCTCTTGCTATTGGTTAGAAAATTTTTTCTCTATTCTTCTCTTTCTATTAGACTGAAAAGTCACGACACCAGCGCAGTCTTGGAGTAGGTGAACTAACTTCAGCGTTACACCTCTCCCATAAGGAGTGTCGCCCCCCTGAGAGATACTCACACCTCCGCAACCATCGAACCACATCGAATATGATTGAATATGATCGGATAGCCACACTGGAGGATGAAGTCGGATAAAATGTTACCGAGAGTGTTCACCAGAGATGAGTTGGGAGATTGCTTACGGGCAGTGTCGCGCGGTCGCATCGTGTGCTGCCCTCTGGTTTCGTACATTAGCTTTCACCGTTTGTTGCCCCCAAGGGCGGCGCAACGAATTTCTGGTAGGGGCTCGCGCACTAGCGATGGCGGTGTTATCTACCAGTAGCCGTTGACAGCTCGTGTACTCGTGATAGTAATACTATGCGAGTGTTGACGGTGGTGGCTTACCTACGTTTACCGACACTGCTCGCTTTTGATGGTAAGGGACGAACACTCGTGGTGCCCTCTTCGACTTTAACCTTAACTTATCTTATTTATTTTATGGGGAGGTGAAATTTTATCTGTATTAAATTCTACTCACAGCTAGTTCGAGGATCGGTGCCATTCCATAAGGATGGTACTAACACGTGATAATCATTTTTGACGATCATACGTCAAAAATGTCTAATACATAGTTGATTGCATTTCGAATCTCCGACCCCTTTCGCGTTACGGAACGAAAAGTTCGAACCGACTCGGCGATTGATCACAATTTAGTAACTTCAATTCACCGATGCCACGTTCTCCCGAACGACCCGGCTTCCAAACGACCCGGTTTTATTCACCTCCGGGCATTGTGTTAGTTCAATAATCAGCATCCAGAAATACACGGCTGGAGATGGAAGGTAGAATTTCAGTTGAAATTTGAATTCCGTTTAGACGTTCGCCCTCGCGTCCCGGCTACGAGGTTCTTCTAGCGCGGAACAGATGGCGCCAGCAGTGTCACCGACAAATGGCGTCGCGCAGTGACGGCGGGGCGAAGTGCCGAATTCGAGGACGCCGTCCGCCCGGTAAGAGGGGTCGGGCGTCCCGACGCCCCGAGACGCGCTTAGTCGACGCGAAAGGGTGGTTGCTCCTGGCCGCTTGCGGCGCCCCGCGTCGTGTTCTGACGTCACGCGGCGCCATCGACCAATCAAACCAGTCGCCAGTTAGTTTTCCGACTGCTAAAGTCGCGCGACGCCATATTGCCGTGGCCGCGGCGTGTTTATACCCGTGGGGGCTTTTTCCGAAATCCCTGCTCGCGTCCGTCGGGCGCGAGGACGTCGCTCGTCGCTTCGGTGGATGTTCCGGGAAGTTCGGTCCAAGCGAGCCGGAGCGTCGAGCGCGAGTGACTCGTGCGCGATTCGCCCAATCGGCTAGGGTCCGTTTTCCCTGTGGTGCCCGCACCGACCCCCGATTTCCAGGGACAACCCCTAAGGATCGCCGCCGCTGAGAGGATGCCCGTCCGCAAGCAAGGTGGTGAGACCGGCCAATCGCTAGCTAGCCCCTCGTAGCCCTGCCACTCTCGGCGAGCGCTCCTTGACAGTGACAGCTGATCGGCCGAGCGACCCAGTCGCGAGCGGAGTGCCCGCCAAGTGTCCCCCGGGTGACACTTCCTGGGTCGCTCTTTGCCGGTTGACAGCCGAGGTCGGCACTCATGACGGAGGTATCGACGAGTCGACGAGCGACGCGCCTTGGCTTCCGTTCGCTTGGCTAGGTCGCTTGGCCGTCTTGGACGCCGTTGAAGGACTTTAGAACCGTTGACAGTTGACAGCTGCTCGAGCGTGCTCGCCGAGAGCGACGGGCGATTCTAGGAAGCACGAAAGTCGATCCTGGAGCCTAACGGCCGAAGGACGCGCGTTGACAGCTACTCAGCGATGGCGCGTTCTGGCGCGAGTTGACAGTTGTCAATTTTAGCCCTGACGCAATGCGCGATTCGGTTACGTAAGGATTAGGGGGATACGCCTAGGCCGTTTCGGTGGAAGCGCGTGGTTGGCACCGACCTGTCATTGACGACGCCTTTCTGGTACTATGAACGCGGTTGACAGCTCGTCCGATACGTTGACCGGCACGATTGACCGCTTTGGAGCGGCCTCCGTCGCTCTTGTTCCTCGATGACACGTCATGCCGTCGTCTCTTTGTCGTTCGCGTTTTCCGCGAGTACCGGGATGTTTGACAGCTGCCAAATATTTTATGACGTGGCCGAGTCACGCGGTAATCGTTTAAGAATTATTACGTGTATCGTTGACTCGTTGTCGAACTTTTGGCAGGGTCTCGCCGTCGATGGTCCGATTGACAGGGCTTGCGATAACGAGGATAGGCTCGTTCCCTTTTTATAGTTGACAACCGACGAATACCCTTTTTCGGTCCTTTCGCTCCACCTTACCGACTGCGGTACGCACATTGCAGAACTTTAGCGTCTGCGACCGCGGAAGCGATTAGGGATGGAAATTGCAAAATCAATCCCGAGTGATATTTTATTTTATTAAATAGACGGAGTGTCGCCAGTTTGTCCGCCATTCCCTCTGGGATAGTGATTAAGCCAGTTGGAGCGTTATCGGAGAGTGTTTGCTACTGTAACTGGAACACGCTGCACCGTCAGCTCCGTCATATTGCGCTCGCAGGAATTCATGAGAAAAAGAAAACTTACGACGCCAATTGCAAAACAAACGATCCATGAGAGTTTGGCGTCGAGTGTTTTGTCTGAAAGTAAAACCACCGTAATCATGCCTTAAGGTATTGTATAATTCGCTGAACTGCAAAACGTGTCAGCTCGAAGATGACCATGCTGATTAGAGATATTGATTTCCGGGTTAACGATTTTTTTCTTCTCTTTTTATCCAGATCCGCGGGTCTCGCGTGCGGCCCAGGGAAAGCGATTTATGATACGATAACGGAAAACATAGTCCATGCGATTAAAAAGAGTGTTTCATTTTTTATTTATCCATGCTTGCAGTTATTTTATTCGAGATACGCGCGAAGGGCCTTAAGGCGATGCAAAAGTGGCGTCTTATAGGTCAGGTTAATGACACTCTTCTCCGAACGGAGTTTACCGAATCGCTTGAAACTTTACTGCGTTAACGTGGAGGTCCTAAGGAAGGTTTGGACATCCGCAAAATTGTACTCCCTTTAAATTTGTTCGTTAACATTTCTTCAGATTTGTGTATGTATTAAATTCAACAGTGCTGGGACATTTTTTGGGGCCTCCATATTCACGTGGTAAAGTTTCAAACGATTCGATACACTCTGTTCGGAGAAAAGTTACGTAAACTATTGACCCCGTGGGGCCATGCCACTTTCTTATCATCTTATCGTTCCGACGACGAGGACGCCTCCAGGTGGGACGCGGAACATCGCGTCGGGGCGGATCCGGAACATCGAGGTAGCTCGTCTCCTGCGGCTCCTCGATGTAGGCCAGGTCGATGTTGCAATAATCCATAGGTGAGGCTGCCGATGTTTGGGCGCCGGCCAAGGAACCGCAATAATTCCGCTCGCTGGCGAACGCTTTTACCCGCGACCACCCCGAACTACTCACGGCCACGAGGTCGCCTCCGAGTCTCCGCTCGGATGGTTTACGAGTTTACCTAATGCCCTCGTAATACTCCGAGCTTGCTTACGATGCCCGATTCAACGTATAATCATCGATGCAAGCATGATAGGATGCGGAACGAGAGGCGGACGTTATTCGAAATCATTTTTCTTAATATTCTTGGGAATACTATAAATTGGATAAAGGGATAGGTACGGGTTAAGAGAAAAAATCACTTTCTAGGGGGAATAAAAAGAAGAAATTCTTGGGTCGTACTAGTCTTTTATGAAAGATAATCCCTAATGACTTTCATTAACCGAAAAGTTTCAATTCAATCGCACCTGTTCGGTTTATGAAAGTGAGGCGGATCAATTGAAATTGAACGATTTGGAATATTCCGTTCAATTGTCAGGACGATGAAAATAATTTTAAATAATTGTTTTAAAGAGGGGTAATTAATATGTAATAGTTGTTACACATGTTACATTTAACTGAGCTCTACGTCATTGGTGAAACGTTACATGGGAAAAAGAGTTCGTCCGCGCCTTCGCTTCGGTGCCGCCAAAAGGCTTGACCTCGCAGTTCCAAAGTGATAATCAAAGTAACGTACTTTGACATTTACCCAGAGTAACGTCGCTACTCTGATATCACTCTGTAAAGGGTGTGTAAAATTTATAAAGCTGTAAGAGGAATACCGGATCCCTTGAGCACCTAGAATCTGCCCTTTTCTGTACGGACTAACAATCAATGACACCGTTCTACGTCCTAAATGTAATTTAAAC